AAACGGGTATAAATAAGGACGCGAGTTCGGCACTGGAACCAGCGCCAACGAAGTCGCCACGTAAAGAAAAAAGAAGAAAAATGACAGCATATCCACCGGATGAATTATGGAGAGGGGAGCGAAGCTGTATCCACACGCCGCTTCACCTCCCGTTCTAGTTCGCCGGGATCTTGTAGGCGCCACCCCGCAGCTTGACGGCACGCTTCTGCCTCGCACGCTCGCGCATCGGGGTTCCGTCTTCGAGCGCGAGCCACCGCCGCCTTGCGCGCACACCGCTCTGCAGCCTTGCCCACCGGCCGACCTTCTGCGCGCGCGCCAGCACGGCTTTTACTTCACTACACAACGCCGCCTAGCGTACGGCGCCGCCGACAAACATGCAATCTCCAACGTCTTCGTGTGACGTCATTCCTATTGTCCGGCACGCTCGCACATCGGGGGTTCCGTCTTTGAGCGCGGGCCACCACCGCCTTGTGCGTATCATACTTTTTTAATCTGTGAACCGTGAATCATTCACTGGCCACGTCCATCCGTCGTCTGTACGTCGGTTTGACGCGCAGACGGACGGACGCATGGGCGAACGCAGAGACGGATGCCCGGACGGACGCGTATGGCCACATGAGATTACAGGTGGACGGACGGACGCATGGATGAACAGAAAGACGGGTGGACGCGCGGACGAATGCAGGGACGGACGCACGGGAGGATGGATGCACAGAAGGACGCACGAGAGGACGGACGAGCGGATGCATGGACGGATGCACGAATAGCCGGACGCACGGATGGACGCATGGACGGACGGAAGCGATAATGAACAGACAGCCGTATGGACGTGATGACAGATGCTTTGCCCCACTCATCATGATTCACTCCATGGATGTGTTGTGATTTTATTATTTATCATACTACAAGTAACAACCTCTAGTATCGTACCATTTGCATGTTTCAGCGTATATGCATTTCTTTACATGTACAAATACCACCCCCTACGGCCAGTTCAAGAACTAACGAGAAGTGACTACATACGATTACGACGCGACGCTCAGCCCACGCCTTAAGGCATGCCTCAAGGAGCTTCGCTTCTAAAGGAACAGCACAAATTTGATGAAGCCGAGACAGCGACACCCACAGTCGTATTGGCTACGAGCGCGTCGAAGAGAGTGACATGAGAGACCAACTGATACGACGGGACGTGCATGCTCACCGCAGCATTCGGCTCGTCAGGTCTCGTCGATAGACAGCGCGTCGATGCCTTCGGCCATATTTGGCCACGTGATTCCGTCGTCTGCACACTTATGCTCACGCCTGTACACCTGGTTGCTGAATGACCATACTAATCAAATGGGTTGGTGAGAAAATTATTCGCTATGCGTTTCTCTGCAACGTGCGTGCGTGCTAGAGCCGAGGCAATGGAGCGTTCCATATAGTTTCGGGGGCGGGAAAAGAACAAAGGTGAGGAAGGAATGGAGCCGGGAAAAAACGTGAGAAAGAAAAAAAAGAAAGAGACGTATTTAGAGAAACATATATAAAAGGAAGAAATAAAAAAACAAGAAAAAGAAGACGAGAGAACGACTACAGAGTGAGATGGGGAAGAAATATATAATATATGAAGAAAGAAAAAATAAAAAACTGGCCGATCCCACGTACAGTGTGAATCAATGACATCCAAAGCACGAATAAGAAAGGTTGATGTCACTTTAAAATCAGCACAACGTCACGATGTGGAGGTAAATGATGCCGAACATGACTTATGTGTCATGATTATCATGTTTGGATGTGTCGTTTACCTTCGTCATCTATTCACGTCACGTGATACCACGTTTAGTATATGTGGAGCTAACGAAACGGCCGTTATCACGCTGTTAGCGTGCTTTAGTGTCATGTTCTTACATGACACACGTGTCAGGATTATCAGGTTTGCACCAGTCATATATTTCGTCCTCCATTTGGTATATGAGGAGCTAGCAAAACGAACGCGAGCGCATCATGAATGACCCAATTATATACTCCAATGTAGTGTGGACGCACGCGCACGCTGGGCACAGCGACGCTACGTTAGCAAAACGCGAGCACTCTATAGCCTGACGCCAGGCGCGACCGGTGCGACCAGCGTCCGTAGGCGCGGCCCGACGGCAACCAGCGCGAAATTCGCGCCGATGCGTTACCCAGGCGACACTGCCTCTTCCTCTTTTCGCCCCGCCACGGTGGTCTAATGGCTAAGGTACTCGGCTGCTGACCCGCAGGTCACGGGATGAAATCCCGGCTGTGGCAGCTGCATTTCCGATGGAGGCGGAAATGTTGTAGGCCCTTGTGCTCAGATTTGGGTGCACGTTAAAGAACCCCAGGTGGTCGAAATTTCCGGAGCCCTCCACTACGGCGTCTCTCATAAACATATAGTGGTTTTGGGACGTTAAACCCCACATATCAATCAATCATCAATCTCCCTCTTTTCGTGATGGAGGCATAGATGCCGCAGGTGCGAAGTGATGGGCGACGTCACTCCCAACGCAGCCAATCGAGCGTGTGCTTGATAACGACGCTAAGAACTACGTAACTGACAGTACAGCCAATAGAAACGGCTCGCGATGCCGAACGGTTTTTCGTTTCTCCTAGCCATATGTACAGCTTTCGGTGAAAACATTTCGTGGGAGGGGGACCTAACATGGACCAGGAAGGCCACGCCTGGTTACACCACTAGACGCAGTGTTCTCTTTATTTACAACGTTGCTAGGCGATGTATTCATGCTGGACTCATCTTCAGATGTATTTGGCCTCATCCCTGTTCTAAGGGTATGAAACGGCAGAGAGTTCGAGCAGAAGCGGCTTTCATCTTATCTTCTATAAAAAAAAATATCTTAATTTCTCTTAAGCATTCGACTTGAACGACTTCAAGTCGAAAGCCATCTTATTTTCTTTTCACTCGATGTATTTTTCTTACCCCCGTTGCCCACCGAAAGCTTTCCGCGCCTAGCACCTCTGTGATCGGAAGCGTTGCAAGATTCCCGCGCCTAACGCGGTTTTACAACTGCCTGCGTGATTCAAGGCATTGCAAGTTTTCTGCGCACCATCTGTGTTTGCACAGCATCCTTGATCAACCCGCCTTTAACGAAGCGACGATGTCATGTGTATACGCCATCATGTGACGTCACGTGATGTACCGTCCTGGTCATGAAGTTTCCTAATAGTAACTGGGGGGGGGGGGGGAGACTCTGGCGCTGTGATCGTTCAGCGGGCATGGGAATTATGGGTAGTACATGCATTCGCCTAGTCTTCATACTTGCGGTATGGTGGCTAGAATTGGATCGCGCGCGCTCGGCGAATATGCGGGCGCTGGCGTCACCTCCCAATTCTAGCCACCATACTTGCGGGCCTCGAGTAGCACTTCTGGGTTCGTTTATTGCTGTGTTTCGGTTTTGTTTTGAATAATTGAACATCGTGACTGGATTCAAATTGGTAAGCCTATTAAGGTGGGGAAGCGTAACTGGTAAACTATTGCTGATTGTTGTTTCGTGACAAAGCATCAATCCACGCGAAGCTAAACGGAACGTAATGTGCGAAAACTAGGCAAATTTATGTACTACCCATAGTTTTCATGCTCGCTGAAGGGCCATGCGTTGCAGCTCCCATAGACACTAGCACCAGAGTTCCCTCCAGTGTATTATTAGAAAACTGTATTGTCGTGGTGACGTGACAAATTTAAGCAATCTGTGACGTCATCACGTGGCCACTATCTTTTGCATCACTCGTGTTCGAGCCACCGACGGGGGACACTGGTCAATTTTCACGTTTAACAAATAAGGCATCTAAACGCTTTCGAATTTAATAACTTCCTCACCGCCTGAATACCAGCATGGGGGCAACAGTTAGTAATACATTTAAAATAACACTGTTTAGCGAGGAAGAAAGGCAGGGACGCTCACGAGACGCACCTCCGGTTTGTTATCCTGTGCTGGGGGAAAGGGGATTACAAGATGGGAGCAAGTCGTGAAGATTGAAGAAATTCCCGACGGTTAAGAAACACTGGAGGTGGCGAGGGTAGTGATTTCTGGGGGGGAAGGAAATGAAACGTTAGCCCCGAAACTGTCCGCATCAAAGTGCGACACTTAAGCAAAGTTCACAAGGAAATGGATAAGCAGGGAATAAATGAGATAGGGAGAAACGTCAAGATTGGGAGACGGTTAGAGAAGTGCGTGGACGGGGCCCCGATCGGCGAGCGGTAGAGGACATAACGAACGAGACAACCATCAGCCAGGGAATCCGCCGAACGTCTTCTTCAAGAAACACTACTATGTCCCATGTACATAAAAAAAAGCGTTGTCGGTGACAAGACAACTTGAAAAGTACTTTTTTTAATGATACTAACTCAATGTACAGGTTGAGAATACCTTTCTTTTTTAATGTTTCTTACTAGCGGTACAGATGGAGGCGCGGGAATTCGAGAGGAGGCAGTGCTAGAATCAACCTCACAAGGGCCACACGCCAGCGCCAGTGCGGCAACCCCGTTATTTGTCAATCCCCACTGCGAGTATGTGATATGCGATGAAAGAACGTAATACCACAAAACACAAAGAATGCCCGACAGGTTGAGAAGCGAGCTTCAAGCAAGCCTGAACCACCGTGAACCAAAACAGACGTCTACACTAGCGCGCGACTAAACCTCTAACCGCATGCAGGCAATTTCCTTGCGACGACGACAAGCAACAGCGACAAACCTGCACCGTCGCGTCGCGAAGACGGCTGCACCACAGAACACAGCGACCGTTGCGCCTTCTTGCCCCACCAACTTCGAATTAGACGCGATTTGACGTATCAGGCGGCCGGCGTCCAATGAACGTCAGCGCCCACTTCGAGCCGAGTCATTCCCCTCTTCCCACGTTCTGAGCAGCGCGCGCTTTTCCTTCTCCAGTATCTCCACGCTCGCGCTAGAAAGAAGGAGCGAACCGTAATCGAACGCCGTTCTGCGAGTGGACATTTTGCTTGTTGGATGTCCTCGTCAAGTCTGTTCGTGTTCCGTACGTTGTCTTGCAGTTCGGTACTGGTCCGTGCTTGTGTGTGAACTATGGCCAGCGGCACCAAGCTTCACGACGCGGTGCGGCACGATAGGTGCAGGCTTATCTCTCGACTTGTCGCCGAAGGTAAGCGCGGTTTGATGACGGCGTGGTCTTTCAGAGGGCCGCTGGTGTTTCTCTGACCGGCGACGCCGTGTTTCGCTAGTGTCGCGACTATGCTTTCCTGTGAGCGGTGGCTTTGTGGACGCGAGTTCCTTGAACAAGAGCGTTTTACAAGCGCGTCACAACGATTTTACGCATGATAGTCGAGCGTGCTCGAATCGACGCGTCCCGCAACGCCGCTGCTAACAACGTTGTGTTCGCAATCGTGCTGGCACTAGTTACATATAGTCAAACAAATGTAATAGTACTGAAAAGTAAAGTTCAAGGCAGCGTGCTGGAAACGCTATGGCTGCTGTCTAGTTAACTATACTGCTGTGTAACGGTCGTTTTCACATGGTCGCTGTGTTGTAATATGAAGTCTTCCATGGTTTAATTACCAAATTTCCTGTCGCACGACGCTCTGAAGTTGCGTGCTTGTGCACTCGTTTTTATTGTGGAAGGTGTTGCTGGCGCTGATCACTTACCTGTGTAGAATGCCTTGCGGCAGCTCTGCGCCACGTTTTCTCATTGTTTGCAGGACACAACGCTTCTCTGACGTGTCACGCTTGGTTCTATTTTGAACTTGTTGCAGTATATATAGACGATTGTTGCATATGACAAGTCTTCTTAACGCTATTCTGTGGATCCTAACAACGTTCATGCATCGACTGCGCGTATGGGCTTCTCAAACTGTCGGTGCGGGGTAGTTGGATGACGCTTCCAAGCTCGACAACGTAGTAAACCTTTGGCGTAGCCAGGAAGGTGGTTGAGTCGGGGGGTTAAGCCCCCCCCCCCCCCCCCCCCCTCCAGCGAAACGTTCGCTCATGTTGTTTGTACAACACGCACCACATGCAAACACGCAAAAGCGTAGAAGGGTCGAGACCACCCCGCCCCCCCCCCCCCTTTTTTTTTTTTTTTGAAGGGGCCCCACAACACTTTTTGAGCATGGTCAGAAAACGCTGCCGATCGGTAGCAGAGGCTTCCGAGAACACGTGAGCCAGATGTTATAGCGCAGAACTCAGCCTGGAATTCTCAATAAATTATCCAAGTCAGCAAAAAATTGCTTTCTATTCTCTCTACAAGTGACAGAAGTCGCCCAAAAATCACTCGTAGCAAGCCCATCTATCATCCATTGGCCGATTTGAACATGGCGCGCTTGGTCGTTACAGCGACCACCGCGGGGGGGTCGTGACTTGTCCACGCGTGCGCTCGCGATCGCTTGCAAAAAGCCGCGTATACAAAAAAAAAAAAACGAAAAAGCTCATGGTTAGGAGGTGCGCGGGACCCATTTTCGTTGCCCCTGCCATCCCTCCATGCTTAGCTTCCAGCGCTTTCGCCGGGACGAGAGGAGAAAGCGATTGCAGCGTGCGACTATTATTTGTAACTCCGCTAGTACTAGATGGATTCTGAAAATTTTTGCGTCATTTAATTTGTGAAGTAATAAGCTCTTTTTGTGAAATCATTCTATGGTTACATGAAAAAATGTTTCAGGGCCCCTTTAAATGCCAACAATTTCGTTGATTCTGTGCGAACAACAACAGTCACGGATAGCGTAGTTAAGGAGTATAGGTATTTTACGAGTAGACGTCATTCACAGCTTCACAGCTGCTGCTACTTGAAACTCAAGAGAAGTCTGCCCAAAAGAAGGTATAAGGCCTCTAGTCATGTGCTATCCGATGAAATCAAGAAGCTAAGAGTAGGGATCAGCAGATATAATCCGAGCAACCTGCACATGCACTACACTGGCTATAACTTACGAGAAACACTTGGTGACCACAGCCAATTATGTGTTGGAGCGTTATCGAATGATGACATTCTGGTGATGCAGGTAGTGCGTACAAATAAAAAGAATGAGAATTCAGGATTCACGGTTGGTCATTTAGAATCTATGCAAGATTTTGGCATGTGGTGAGTAAAATACTAACTGGGAATTTTAGGCATACTAAGGAAACTTACAAAAGAACAAAGGCGGGTCGGTGCGCTCAGGGCAGGTATTCTGAAATAATGGCTGTGAGTGTATTGTGCGTGTAGCTGAAGTGGATGCTCGGGCGAGCTGCTGTGATTTGCTTGCACTGAAAGCAGCGCAGAAGACAGAATACTAGTAAAAGAAAGGAGACAGACAACAGCACAGACAAGGCTTATTGTCACAATCGTACAATATATATATCTATACAGTCTTTAACAAAATATAGGGGGAAAAATGATCAAAAATTATGAAAGCAATGCAATGATCACACCATTCAACATCATCGCTTTGCCCCAAGAACGTCAAGAGCATGTGCGGCACGTGCTGAAGCAAATAAGTTTTATTGTCCGATAAAGCGATATCGAAGGCCTGCAAGACACACACATCTTTGTCCTTTTAGTGGTCCTCTGACCTCCGAGCTGTTCTAATTTCAGTGATGGAAGTGTTGCTCCAATTTCTCCATGCTGTTCCTAACAGTAATTTTTGTTACTAATTGCTCCAAACCTACTCCGAAATGACACTCAGAGAATAAGAATGATGAACATTTAATGCATGACCGACTCCTCATAAGTTCTGAAGAAAGCGAAAAGAATCTGTGTACTATCATTCCAGTGTGCTACTAGTGAGCAGCATTATCGGTTCTGACCTCATTTGTGCGACAAGAACTGACATATTAGGCATATAGGTCATTTCTACTGTTTCTTTTTTTTTTTCTCAGCTACACATGCAGGCTAGTGTGGTGAAATGTGAAGACGAACAGGACTGCTTTTATCTCATACCTATCATGTACTGCTTGTTTGGTAACAGTTATAAGGGACTGCAGTTGCTTCTAAAATGTGGCACTTAGCTTATTCTGGTTTAATTTGACTTGTGCCCTAAATACTAGTACAGTCGAACCCCTTTATAAGAGAGGGTGATATAAGAGACAAATGGGTATAAGAGACACTAGTATGCCTACAGTAAAATAGGGGGATTGGAAAATGCATTAAGGTCCTCTGCTTATAAGACACATTCCTTATAAAAGACGAGAATCGCTACACTAAGCATGCCTCTTACAAAAGGGTTTAACTGTATTTTAAATTGTAGGTCATTTCGCAGCACATTTTTGACAACCTAGCATTGTTTGCTTCATGAAATTCACGTTAATTGTTGCTTGGTAAGTATATTTTACAGTAAAAAAATATTTATGAAATGCTTCGACAATGCCCTGAACTTCAAATAAATGTATGGCAAACTTATTATCCGCTCCTAAAACACCAATAGCTGCTCTAAACTAGCATTTTGTCTGCTCCGAAAACACTTATGGCTGCTCCAAAGTATGCTTCTAAAAGTAGAAAGTCTCTTCCCTCACTGTTATTTGAAGTGTGCGGGTCGGTGTGTTGGTGTGTGTGTGTTTCTTTGCAGTGTATGGCACCTGACCAACTCATATAGGCCTTGCGGCTATGTCGTTGGCACTGGCACAAAAATGAATTCATTGTTGTCATAAGGATAATTACTGATTGCGAGCATCCTTAGATGCATTGTCATCATTGTACTAATTTATCACCGTGTCAGTGTCAGGTCAGTGCCATGAAACAAACCGCGTCCACGCCCGTACTTCCTTTTTTTTTTTTTTTTTGCTATGACACATCTGCGAGGTTTTCGTACAGACAGCGTGGAGAGTTTGGAGACCACGAGACAAAAGAAAGCTAAATATTCCATCTGCTTCGGCAGGCCGGCGGAGTTGTTTAGATTTTCAATTCATTTCACAATGCATAAACAATATGTACTGTGCAGTTTGACAGTATACACGGTTGTCAACAGGATTTTGTCAGGGGAGTTGAAACCTATGCTGCATCGCAGTGGGTGAGGGGCGGCGCTGGCGTGGCTCTGACGGGGGCAAGGATTATTGAAGATTAGGAGGTGCAAGTGCCCCTTTGGCACCCATCGCCCTGTCGACGCCCATGACACCGTGTGGTCACGGATTGCTGGGAAATTCAGTTTTTTGGGGCCTAAAATGGCCTCTGAACGTATGCCACCGACTGTGCATACCAATCCTAGTTTTTCAATGGACCGTACGCACTGATAGAAGTGCTGATCCAGATGCTCCAAACTGCTCCAAAAGAGAAATACTGCTCCATGGTGCTCCAAACAATGATTTTTGTTAGTAATTGCTCCAAACCTGCGCCGAAATCGCACTGAGAAAATGAAACTGACTTTTACTGGTTGACCAGCTCATAAGTCCTAAAGAAACTAAAAAGAACCTGTTTACTATCATACCAGTGTGTTGTGCAGCGTTGTTGGTGCTGATCTCATTTGTGCGACAAGAACTAGCATATTAAGCATTAGCTCATTTCAGTTTTTTTTTAACTAGACTTGCAGGCTAATGTGGTGAAATATGAAAATGAGCTCGATTACTTTTATCTCAATCGATTATCTACCGCTTATTTGGCAACAGTTATGTGGTACTGTGGTTGCTTCGTAAATGCGATGCTCAGCTTTTGATTTCTGTTACAAATACTAGTACTTTAATTATATAGCTCATTTCGCAGTATATTTTGATAACCAGCCATATTTTTAATTGTTTGCATCTTGAAATTTATATTGATCGTTGCCTGTGACATATATTTTATAATATTAATATTTATAAGATGCTTCGACGATGCTTTGAACTCCGATTGATGTACGGCAAATTTTGTATATGTTCCTAAAACACCGATAGCTGCTCCAAACTCACATATTTGCTACTCTAAAAACACTTATGGCTGCTCCAAAACAGTACTTTGCCTGATCCAAGTTATTCTCCAAAAAGTGGAAAGTCACTTCTATCACTGCAAATACAGGGAAGCATGGGCAGGCAATAGGCCTGGGATGCGTTACGCGTCGTTTTCATTTGCATTGTGGGGTGGTTGTTGGTGCGCGTGTGTGCAGGTACCCCCATAGATGCGGTGGACGCCAGCGGAAACTCGGCTCTGTTTGTGGCCATCACGGACGGACCCATTAATGCCGTCCCTTACCTGCTGCAGGCCGGCGCCGACCCAAACTTGTGAGTGAATGGTGTATATGCATCTTTACATATACGGTTCTCAGGGCAACGCCATGTTCCTCTCTCGGCTGCTCTAAGTATTGTGGCCCCCCAGAAATGCGAGGGCCGGGGCTGTGACGTCAGCCTTTGTACAAATTTTATAAACCCGTTCTGGGCATGTCACGTTTGCACCGGTGATAGGAAAGGCGATTAGTGCCAGCATTGTTGAGCGAGAGGCATCAAACCTCGACTACATAATCTGGTAGTACGCTATAGCCCCTACACTCCCCGGGATAAGTCGTACGTAAATGTAGAGAAGCCTGGCAACCCCTGCTGCAAAGTGAGAAGCCTGCTTCGTAGCAACAATTGTCATCCGCCTGGTGGAAGAAGCTGCGAAGAGCCAAGAAAACCTTGCCTGCCTGCTTTTAACTTCCCCTGCTTTTAATTTTAATCGCAGAGGTGCCTGCTCCTGTCACATGTATCAGGAACGGGGAGTAGAGGGCCTCGTTGTTTGTCGAGAAAAATTATCCTCATTATCATGCCGCGCAAATCTCAGCATGGCAGCGTTCTTCTCTCTCGTGAAAAACTAAGATAGACCCATCGTTCGCACTAACAAGGCACCATGTTTTTGTTTAGTCATCTCTATGTCTATTAAAACAGTGACATGCGGTTTCGTTTCAACTTTAATGAACGTCTAGTTTTTATTCTGTTTTAACTAGCTTCCTAGTAATTTTGTTATTGACTTTACGGCACTTACGCCGCATATGGATGTATACACACAGGTCTTCCAGCGATGCCTAAGAATCATTCATTTCAATATAGTTTGCTACGTATGGCTATGTGTATTTAGTGGGACTCTCTCTAAACGATAATTAGAAAGGCACCCACTCACGTGCATTGACGAAAAAATTTTGCAACAGGTGTTACTCGTGGAAATTTCGAAATCCCGCCAGTACGGTATGACGGAACATAATATATATTAAACCAATCGGAGCGCTCGTGACATCCTGCGGGGAGAACCATGGAATGGCTGAATTCAACGATACTGAAAATAACACCTTGCTCCGATGACAGTGCGTTTTTGCATTACACTCAAACTTTATGGTAACAAAGTTGCATCTTACTCTAAAATAAGTTTGCTAATCAGAAAATTCGTTAAAAGGGTATATTTCTGACATTATATCTATCACAAGACTACTTTTAATTTACTTTGTAACAACCAATATTTTGTTATTTCTGGGTTCGTTATGTCGAGGTTTGAGTGTACTTTACTTTGTTGGCGGGGGGGGGGGGGGTGTCAGTGGACAGCTCTACATGTTTGATGACGTGTGCATTGCAGTCGATGCAGCGAGGGCGCGACTCCTGTGCACGCGGCGTGTCGCCGTGGAAGCCGGGCCCTGCTCCAGCAGCTGCTGGAGTGCGGCGGAGACCTGCGGCTGCGCGACGCATCGGGCCGCACACCGCAGGACTGGGCGCTGGGGCACGCCGACCCGCAGTGCCGACGCAAGCTGGTCGCCTTCATCAACACAAAGTAAATCGATCTCTATATACTTCGATTTCTGCATTTGATATTCTATTTGTCACATTTAAGAAAAACAAAATGACCGCGCATTTTTTTTTTTCGGGGTAATTGTTGTGTTATGTAAAGCAGATTCGTCGTTACACTGGTGTGTCATATTTACTGCATTGCTAAAAGAGTAGGTAGCTATGGTAAACGACACCCAGCCTATCACCATGAAGTAATTGTCATTATCGTCGGCCTGACTGACTAATTGCAAGGCACAAGCCTCTTTCACACTTCTGCAATTAGTCTCAGACCAGCTGTGGCCAGGTCACAATATTCTTGCAAGCTTCTTAATCTCATCTGCCCCTTATACTTTCTGTCTTTTCTGGTTTCTCTAGGAATCCAGTCTGTTACCCTTAAATGCGATTTCCACGCTCACTTCTCTCTACGTGTTCTACCCATGCCAATTTTTTTTCTTCTTGATTTCGACTAAGATGTTCTACATCTTAGCTTCCTTGACCTGCTCTGCTCTGAGACCCCACCTATGAAGAGCTGTCTATAAATGTGTCAAATCGCTACAATGTTACTTCAAGGCACTCAGTATTCTATTGCTACACAAATAATATGATTATTTTTGAATTTATGTGTGTTATAGTAATTCATCCTAATTAAGTTGTAATTAAATATCTCTTTACCCTGAAGATATTGATGCTTACTTCTACAGAAATAGAACAAAATATCAGGCTATTGATAAAGTCAGAATTTATTTTTGGTTATGTCCATTATGAGCAAAGAAAAATGCTGCTTTTCACATTGCTTGCAGGAAGCGGCACATCGCACGACTCGTCAAACGTGGTAGTGCCGTCATAAAAGTGATTATATGTATCATTGCAAAATAAAGTTAAATGTCATCAAATTTATTATACAGAAGCTTCAATTTATTCAAAGTACGATATATCTTGCTCTTTGTTAGCCTCTTTTTTATGGAAATCGCTAAAACGAGTAGTGTACACAATTGTGTACATAGCCTCTCGAAAGGCTAAATAATAATTTGTGCAAATGAACGTTTCACTATCACTAGTCGAGACTCGGCGAATACTGTTCTGTGTGGTAATATCAGAGTATGAATTCATGTCATTTTATTCTTGTAATTGAAGGGACGTAAAAGCAAAATGTGAAGTTAGCTTAGACTAGCTATTTTTTATTACAGGCCTTTCATTATTTTGTGACAGTGAAGTCAGTGTTAAAAGTGAAAATTAGTTGGTCTTTTTTTATTACTCACTCTAACCACTGCACCTGAATGGTTGGCTACTGATTGGCCGTGCAAATGCCCCCCCCCCCCCCCCTTTTTTTTTTCGTATGTCTACAAAATACAGTTTACTTTTGCAGGTAACATTTGTGTTGGTCTATCAGGGTGTCTACCAACCTGGAAAACCTGTAAAACCTTAAAAAGTCAGGGAATTCAGACCCTTTTGGAAAAATCGTGGAAAAGTCAGGCACTTTCTGAAAAATGTGGCCAGGTCATGGAAACCGACAGCAGTTCTGTGTGCGACCGTCACAAGAATAAGCATTACCATTGATCAAAGCTTAAAAAGTTCCTCTTTCAACTGCAGCTACAGTGAGATACCAGAAGAGGTGTGAAAAAAAAAGAGTGTGCTTAACTGTTGTTTTTTAGTGTAAACGCGAAAGGATACACGACTTATGGAACACAAAGTTTGGTGACGTTTCGGCGCCAGATATGAGAGGAAGTTTTGTTCACAATAAAAGCCATATGAAAGGCACGGCGTATTCAAGTACGCCTAAATAAGTGACTTAAGCAGCAAGAGTACATTCTCAGAAGCGTCCCATCACTCCTGTTAAGCGTATGTGTAGTCATCCGTATCTGGATTCAAGGTGCTGGCATGATGCAAGCTTCTTTTAAATGCGGAGCATTTTATAGTAGTCGCACCTACATGCAAATCTCGCGTCAGTGGTAATGTCTATACTCCTACTACACTTGCTTGCATCTTGCATCTCGTGCCAACTGTCGCTCCTCCCCTCTCTTTCCCTCGCAAGGCCAACTCGGGCAGTGTCTGGTAGTAAAAATCGACTGCTCGCACTGCACAACAATTCACAGGCCACGAGATTAAGCGTTCAAAATTCAGCGAAGGGCGCCTGTACTTGGATTTCACTTGACTTGACACTTTGCTTGACTCGTGTAGATGCGATGGAAGCAACAGTACCATCAACCACTAGTGGGCCACAACCCAACATCAGCGTCCCATTACTCATTGAAGGCAACGCTTCTCCTTTATTCAATAAATAGAAATAATAAAGACAAAATAATAATTAAGCATTCCCAAACCATACCCAATTACGCAAAATTTAGGTGATACCCCCACGGCTCTGTGACGCATTTACTCGAGTGCCGCTCGTGAGAAGATGGGTTTTTTTTCTTTGTCCAGAACTCGTGCATTTGACCAGCCTATTTGGTAGTCTGTAGATTCTGCTTGCTCGGCGAGGGCAGTTGAGCACACGCATCGTTTCGTGGCGTCATAGTTTTGTTTAAATCTTTTTTTGAAATCACCAGTTCCACCAATGTACTGGTTTGTCACAATTATGGCAGCTTATGGCTTTAACAACACCAAGAAAATTTCTGCTCGGCAACTTGTCTTTCACATTGGCTAAAACATTCCTTAGCTTCCACATTGGTACATGCACTATTGTGGTGTGTTGCTTCTACACATCACACTGCAGATCTTACTTTCGAACCACATTGCTCACTTCTGTAAATTTATTCATGTTTTTCTAGGCCACGATTACTGTTTGGCTTGAAGGTTGTCTGGTTTGTCTAGGCTTGAGCTGCCGTCATCAGAAGCTTGCCAGGCTATTATTATTATTATTATTATTATTATTATTATTATTATTATTATTATTATTATTATTATTATTATTATTATTATTGCTGATGCAACAGCAAACGCCCTCAATTACACACTTATTGCTGGTAGCTCGTGTTTCAAAGGTAGCACTTGGGTAACTTTAGCTAAATTTCTCATTTCAGTTTCGTGAGATTGTGTAAATAAATCTACAATTATTTTTTAACGTGACATCCACAGAAGAGTACGTAAATCAAGGTAATGTGCCGACATTTGTGATTCATCTGTAGAATCAAGGTAGCTGTTGCGCCTTTGACAGATTCCTTTTTGCCACCACATATTCAAACGTCAGCACTTTAATAGCTGTCCCCAGCTTTCATTGCAGCCGTCCGAGGACTTTCCTTGCACTTCAAGCATCAGAGCCCAGAGATAAAAAATACAAACATGCATGTGCTCGTCGGAAAAAGAAAGAAATAAAACTTTGCAGAACGCCTCTGTTTTTGAAACATTGTTGTTACTCGTTGTCAAGGCAAGGTACACAAAAGATGCGAGTAGTAGTTAGTCCTTTTTTTTTTTTGCTGAAAAATATATTTTAGAAGGGCTCAAATTAGGCAGGGTCACAAATCAATAGTAAATACAGCAGTCCAAGTCGAATAAGATTTAATTCAATCCACATCCTAAAAATTTCATTCAATAAATGCAGCAGTTCAGGTCGACCTAATTCAATCCAATCCACATCCTAAACGCCGCGGGCTACAGCCACTATAGTAAACTAGATTATTCTCTAGTGGCAGAACCAACCAGGCTCTCGTGTCCTCATTTGACACGGACGCCGCGAGATGGCACCACTTCTACATTTCCTAGCAGCTTTGACTGCGATGTCGGACTGTCACAGACTTCTTGAAACATTATTCTATGGTTACTTTTAACTAGTGTGTTTGCTTCGTGGTTCTTCTGAACATCAAACGGCTAACTTGCTCACTGCCTGGCTAGGGGTTTTATTTTGGACAGATATACATATTTTTTCACATTTACAACTTGGGCTCGGAACATTCTGAGTGCGTCTGGTAAATATGCTTACTTATTCTGTATGGAGCGCCTAATTTTTTTTTTTTACCACTCACAAATTTGTTTACAGTGCACAGCTTTCCAAGCAGTTGTGGCGGTCATGGAATTTGCTTTAATCATCATGAAAAATTTGGAAAAGTCAGGGAATTTAGAAATATCAGATTGGTAGACACCCTGTCTATATACTTTTGAAATCTTTGATATCACTGCAAGTTCAAACAGAAACGGCGAGGAACCATTGTTAGATGTACTTTTTTCATGGTCCAAACCCACCACTTCCTTCAGAAACGGTAGGCTTTGAGGCATAATGACAGAGCTAACTTTCTGATACAAGAAAAGATGCTTTTTTTGGGTTCATTTCGCTCCTGCATGTAATGGCATTTTATTTATCTTTGTCATACCTTGCAAATCTAGATATACAGGGTGTCCCAGCCAACTTGTCCAAAGGTTAAACAATACAATAATAGAGCCGTGCGAGTAAAGTGTGTTACATTGCTGACAGCCACCTTGCTCACTAAGGACAATCTCTTTGTTTTGTAATTAATTTGTTTATTAGGATTATTCAACAAAATTGATAAATACTGACTTTAGGCGAGAAATGGGATTGGCCAAGTTCGAGAGCATCTTCGAAAGCCGCACTGCATCATTTGTGTTATAGAAATTCTCATGCGTACCATTTTTTCCAAGCTGCAAAGAAAGCCTGTGAAACACAAAGAAAGCTAGTAACCGGTGCATTTGCACAGCAAAATCGTGCGGCTCTCAACCCTTGTTTGTGTGAACTAAATCAGCTGCAACCACAACTCACCAGCTCTGTTGCAGTGATAGACCAATCAGTTGGCAGTGTTTTCTTTGCCCACACCGGCCAGTGGGCACGCAGAATGGTGTAAGTCGTTACAAGTGCTGTGATTGAGGTTCCGCGACTGCTATAACTTAGCTCGCTCTATCACATGCAGCAAGTTTCATTCAGATATTAAATGCCATACAGAAGTGTGCAGGATCTATCCTCCTCCTAAGGACACGCTTCTTGCAGTTCAGCTGTGGAAGCAGCTTTATCACATATTTCGTCGGACACATGTGTAGTACCTTTCTGTGCCATTATTGTGCTTGTAAAGCATAGGTATTAAAAGAGTATACTTAGCTGTGCTATTACGAAGTAAATAGGTGGCTTCCACCTGTAATATGTGGACCTGTATTCACTATTTAATAATTCTTACTATGTAAAAGAATTGTTGCTCAGAGCAAATTTTAGCCAATCGTGGCACTGAACGTAATATTATTAGTGATGGCACTCAGCTGATAGCAAATAGCCTTTACGAACAGAAACGTTTGTGAATATAGGTATCCAAATCAACTGAAAAAATGTATTGATGCAAGCTTGTTGGTACTCACTGAAACTGGGGTCAAACAGAAAATAGATGCAGCAAGGCAGAGCCCTGAAATTTGCAGCATGTTTTAAGACCTTGCCTCATAAGACCTTGCACCATTAATACGCTGTGCGCGATGCGTGCAGGCGTGCTCTGGCATACCGGTTTGGCGATGCGGCTGCCATACTGGAGGACGACGCTGCAGGTGGTGCAGGTGGCCTCGACAGCTCGCCCACCAAGGGTGGTGTCGCTGCGGCTGCTTCGTTGCGCCGACGCCTTGTCGGTCGACCTGCTGCACCTCGCAGGCCCTGGTGCGGCGAAAGGATCCGCGCCGATGGAGGATTTGGAGTGGTGCGTATCGTCCTGTTATCTTCTTATCTGGCCTTACCTTTATCTTACTAGAATGATAAAAGAAAGAAGGGTATATTTGGGGGCTCATTTTCTTTGTTAGGCACTATATTAATGATAACTGTCAGACAACTGCACAAAGGAAAGTATAGGGAATATTATTAGAAGTAACTATAACATTACAATTACTTCTAATAGCATTCCTTATACTTTCCTTGGGGTAATTATCTGTCAATTTTCATTAATATAACAATAAATTGAGACAGTGTTATATGTGCTGAAAATGGGCACTCCACATATATATTGTGCTTTATTGTACAATTGTGATTCATTGTACACTCAAACATCGATATAACGAACTTGGGTATAAAGAAATACTGGTTATAACAAAGTAAACAAAAAATTGCCTTTCAATAGATGTGATGTTTGGAATAAACTTTTATAACAAATTTTCGGATTTAACGAACTTATTTTTTGTAAGGTGCAACTTCGTTATAATCAGGTTCAAGTGTGTTTCGTTTCTTCTTCAGTCTGTGTCATACCTGACAGCACATTACAAAATATAGTTGTTTACTGGCCATGTATCTTCAATGCTTCGGCTTCTTTAATGCTTTGGTTTCCAGGTTTACTGCAGCCCAGCTCGCGAGACTGGTGTCACCACGTTTGTGCCATTTATAGGAAGCAACTACCTCTACAACTCTGAGGAGAACAACATTATCTGGAGCGGACCGCAGTCACTCATGCAGACGTGAGTATATAATGGCCCCCATTTTTTTTTTTTTCCCCTCTGGCTTGGATGTTTTATAACACAGTTATGCTTTATGTCTGACACCTATAGTATAGTCAGCATACTCATTTGTTATTTAAAATCGCCTATAAACAGCCCTAAGCTTTAAATGAATGCATATCGCTACAGGGAGTAGAGCAAAACCAAAAATGAAGCTTAACTCCACCCCTCCGTCCCCCTTAGGGGCTGCAACACACTGGTGGTGCGATGAGTGTGAGAAGAGCAACATAGTACTGGTCAACTTCCCCTCCACAATTTTTTTTCCTCTCCCCCGCTTCTTTTTCCCACCTTCTTGTCTTCATTTCTTTTCTATCTTTCTCTTCTCTCTCTCATGGCAGTGCACTCATACAGTTCCCATAAATGCTTGTTCTGTCAACCTGCCTGGAAAGCCGAGTAGTTGTGACATTCAGCTTTGGGTCATGCATACCCAAGTTTGAATCTCTCTCACTCTGTTGCCCTCCTCTAGAAATTCTATTTATTTCTTTTTCTCCTCTCCATTTCTCTCCACCTCCTTTCCTTCTTCGATTTTCGTTGCTAGGTTGTGCACATGACGAAGCCAGGTGCAGCTGTGCCAAGTGGTTGCTGGACAACACGAGCTTCTGTGAACGACCCATCGCAATAGCTAAAGCTTAAACAGCTCTTCTGTTCAGAAGAGTGGTACTCGAGAGATGTATACGAATGGCCAATTATTTGAGCACTATGAATATTGAAACAAGTCATTACCGTATTTGAATCCACTTCGACATTATTTAAAATATTTTTGAATTTTAAAGTATTTGAAACGAACAATTATGTGTGAAGACAATTAAAGTAAATGTCAATTGTCAATAAAAGCAACATAAATACAAGATGTCTCAGCTCCCACTGAGAAGCCTTGTTCACAAGTGAACAAATGAATTCATTTGTGAACAAGAATTCCATGTGAAAGCCGTGTAGTCTAGCTTTTATTTTGCTTTCGTTCATGGTCGGTGTTTATTTTATTTGCCTTCAAGTCTTCAAGTGACCAGAGGGGTTCCCGTCCATCTCTTGACTTCATAAACGAATATGCATACATTTGACTGCATTTGTACCTCAGTCATGAGGCAGTCATTGCTTGTATACATGTTGCGAACAGTGGTGAGAGTAGCGATTGCAACGGTGTGGTTGAGCAGCCTGCTGAAATACTCTCGTCGCAAGAGGCCCAACATACCATTCAGTCCCTCCGGGACTTTGTTTTTGTGAAAAACCCCCCGCCCAAATACGTGAAGCGCCGTGATGCTCTTAAAAAAGATTTCTGTATGCTGAGCTTGAAGCAATCAAAGGTGACATACTATGGCTTTTCTACAAACTAGTGCATAGTTGCACTACCTTGCTTGCAGGAAAATTAAATGTATTGACCTCTCTTTTGGGTTATTTTTTTCCCTCAACCCGCTTGTAACAGTTACTTGTTACAACGATCGGATTTTGTAGGCACTTGTATATCATTATAAGTGGACTGGACTGTACTCAGTAAAAAGCATAAGGAGTAAGCTTAAGATGCCATAATTGTCCAGCATCTCTTGCTGGTGTTGCACGTTGGTGATGCCTACAAACGTGAAGAGAAAAAAAATCATCACATGATGACACCACCATGTGATGTTACTGATCGCCAAAATATGTGACATAATCATGACGTTGTGTGGTGGCGTCATCACATAGCATCATTTTTTCGTCAAGGGTGGGCCAATCTCGGAGTCACTGCTGAGCAAGGTGAAGTGCTGAAAGTTTACAATGGAGGCATTGAAAGACCAGAATAGTTGCAGAAAGCTTTAGAGGGGAGTCTGGAAAGTTCAGTACATCGATTTAGAAGAAAAAGAAGTAATGGCTTTTGCCTTGAAGTTGATTGAGGCAAATGTATAAGGCAACTCCCTCTATCATCTCGCATCCTTCTGTGCACACAGCATGTACTGGGACAAGCTGAAGGTGTCGGTGAAAAAGTCGTCGCTCAGCGGCAGCCACACTCGCGGTCCCGGCTCCGACATCCTCATCACCGAGCTGGAGAAGGTCCGCCGGCTGACCTTCCACCCGTACCTGCTGTGGCCGCTGGCCGTGAGCCCCGTGCAGAACATGGACGACATGCTCCTCGTCTTCGAGTGCATCCACTTTGGCAGCCTCTTTGACATCCTGCACAACACGCAGCAGCTGCTTGCAGGCCGTGGCCCCCTCGACCAAAGTCGTCTGCTGCTCGTGCTGCAGCAGACGTGCGAGGCACTGCTCTTTCTGCACAGCCGGCAGTGGGTGCATGGATGCGTGTCGTCGCACTGCATCTATGTGGTGTCGCCGTACCTAGGAAAGCTCGGGAACTTCGAGTTTGTCCAGCGCAGGTGGGTGCTTTAACGCTCAGTCATTTCCATGCTCTTTTCTTTTTCTTCATCTTAACATTGACTATAAATAAAGAGAGCTCGCTCCTGCTAACGTACATTAGAAAAATAAGGTTAGTTGTTAGAAAGAGTACATTTCCGTTTATCGCCTTGTAATTTGCAGATAATACAGCCTGCAGCCAGCACACCCATTGAGCACATTCATCTCGTCCGTATACACGAGATGGATGCGCTCAATGGGTGTGCATTACTTTCGGTCATGAGCCTTCTGAATTAAATAAGAGAACAGATAAAAAGAAGGAAAAGATAAAAAAACAGACAAAAAGAGAAAGAGTAGTGACCTTGCTAATTAAGTCCATGCTAATTATTGTAATACAAAAAGTTATAATAATTCTGACCTGTTTAATTTATACAATTTTAAGACTTTCCTAGTTTGTAATGTGTTAACTTGTATCATTTTAATGATGTCCTTGCTAATTAAGACCTTGTTCATAATCCAGACTGCATGTTTGTCCAGCCTTCCACCACTTGTGCAAGCTGCCAACATTGTTATATTGCTCGTAGCATTGAAGACAATGCAAGTGTCAGTGTAGTGCAATGTGTGCTTAGCAGCATCGTTAGAGATTACAAAGATGACAGCATTAGTGCGCTCTTGAGGCCCTTCCTGAATTCACCAACCGGAAAGCCTTTGAGTGGCGAAAAGGTCGTTGGCAAGAGGATTGTCTCAATGTTCAGTGGATCTACTTTAAAGACTTTTGATGCACTGCAGCAATACCTCTGATGTATCTATTTTTTATAAACTTTTCCTGATACTTCTTTATGAACCTTGTAGAACACTGCATGTGCAGGCTGATGGCACAAGCAGTCAGTTACATATCTTTGAACTACATAATCAAATGAAAAACATAGTGCTAGTTCAGTTTGCCCTGGTGTGATGACAAATGATTGCAGCGAGGATGCGGAGGGAAACGATGCGTACAGCCCTCCATCTGAAGACTTTCTCGACTTCTACTGCCACTGGCTCGCCCCTGAGGTGCTCACTGGCAGTCGTCCCACCAAGATGGCCGACCTGTACCAGTTCTGTGTTGTCCTCTGGGAGGTCTTCACCGGTATGCTCGCAGACATTCCCTGCATCCATTTTTAATGTGAAAGTTAAGTGCTCCCTTGCAGCTAATTGGGCCGTAGATTGCGCAAACGAAACTAGTGGATACATTCCCGTTTCACATGATGATTGAGTGTCGCCATTCTAGACATCATTATCAAGCGAAACATTGCGGTGTTTCGGTGGATTTAAATTGTCCCTTTGCCTAAATAGTACTTTTTGCATTTTTTTTTCTTTCTTTCTAACATACGGTCCAATCTCATTAACTTGAACACGCTTAATTCGAACTCACCATGAGATCCCGTCAAAGCTATGTGTATTCTAATGGGCGAAAACGCCCGGTAATTCGAACGCGCAAGCACTTGCGACAGTTCATTCGAACATACCGCACTCAGAAAATGCTCTCACCAGCCCGCCCAATCCCGCCGCGGCACCTGCAACATCTCAACGCTGCGCGCGAAAGAAAGGAAAGAAAAGGCTGCGGTGGAATGTTTGCTCTCTCTCAAATGCCGATCTGCGACGCGCCTGTGTCATGCTTCTTCCTTTTCTGTCCCCATAGAAGTGTTGCCATTTGGGCTAGTTGGTATGACATGTTGATAGTTATAGCCCTAGAACAGAACGACTCTCTTTGTCGGCGTTCTGTTCTTGCATTATAACTGTCGTCGTTTCGTCTCCGCCATGTAAAGACCCTTCTACTTCCAACGTTGCGCGCGAAGAGAGAGGAAAAAAAAAAAAAGCTGTCGCGGGGTTGAATGATTGTGTAGTTGAAGGAAAGGTAAAAGGCATTGTCTTCTGTAGTCGTTGCCCTTTGCGGGAGCACGGCTCTGCGCCTTGAGGGGGGGGGGGGGGGGTCTCGCGCGCCAGTGCCACGCTTCCCTCTTTCTCGTCCCTGCTACGTAACCCTTCTCCTTTCAATGACGTGCGCGAAGAGAAAAAAAAAAAAAGCTGCCTTAGAGTGTTGGTTTTCTTTCAAATGCTGAACTACTTCTCTTCGCGTGGAGATGCTCCTCCTTTCTTTTCACGTGCTGGCCATGCTGCGGCTCCGCTACGTAGTCGTTGTTGTCGTCGTCTTTAGAGAGTGACGGCGCTAAACATTTCCGCGCGCAACTTCTCGTGCTGGGAGAATGCTCAAGCCGAAGTAGAAATGCTTTGCAAGCTGCGTACGAAACTGATTAACTCGCTGCAAGGCAAATGTGTGGAGACGCGCATCACCGATTACTTTAATTAGGCAGATGTCTTGTGATTTGTAAATAAATGTAAGTCTTCTAAAACTTCCCCCTTGTGTGTTAACTCAATGCACATGCTCCACTGCATGGAGAGCCCTCTGTTGGTTTAGCTTTCATTAATTCGAACTTGTTTAAATTCAAACAAATTTTCGTGCCGCTTCGAGTTCGAATTATCGTGATTAGACTGTATGAGCGAGGTCAACTGCAGTCACTGAAATGAGTGTGAAACCTATTCCGTAAAGCAAGAATGTTCAGGAGCTTACACATGCTCTGCGACAAACATGTAGTGTTGTGTAATAACGAATGTTCTATTGTTATACTGCACTTCAAATTTGTCGTGTTCAATAGGTACATATACCTCATTTTTCATTGTCATCATGTAAAACCTAGTTTTTAAATGCAATAATTTGATGTTCCAGTTGCTGCTCCAGTGGTTCCAGGTTAACTGGTTTACAAAACACATGTCCAGTACCTTAACTGGTTCCAGTAGCCAAGTGGTAGCAGTTGCTTACTGGTTCCAATGCGCAAAGGATTAGAAAATTGAATTTAGCGTGTGGTGGTAGCATGTGCGTAAGGACTTCTCGTTGCTCATGTTGAAGTTTAGTTACACTAGTGGTGGCACCACTTGTGTAACTAAACTGTGGGGCAGGATTGTCACCATGATGGTTTTCAATGTGGTGCGGACTCGTAGAGGAGGTGCCGTGGGGTTCGGCCGAACGTGCGGCGGTGGAGCGTGCTGTGACGCAGGAGCACCGAGGGTTGTCCCGCCGGCCGGAGATCCCGTCACCGCTGGACACGCTAGTGCGTGCTGGCCTGGCACTGGACCCAGCCGAAAGGCACACCGACCTTGAGGACGTGTACCAAGCTCTGGCTGCCATCGTGCAGGAGGTGAGCAGTGTGGTGCGCTTGACTCAAATATATGTTACAAAGCATGGCATTCGTTCATATCAGCATCGTCATTGTGAAGTTTGGACGCCATGTCCATGAAGCCATGTGTTATCAAATAATACAGGTGCCCTGAGGATTTCCATCACACATACATTTATCACACACCGAACTACGTAAACTTCTGCTGCCGCATTAGGTATACAGTGAAAGCTCAACATAATGAAGTCTTTTTAATATTACACCATAGTTTGTCACGTCAAAACATTATTCCATTAAAGTTTGGTTTTTCTGCAAAAAAAAATGATATAGTCGTTGACATGTTTTTTTCTTGTCAAGAAATGTGCTGCAAGAAATGTTCAAACTAGAGGTAAGTGTATATAAGCTAACTGTAATCTCAAAAAAGAAAAATTTTAGTTTAGTTGGACCTGAGAGTCATATTTACAGTTGTGCTATAGAAAATGGAGGGATTTGGTTTTGAATTGAGACTATATTTCTAGGCTGAGTCTGGGGGAGTGTTACAATTTTTTGTTGACTTATAGTTAGTACAAAATATCCTAACTTGTTGGCTTTTTTTTTTTTTTTTTTTTTTTTTTTGGAGGAGTAATTATCGATTGGCAGATTCGGAGAAGCCGACGAACTCTGCACTAGAGCACTCCCCTCTTGCGGAGGGCAACAGAACGGAATCTACCAATGGAACGCACGCGCTCCCCATGAAGCAAATGGCAGGGTTAGAATGATGTCAAAATGGAGCGCAATGTGTGCGTTTCTCTTCTGGCATGAGTGGGCACGCTGGTCAGAACGACGCTGCGCTGGCAAAACGTGAGCTCCGACGCGAGGTGCAACTGATGCGACCAACGTCCGTTGGTGAGCCTTAAATTGGCACTGTTTCAAGGCTGTTTCGAATCTGCTGATTTTCACGGAATAAGAAAATTGCTCAGTGAAGTGGACTTCGCGGCAAAGCTGCTCCAGATCTGCCAATGGAACATGCAGAGAGCACTCTCAATCTGCCAGTGTAAATACGGTTGCTCCGTGTGGAGCAGGAGAAAGCATTACCGGAAGTGCTCCGAATCTGCCAATGGATGACACCATGAGAAACTCGGTGTCAGCCCTGGCACGGCACACATTTTTTTATGTACTCTGGCACGCAGGGACACTGCAACGAAGGATTTGTCCTCGGGCGGCTGGAACAGGCTGGGGACACGTGCCGGGTCAAGTCGACGCCCGGCAAGCCACTTCCTTCCCGTCAGGCATCAACTGTTGAAGTAGAACACACCGCCTTTGTTCACCGGCCAGCTTCAATAAGGTGGATGTACAATTATGTAACAATGTTGACTGTAGAAAAAGCTAGGTTCACAGACAACAAACAAAAGAGAGTAGGCAAACAAATGACACAGATGCAGAACACCCAACTGCCATAGTTAGACGACACTGTGGCATGCCTCGTTTCTTCGATGACAGGTACGTATAAACTAGCTCAACCTTACTGACGGAAGAGCCTTGGTTGAAATTTGTCGATGCAACAGCAGCTAGAACTGAATACAATTCACGCAAGGGGTGAAATAAGCCCAAGGGCATCAGTTATATTCACGGTACCAGCAGTTTCATTTGCAAGCTATGCGCATTGGGGGTGAGATCTTACGGAGTTGCCCTGTATAGGGCATGCTTCTCTTGTGTGCCTCATAGGGTAACATCAGTGTGCTCCTCATATGTTTGGCTGCCAGCACATTACGAAAACGCCATGTAGAATTCCTTCTGAACACTTCTGTGAATACTTTGGGAATAGGGGAAGTTCTCATAGTAGAAATAAAAACATTGGATGAAAAATTGGACCATCTCCCGCTAAAGGGAGCCATGTGTAGATGTGAAGCAGCGGGCGTTAACGCTTACCCCCCAATGCAGAGATGTCACTTATCTCGCGCCTTCGACTTAATTTGAGCAGGTCGGCGTGAAGCAAGCAGCGGACTTCAAAACGCCCAAGTCAGCCTTCGCGTTTCATAGGTGCTCAGCCTGTCTTGCTTGGTCAAGTCAAGAATGACCTTCACAGTAGAAACACCCTGCTCGCCTGTTAACGAGGTTAATAACGAAATTGTTCACGTAAGCTACGTGTTATAGCAAAAAAAGACCATATATTTTAAGATGACTATAAAAATGAAGTGTCACAAGCATATTTTTGTCATTTTACGGCTAACGAGTGGCACTTGGTGCCTGCCGTCACAGCGATGCTCATTGTTGCTTCTGTAAAGCGTTCGTTGCCCGCTGGTTTTAATGGCCACCCAAATGCGGCGCGTTTCTCCATGCTTGCTTGTTTGGAAGCGAAACAAGCATCGCGTTGGGTTCTTTCGTCAGTTTATTTTTTCAATCGAGCGCCACGGTTTGAATTTGTGCTGACTTGGCTCACAAAATAACGCCATTTTCATGGTATTCGCCTTTCTGTTCGCCTGTGGACATGCTTGTAGTGGGCTAGGTTGCGTTTATATATGAAAAATAAAAAAAAAAACAAGTTCTTTAAATAAAGGTGATTCGTATCCTTTTGTTGAGCTCGGTAAACAAGAGAAAAAGCGGGGTCAGGACATTGCCCTCAGCAGAATTTTGTTTCGCGGGTTGCATCAATGTCTCGCTGCATGATGGTGAAGGGGGAGGCACATGAAAAAGCCGTGATAGCGGTACCTCTTTTTTTGTGTGTGTGGAATTTTACGTAGCATTCTGCTGCAAGCGATGCCTTTCTGAGCGAGAAATGGCACCCTAGACGGGACGAAGGGATAGATGAGGCCCACAGACACAGTGCCGAGTCAATTTTGTACCGAAAGAGAGGAAAAATGTCGCCGTGTTTTAGAAAAACAGTAATAGCCTTTGTGGTTACGGAACACTTCCGCGTCATCATCAGCGGGGCTATTAGTATGCACGTGTATGTAGCCGACACAACCTGTAACGCCAGGGAACTCAGCCACTTCATAAAAGTCCCGCATAACTATAGAAAGTGCCGCCGGCTGCGGAAAGCGCACCAGCATCGCGTACTTGTGCTTTGCGATGAGTACCGTAACTTTTCCAACTGCACGCCACACTGTCGACTGCGGACGAGATTCCCAGTGACTGTTTGGAATGTGCCAGCGACTGTTTGGAATGTGCCAAAACCTGAGAGCCATGAGTAGTTGTAACACTGGAGGCACAGGCTGTCTTTGGTTGTCCCTACTTTCACGGAGTGGCAACATAACCAGCAGCTGCCGCACGGCATTCTTCGTGAATCTGTACCGAGCGTGGAATTGTTGCTCGTCGTACAACTTCATCGGATTTCCTCGGTCACGTAAAGCGGGTCCAAGAATCTTTGACAGGCAGTGCGCCTCAAAAAAATGCTAAGCTTATGGTGACGCAAGCAAACTCAAAAGCGACCACCCTCCACGCGACGTCCATTCGAGAGGTGGCCATGTTCGAATAACGCATGAAGTCGCTTTCAAGCTAGCCCCGCAGCTGACTTGAAACTTATCCTGACTTTGACCGAGCCAAGTCGCCTTCAAGTCGTCCGCAAGTTTGAGAACGATTTATGGCCACCGGCAAGACTGTCTTGAGTCAAGAATGAGTCAAGGACAAGTCAAGTAACATCTCTGCATTCGGGGGTTACACTGGCAGCAACGTTGTCGCTGGCACTCACCAAGCAAAAGCTAAGTAAAGACGCCCTTGACTGAATTTCGAACGCGCGACCCAGTTCTTGCATATACGGGGTGACCAGTGAATGGTTGTACAGAGCAAGCAGTCTGTTTTTTATTAGTGGACAGTCTTGTGAGGCAAGAGAGGGGAGGGACAGTTTTACGGGTGTCACACACGGCGAGCGGCGACAGGCTAGGGAGAGAGTGACGTCAATGCGCGCTCTGTGAGGGAAGGCATGACCTACTTGGCACCGACCAACACCTGCAGGCAGGGGAGTGTGGTGCAGACGAAGGGACAGCGTTACACAGGCTAGTCAAAGAGCTGCTTCGCACTTAAAATAAAAAACAATTGTTTACAGCCATTGTCTGATTACAGAATACATTCAAACCGCTTTATAAGAGAGACTGATGTAACAGACAACCAGCTATAAGAGACACAAGTGTGTCTACGTTGAATTAATGACAAAAAAGTGTAAGCATGGTACACTGCTCACAGGAGCCACCTCACATGAAAGATGAGAATTGTTGCTTGGTGCATGTGTCTTCTAAAGGGGTTCAATTGTGTACAGTGAGGGCGCATTGCGCACCGTCGGCAACGTTCATTTTTTTTTCTTGCAAGTTTATGGACGTTTAATCATCATTGTTACTCAGGAGGCATTGCACTCTACATTTATTGGTCTCCTCAGCAAGAAATTTCCCGCTGCTTTTTTTTTTAATCTCTCACATTCATTGGTTAAGGCTAAGACAAACTTGAGTGCATGCCATGGCTTTTCTTTTTTTACCATGATTCCTACCACTCGCTTTTCATTCCAGCGAAGTACCCGGTATCTATAGCATCAAAACGCGCACATACCAAAGCTTAAGGCCGTGGCCTTCAAGGCTGATGTGAGGAGAAGCAGTTTACAAGGTTAAACGTATAGAATTATGAAGGACACAGGTAAACAAATATCGCACAACATTCGCTGGACTAGTTCTCCGAACAGCAGCTGTAGACAAGGACTTGCGTGAGCCAGGAATTGCTGTGAAAAACAAAGAAGTTATTGCAGCAAATAGCTGATAACCGGGTAAATACAAGGTTTAGCGACGACAATCTAAAGCTTTGATCTGCAACTTTTTGTCAAGTTGTTCGGCAATTTCGGTGACAAAAATTTTATTGATAACGAGGGAGACATAGTGCCTTTCTGGCAATACAATAATGTCTTTACAGAGAACTGATGACGTTGTGATGGGCCTACTTGAATTTGGGAGTAAACCCAATTTTGGGGTGGATACAGAGGTGTCAACATATGGGCCTGCTTGCGAGAGAAAGGCACCATTAGCCAATTAACGTGCATGAGCAAACATCTCAGTGAGTGCCTTCTCCTACTCATTAAACATCTTAGCCTTATGGTCAGCAGGAGCCTCGCTCGCAAAAGTACTGGCTGTACACGCAAGTTACAGCCTACAGCTATTCGGCATTTATGAGTCTCAAAATCCAAGCTTCACGCAGCTTCTTTCCCTGACGGGACACGCAAAGACTGACAATGGGCTTCGTTGCATATGTTCTGCGGCACCGCGCACTTGCCTATCGTATAAACGCCTTCAAAGACAGTGAATGCGCATTGCAGTAACCTTGAGTGTTGTCTAGTGCAATGTTTAGGTGAGAAAACCTCCCCAGGTGTCATTCTAAAATTTCGTTACCTGCACGCGTCGGTGCTTGAAGCAGACAATGCTGACCCTTATCCTACCAAGCTTGTTATGTCGAAAGTAGTGCAAGAATCTGCATAGCTTTTGAGCTATACATATAGTAGCTCAGTAGTGCTCCTTTGCGCTGCAGTGACATTTATTTTTGGTATATGTTGCATATGCCATGGTGATATCATTTGTGTTTGCAGGCGACGTGCACCATCAACCATTGCCGACGACGTGTCGGACGTCGTGGAGGAGCTGATCTCCCTTGCTGATGATAGGGCCGCGCCCATGCAGCGGTCTCCGCCCAGGCGGCCCAGTCGGTCACAACCACCGCGGGGAACATTTACCACCACCGCCACCGCGGCTTCGGCCCAGGCAGACTTGTTAGACAGCAAGTTTGACCAGATATCTCTCACCTCCAGCTTGGACCCCATGGAATTCACGTGAGCATTGCAGCTGTGAAAAATCGTTGACATGTGCATCTTAAATAAGTGTAATTTATAATCGCATTTGCTTCTCGATGACACAGGCACATAAATCATAGTCCAACCCGTGTGTGTAAAAATACTGGGCTTGTGTGAATATTCGAACACTTCGAATACTCTAAAAAATAATTCAGTATTCGAATTTGCTTCGATTAGAATTTAAATTATTGAAAATTCTGAAGTATTCGCAATGAACGAATAAATGTATACAAGTCCGCGTGTAACCTCATGTAAAGGTGGTTTCACTGCAGTACAGAAGTGCTACGCTGTGAAAAAAATTTATTCGAAAAGAATTGGCATTGTCGTGAAGCCCTACTTCAGGGTTAAATAAACGCATTACCTTGAAATCGATTCATCATTTCTTAAAGTTTAAAAGCTGGTTATGCCAACTGATATGCCGTAAGTATAGGAAACTTTAAACGTTATCACTTGCATTCTACTTAAAGTCAAATCCTGCTACAATTTAACCTGTTTCACTTCCTTTTAAACAAAAAAAAAAAAGGGCATTTGCATAAGCCTTATTTCAATTTTAAAAAATGTAGTGTGCAGGTTACTTAGTTTATTACAAATATGCCCAGTTTTCTTTATAGTATGTCATATAGACTATTCGAATTCAATTCGAAATTATTCGACCATTTATTCGAGCTATTCGCCTTGGACCTGAAATTCACTATTCTCACAAGCCTAAAAAATACGCTACATCAATTCCCTTACACATCCCACGCAGAAGGATAGCATTTTTAAAGTGTAGTACTCAAGCAGTGAAAGAGGACAATTTTTTTAAATTCAAATTTAGATGAGAAATTTTGAAGTATTCCAATAAACAGATAGACTTACAGTCAAACCGCACAACAAAACTGATGGGGCACGGAAAAAAATTTCGTTGAAGCGAAAATTTAGTTGTAGTGAAATCGAAAAAAATTAGCTGATCTTAGCTAGCATTTGTTCTCAAAATTCAAAAAATGTCCGCTGCTTCCTATTCTTTCCCAGCAGTGTCATGACGTGATTCTCACCCATGCATAGCGAGGCCATGGTGAAAAGCACGCTGAAACAACACCTAAAACCGCTTTTGTGAACGAACCAAACAGTTGCATTGACATATTAACACCAGCAGCTGTCCACTGAAGTGAATACGAGAACGCCGAGATGAAGGCAGGGTATCGTGAAATGGCGACTTTTGCATTATTCTGTGCCATTCTTATCATCCATCACTCACGGCTAGCTGATTTTGTTGATAATGCGGACGAACAACCACTCTGATTAGTTACCACACTGGCCAAGCGCGAACATAATGATAAGCATCGGAATCTGGAAAATTCACCGTGCTGCGTTTGCACCCAGCAGCTGCGAGAAGGAAACCATGAACTGAGCGACTGAGCTTCAGCTTTGGATCGTCTGCGACTCAAAAGCAAGCCAGCAGCAAAACAAAAGTAGGGCAGTCTCATTGCCATCACTATCGAGCAATGGTTGTGCCCATGCTGGCTGAGCAGCGGCGGTTTCTGGTGGTGCCAATGCGTGTTTTAGACTTCGTTGACGCATTTTCAGGCTCTGAAAATGCATACAAATGTTAAAGATTTGGTTTACTGCATAGCAATAAGTATCTGAGCCTGGAATTGCATCATAAAATTTCGTTAAAGCGGGATGGTTAAAGAAAAAGTGTTCATTGTGGCGATGTGGCTCGCATGTGCATGAGAAGCTGATTATATCTCCATTATTCTAAATCTGAACAATAATTTTTAAAACCACTCAATTCTTGGCCAATCCTTCATAGTGGGTATGCGCCATGATCAATAGGTGAACAAGAACAAAGACACGGCCATATTCACATTCGAATCCAGCCGCAGCTTTTTTTTTTTCTCTCCTGTCTGTTTTTTTGTGTTCGTGATTTGCCCCGATCTTTTCCAAGTTCTCGCTCTGCTTGACATTGTGTTTCATTTTTAGTGGGGTTTTTTTTTTCGTTCACCGAATATGAGAAGCGGTACGAGAAGGCAGTACTCAGCTGCATTTAAACTAGATGTTGTTGAGTTCGCAGAAGCGAATGGGAATATGGTGGCTCAGGGCCACTTTGGTGTATCAGAAAAAAGCGTGCGCTATTGGAGGGTGCAAAAAGGGAAGCTGCAGATGTGTAATCCTTGCACATCTACAGCCAGATGTGCAATCCTTGCATATCTGGCTGGGTGCTTTCCGCCTGGCGTCCCTTGCCAGATTCCGTGGTGGAAAATGCTTTTAAGAAATGTTCCATCATCAACTCATTGTATGGCAGGGAAGACAACACACTGTGGGAGGTGGCCAGCGACAAACCCTTGTCTTCAGAACACAGTGGTGCTTCGTCTGACGAATAGGAACAGTTGCGATGGTGGTTGAGGGGAGTTCTGACCATCGGGGAGCGGTGTGCCCAATTTGCAAATAAATGTCGGTCAGCAATTTTGGGTTGCTTTTCTTTTTTTTTTCGGTAACCAGAACTTTGGGGGTCGATTTATATTTCCACTCGACCTGTAGTCCGATTTATACAGTATTTTAATTCACATGTAATCCTTTTGTAAAAATTGTTTCTCTGCGGTAAAGTGGTGTTAAGCAGTCAAAAAACACATTTAGTGGAAATGCGCATTGCCGTGAAGTCCTACTTCAAAGTTAAATGAACATATTACCATCACATCATTTTTTATGTTTAAAAGCCTCTAATATTACCTGCTTATGTAATTTAAGTATGGCAAATTTTAGAACGTAACATATTTTTACAGGTTATCACTTGCGTTCTACTCAAAGTCTAATCCTGCGACTATTCAAAGTTGTTTCCACTTCTTTTAAACTAAACAAGAAGTGGCATTGGCACAGGCTTCGTTTCAGTCTCAAAAAATATTGTGCAGGTTACTTTACTTAGGTCATGACAAATATGCCCATTTATTTATGTAAGATGTGATGCATACCATTGTAATTCTGTTCGAAACTATTTGACCGAAATTATTACTCGTTTGAACCGGAACTTCACTATTTGTGCAAGCCTACATTCTGCTCCTTTGTTTCGACCTGCTGAAGAGGATAATCGGATGAGCATCGGTCTTCTCATTAGGATGAGCTTATTGAAACTTGACTGTATAACTCGCTATGATGTGAGTGTGCCGTGCTAAGAAGGTGTGTCATGGTTTGCCGTCCTTTCAACGTTGCAGTTCGGAGACGCCCAAGGTGCCCACCTTCTCCTCCAGGCCCATGGGAAAACACTCGTTTGAGGTGAGCATCGTTTGCAGTGTCTACCACCATCAATAAGCTTTTGTTGCGTGAGTAATGGCTGAATATGTCTTGCACCAATGTCACTATAACTTGTGAAAAGGTAAACGTACTTGACTAAGATCTGTCTGGCTGGGTAAAATTAAACGAATAAACAGACTCTCCGGCCATGTGTATTCTATAGTAGTTAATAATGAAATTAAAAAATTGTCTCTGCATTTCAAGACTCATTTGGTCTCTCTTCACTGTCCGGCCAACTCTAGAGATAGCGCATTTTGTGAAAGTTTGCTTGTCTCTCCTTCGTCATTCTTCCCGTCTTCCTTGTTACTGCACTGTTTTTTATATTGCATCTGCACCCAAATGAGGAAGCAGTGTAACAACAAGAATGGCTGCAGAGACGGAAATGAGCACTCACAAAATGCCCTAGTTTCGGAGTCAGCCGTCAGTACCCACCATCGAGACAATTTTTAATTTGAAGTAAAACTTTGTGGTTGTGCGGATTTTCGCGGAAAGGTGTTTGCAGTATAGCATCAATATGCTGTAGTGAAACCACCTTTACAGATGGATTACATGGGGATCAATATAAGCTGATTCATTTATTTCGTGTACTTCGAAATTTCCCCAATAATTTAAGTTTGAATCAAAGCAAATGTTAATACTGATTCAAATATTGATGCAATGCTAAATGAAACACATAAGGCAGACTAATTAATTACCGGTAGTTAAGGTGGTCTAAGAACATTGATGATTGGCAATGTCTGTAATAAAATCAGGATGGTAATTTCGATCCTCATTAGCTATAGCAAAGAAAAATTAGTTTTGTAAAGTTCAAGTCCAACGCCAAAGAAAAGCGTGCAAACTTATGTTGCACGATTAATGTGCGACAATAATACTGCGAAAAGTTGACGAAATGGGTTAGTGAAAAAAAAAAAGCCAAGCAGTCAATTCATGGTGGGGAGAAGTGGGAATGGAAGTTGAGGCTCGATTTCGTACTTGTAAAATTTGCTGTTCGAGCATAATTGGATGAAACGGGGCGTGTCGACTTTCATGGCGCTTTGTCAGCCCGCACCGTGCAGCTGCACTTTAAGTTCAAATATCAGCTATCAACAACTGTCCCAATAAGCGGCAAAGCCAGCCCGTGGGATGCGTCTGCAGGCATGCACCCAGACAGATCCCGAGACGCCGCCGCCAGTGAGGCCACGCACCAGAGGCTTTGTGCCCGCAACCGAGAGGGTGTCAGTTAGCAACATCAGGACGTCATCTCGCTTCGCGGACAACCTGCTGCTCGACACGGAAGAGGTGCCGTCTGCCAAGGTGAGGAAGAGGTTGTGCAAAACAGTGCACTTGTTAAAACTCAGGTCACTGGGAGGTTACACAAAATAGTGCAACTTAACATTACAATCTTTCATAATTTACGTTACATTAAAAAGTTCATTGGTTGGTTGCGAAACTTTATTGAGGTCCTACAAGGCGAGCGTCAGCGTGCAGCGGGCGACTCCCACGTCGGAACCGTAAGGCCAAGCCTATCGGCCGCTCCGCGGGCCTGCTGGACGGCCCAAAGTTGGTCGGCCAGGAGGGAGCTGCGTAGGGCCGCCTCCCACCTGACCAATGTAGTGTTGGGGTTAGTGTACGTTGCCTTGCACTCCCAGAGCATGTGCGCCAGTGTGGATACATCCCCACATGCGGGGCAAGCGTCATTGGGGAACACGTCAGGATAAATAGCGTGAAGGGATCTCAGGTTAGGGTACGTGTCGGTCTGCAGTAGTCTGAGCGTAAGGGCCTGTGGCCTATTAAGGTTTGGATGAGGGAGTGGATATAGTCTCCGCACGAGGTAAAAATGTTTTGTTATTTCGTACGTGGCAGGTGCGTCCCTGTTTTGCGCAACCCCGTTGGCCCCGAATCGTTGCCCGGAGCCGGCGCGGTCGGTTAGCGCACGCGCGGCCTCGTGGGCAGACTTGTTGAGGTTGGGGCCTTGGACCTGTCCAACATGTGCAGGAAACCAGATCAGTACGTGGTGCTTGATGTTGTCGCGGCCACCACTCTGGAGTACCCGCAGGGCTTTCTTGGAGATTACACCGCGCTCGAAAGTGTGAATAGCTGACCTAGAGTTACTATAGATGACCTCCCTTTCACCGTCCAGGATGATTAAAAAGTTCATCTCTAAATCATTTAGCTCTTACTAAATATAAATAATAAATCCAGTATGTATAATCCACCTCACTCTTGGCTGATCCACCTGAATGGGTAGGGGCTAATATTTCAAGGAGCATCATCATCAGTTGCCTGGCTGTATAAGCGCAGCTTCCATAACTTGCAGATTCTGGTGGTGGCGTATGGAATGAAAAACCCGGTGTCGATGAGTGTGAAAAAATGTGGCCCACAAAGGTGCACCAGTCACATGCTCACACTGAAACCTGGATATAACGAAATATTAGTTATAACGAAGCAAAAAATAATAATCTTGAAATAGTTTTCGGAATGTACCTTTATAACAAATTTTCCGATATAACGAGCTTATTCTTGTGGAAGACGCAACTTCGTTATAATCAGGTGTGAATGTGTTTGTATGCGTCATTTTCCATCAATTAGTGCCCCTTCAAACGTGAGCTTCTCAGCAATCGGCTGTTTCTGGCGTGGCAATCAGATGTTTTATTGAAGTCACGTGTTTTAAACTGTGATATTTCATTGTTTCCTGGGTATGAACGTTGTTGCCTGTAGCGATTGAAATTTTGCACTGCTGAGCATGTCAACGGAGGTTCAGTTTCAGCATGGAGGAAAGAAACAGCTGAGAAGGAGCGTCGGGCAATGCGATAGGTACGAAGAGAGCAAGAAAAAAAATGGCCCTGTATTTGCATGTCGTGCCTCTGGAAAGAATAAATAAAAGGTTTATTTGATGTTCTGCGCAAGAAAATCGGTGAATGGTATACTCGAGGTGTTGCGTTAAAGTGCCTCGAGCGTGCAGCAGAGGCAAACGAGCGCATTAAGTCACGTTACACGTGAGACATGAGCGCTATCTGGCAGTTATCTTGGAAAACGAAGCGTGCGTGCCCTGTGCGCCCGTCTTAGAGGTGATAAGGTGTAGAACGCAAGGCGACAGTTAGGTGCCACCACCGTGTCGTCTTAGCAAAGCGTTAGAAACGCTTGCCTTTTCATGCAAGCGTTGCCTGGTCAGCGCAACGTGATAACTGCTACGGTCATTATAATTACTTATGAATGCTAGTAAGAGACACACATACAAACTATTGGCGTGTTGTTACGTTGCCTCAGATATGCGCGATTGCTTCTTGATTGACATTCGCACAAGTATGAACGCTAAATCTTAAGCAATATTGGTGGGCGCTGTGGATGGGGTCGGCCATCTGGAGTATCGTTTGGCCACTTTGGTGCCGTTTAGGGTACCGTTAAGGGTGGACAAACAGAGAAATGTACAGACAGAGGAAAAATTTTTGCACCGAAGGTCCCCAAGAAAGACTGTCGTCCCTAAAATAATTTAAATCCAGCCTTGATCCTATGTTTAGTGTAAAGATGATGTAACGCTTTTCTCGGCATAGTGCTAAATCCTACAATAGTGTTCTTGTGTAGGTCCCGGTGTAGTGGCAGTCGCACCCTTGTCCACACTATGAGGCATTTATGAGCATGAAACCTGTAAGTGTTGGCCAGCACTGCTCCTAACCCTGATAGTCTTGTTAAACAAATAAACCAGCCCCTAACATTCTCTTCTTTTCAGTTGTACACTTCAGAGTAATGTTTAAACATTAATGTGTGCCAGCTAGTCGAACTCTACATTTTGTTGCACGCAGGCGTCCTCAGCACGGGTCGTCCATCAGCCAACTGTCGTGACGGCACAGCAACAGCAGCCCCTGCAGCAGGCCGCGATTGGCGATGGCAGTTTGCGGCGCACGGTGCGCCCCTGCAAGCCGGCCAGCCACTCCTACGGGGTGTCGCCCTTCATTCAGGGAGGTGCCAGCCGCATCATCTCTTCTGCAAACACCCAGCAGCACCGGTGAGTGTCACGTACATTGTTGTAAATAATGAAGGGGCTGGGGTGAGGGGGGGTCCTGACAGCCTTTGTGTTCAGATTTGGGGCGACACTTTTTTGCAAGTGTCCCTTCTTGAAAATAATATCACATGTTGACGATTATGCTGGTTTAATTCATGTTTTGGTCTCAATGGTTATTACTCATATTGTTAAAAAAATTTCGTACACATTTTTTTTAAATGTCTGTTTACAATCTAGTGGTATCCACATTAAATCCCCCTTGGTTGTGTAAAACAATAGCAATGCGATAGCGTTAAATAGCTCGTTTCGCTCAAGTCATCTTGTTCCTGACTGGAAAGTTAATAAAAATTCAAATAAAATAAGCCAGAAAAATTTTCAGGTTTGAGTGAAGATCGAACCCAGGCTGTCTGAGTGGTAAGCAGGTGTTCCATTGCAGAGCCACGAGATTTATTGAAACTGCTTTGGAAAAAAAACACCGTAGGAAGGTCATGCAGGGGAAGGAACGTCTCGACGCATCATATATTGTGTGGTAGAAGCGTAGAATCCTGCCACGTGTCAAAAGTGCGAGTTTAGCGACAATGGGTGTCTCGAAGGTCCACCCATTATAAAACCCTCAGGCACAGTTCATCTTCAGCAGCAGCAGAACCATCATCAAAGTGAACAGCTGCATTGGGTTCACGTGTTGTTTTGCAGACGCAAAGTGGGCTCTTCGTTGATTGGCAAAAGAAATAATTATGGCATGGTGAGCACTTAACAATGGTGCTTGTAACAGCCATTAAATGATACTTCCGTTTTCTTACGGCACGGTTGAGGCACGCACCAAGAATTGAAGCAGGCTAGCAGTGCACAAGGTGATGCACACGAGGGCCGATCACACTATTCGCATCCCACTCTTGAAGGCGAAGCTCAAGCGTCCTCCAATTTTTTCATATTGCAACTGCATTTCAACGAATTTCCAGAAAGACTCATTAGTACAGTATATTTGCGTATAGTGTGAATCCTGTGTTTCTTCTCTTTGTTTGAGAGCGTGGTTTAAATATTATCTTATTTAAAAGAAAAGTATATCAAAAAGACAAAATGGCCACCATTACAAGATCTGTGTCTCCCTTTATTATATAAATTTTCTGAATTTACATCACATGTGACTGTCATCACAGTCACGTCACACTGTGATGACAACTGATATATGTGCCTCGCTGAATGATGCAACTCTCCACCAGTCATGCTGTAGAAAAACCAGGACAGGAGAGTGCAAACAAAGCAAATTGTAAAGCTTATGTGCCATGTTGAATGAGCTGTTATAGCATTTTGCAACGTCTGATTTCGAGGACGCCTGAAATTCCGGACATGCTTGATTTCCCAAACTCATCTGTGACCCCATCAAGCTCCCCATAGATTCAATGTACTGAAGAGTTTGAAATTCCGGACGTTTATAGCTTTAGCCAACCAATTTTCCGGACTTTTTACCGCTAACCCCAAACTTGAAGTCGCCATTTTGATCATTTTCAGGCCCTTGAACCCATCAGCCGCAGCTGTCGTACCCTTGAAACCAAAAATGCCGCAATTCAGCGCATGCCAATCCGTTTCCAGCCGTAGCTTCGGCCACATGGTGCTGTGCAGCCCACGAGTGCAGCCTGTGCTCCGACGGCGGGAAAAGCTACGTTGTTGACCTATGGTCTGCCGTCGGCATGCATGCAGGCTCTTGGAAGGCAGTTACGCAACACAACCCCCGAAACCGTTTTCTCCACGCGAGCTCGGAAGCCGAGACAGCCGTCTCGCCCGGAGTGGACAGCGTGTGCGACGAGCTTTCACCCGCGGGCGTTGCTTTCGACGATCTGCACGTTGCTGGTGTTAAGATTCCAGCTGGGATAACGCTTCAGGGCTTCTCATGCACTGATAAAAACCTCCAGCTGTTTCTTTTTTAGTGCCCAAGTGTTTACAAATGCGGTAGCGTTGGCCTCATCAGATTTGTTTTAGGGGCGAAGCTCCCTGTCGATTCCGTCATTGTCGTACGAAGCCACCGAGATGCGAGATAGCAGTACTTGGAGTGTTCACTAGATGGATAGACGGACGGATGGACGCATGAGCGGAGTGGGTATGTGCCACAGGGGATGCGAGATGGCGATACTTGGAGTGTATGGTGACCCCGCTCTAACTGCAGCGGACGATCACCGCGGGTTCACGCTTAGCGAGCCACAGGGCCGCTACTCCGTTTACTCGCGTGTAGCGCACCGCTCCGCGCGCGCTCAACTGATAAGGCGTTTAGCGCGGCGCGGCAAATAGACAGTGTTCTAATGTAAAAGTACACAACACTTTATTGCCTCTGGCGGCACCCCGAACAACAGTACAACGTCCACTCCCGGGACGCGGGTAGCAAAGGCACCCGCACGCGGACGTTCACAATAAGGGGAAAACCGCGAGCACGTCGCAGCTGGCAATGGCGAGCTTTGACACGCCGGTCGGGAAAAGGTCCCTCGCGGCTATGCTGCGCACTCTCACGATGGCCACTGGGCCTGGTCGCGAGTGTTAGGGCAAACCTCGTACGCGTAGGCCTAACGCAAGTGCGGCTCGTTGTGGTACGACCACTTCAAGCACTAGGCACCGCTCTGGGCTTAGCGTACGCTCCGAAGCTAGCACTCAAGTAAACACGCCTGCCGGGGTGCCCCAGGGCCCCCCAGGCAGGCTACCGTCCGCGATTCCCAAAGGGGACGCGGACGAAGGAAAACACGTGCTTACCCGGCGCTGTCCACGGAACAAGAGAGTCGAGAGACGCTCCCTCGGCGCGCGCAGTGGCGCGCGCCGGGCCCGCGCGTGGCGCCATCTATCGCCACGTGATGTTAACAGAGCAGGGAAGCAAAAGGGTGTGGCCGTGTGGCGGAATGCCCGCGAAAATGGTCGCGGGCGCGCCTCAGATCCCCACATCCTCCTCTCCTTAATTCACCCTATATACCGGTCTGCAAAGGCAGCCGGTCGTCACCCATGCATGCAAAGGCGTCATGCAATGGGCAACAGCTAGCCTCAGCCTCGCTCTGCAACTGCTGCTGAAGAAAAAACACAACACAAGAATACACTCTAGAAATACAATGGCTCCGCGGAAGAGGGGTAACGGGAGTTCATGATGCTCACGCAAGAGCGCGTCCACAGCTCGGAGGGGAAGCGTCACGTAATGTTGGACTTGGGTGACTTCGTCTCGTCGATGTTGACGACAGCCCTGCGAGTCCGACGAACGCCGCCTCGGTGGAGGTTCGGAAGGACCTCGCTGCGACAGCCGGCCCTTTTGCTGGAATCAAGGTCGCCAAATCTACTGGCTGCGAAGCGTCCTGCGGCGTCGGTCGAGTCGTGCACAGCGTCTGCGACAGCTGGCCTCGTACAGGAGCCGTGATAGAAAGGCCAGCAGAGCTTATCAGCGACGGTCGGGAGCAGGGCGCAACCGGACTGCCTAAGGACCGCAGGTCTCCGAACACCTCCAGAGTCCAAAGTGGTGTAGGGGTCGGTGACTCCTTAAGCTGTCGCCACACGCACACACACACGCACACACACCTCCGATGGTCGGGTCTCTCCAAACGCGCACCGCAAAGGAAGCGCAAAGTGTCATTTGTCCCTCTCCCCTCGCTAAAGCACCAATTCACAATCCCCTCCTCCAGCGAGAAGAAAAAAAGAAAACACGGAAAAAAAACATCAAGTAAACAACAACACTCACATGACAATCAGCAGCAGTAACTGGGCGGAACCGACTTCTTTGCAAGCACTGGCTGCAAAGAAGTTAGCCAACTGAGACTAGACAGTAAAAATGAGGGCCTTCGGTGGCGGAAATAAGCCCGCCGTCCGGCACGAAATCACTAAGGTGACCGCTTCCTCAGATTATACCGGTGCGTGGTCCGAATGCGGTCCGCCGCGCCGGGTGTGCGCCGTTGCTTGCGCGAAGAGCCACTGGGCGCTGGCGCAGGCTCGTCAGACCTCGACGCAAAGGCTTTCAGGTCTGCGATATGGGCACGCCAAGCCAAGTCACAACCTTGCTCAGTTTCGCAAAACTTTAGAGCCACTCAGGTGACCGGCAATGGGCTCGTCATGAGAGGCTCGCAACAGTGCGGCTCTCAGACTTTTGGGCATAACCACCTTAAACGGGTCTATGGACTCGTCGTAAGTGACTATATACTTCAGCAGGAGCCCGTCATGGTCCAGCAAAATGAATCCGCCGGGGACTCAGCGACACACGCTGTTTCAGCCCCCTAATCGCGCCCGCCGCAGAACAAGCAGCGTAACGGCGCGCCTCTCAAGACGGTTTAACGGCGCCCGCCGCAAAGCAAGCAGCGTATACGGCGCTCCGTCCCTCCGAGACTCGAAACGGATCACTCTGCTGAGCCTTCAGTAGCTCTTCGCTGCCGAAAGCAACTCCCATTCTCCCAAATGGGGGAGTCTGGTATCGCGCCCCCTCAGGACCGCAGCAACCGCCGCGTGCACGGCGTCACGGGTTCGCTCTCGGCACGGTGGCCTTCGGAAAGTTCCCCCCGCTCGGCCACTACGCAGTGCGCCGCTTCCTGGATAGCAGCCAAGGTCGTCCTCAAGGGGACTCCCCCTTTTCGCCGCTGTTTCGCCCCCGACGCTTGCCAGTGCTAAGGCACCGCGAGCGGCCGTCGCACCGGAAGCCAGGTTCTCGGCAGACAACAGGGGCACGAGATAGCGCGTCAGCTACCACGTAGGAGTGTATTCACCACAAAAAGGGGTGACGACACAGGCGAGCGCCGAAAGGCACCCGTCGATAGAGGCAGTGGCCTCTTTGTGCAACGCGGCATGCCACGGAGCAGACATGTTGCGACGAGCCCGAATCGCGCAGGCGAACTGGCTCGCTAAGACTAACCAAAGGCTTAATGAGCCCTTGATACCGCGTTGGGTACCAGGCTGCTAGGTTGCACAGCAGCCAGCGGGCAAAATTCGGCAACGGCTGAGGCCGCGGTGCCGATCTGCGCCCCGGAAGCTCCACTTAGAGCCGTTTCGGAGCGCTGTGACATGGAACTGCCATGCATTCCAAAGGGAGCAGTAGTAGTCCAATTTGCCCTTGTGCACTGTTCGGGTTGGGCTATGGCCCCGGACCCAAAACACGCTACCTCTCCAGTGGGAGCTGATACGTAGCGCCTCGTGTCATCCCGACTGGGGCTTGTGACAAGTGAGGGTGCGCGATTGTGATGCTCAAGGGGGCACTGGCCCTGTTCTCGAGCAATGCGGTATCTGCTAAACGCGTCAGCGGACAGAACTCACGCGGAGCAGACATAACGCGGGTAAACGCGGCGAGCCTGATTCGCAAAGGCGGCCGACTCGGCTAAGACTAATCAAAGGCTTAATGAGCCTTTGATACCGCGTTGGGCGCCAGTATGGTGACCCCGCTCTAACTGCAGCGGACGATCACCGCGGGTTCACGCTTAGCGAGCCACAGGGCCGCTACTCCGTTTACTCGCGTGTAGCGCACCGCTCCGCGCGCGCTCAACTGATAAGGCGTTTAGCGCGGCGCGGCAAATAGACAGTGTTCTAATGTAAAAGTACACAACACTTTATTGCCTCTGGCGGCACCCCGAACAACAGTACAACGTCCACTCCCGGGACGCGGGTAGCAAAGGCACCCGCACGCGGACGTTCACAATAAGGGGAAAACCGCGAGCACGTCGCAGCTGGCAATGGCGAGCTTTGACACGCCGGTCGGGAAAAGGTCCCTCGCGGCTATGCTGCGCACTCTCACGATGGCCACTGGGCCTGGTCGCGAGTGTTAGGGCAAACCTCGTACGCGTAGGCCTAACGCAAGTGCGGCTCGTTGTGGTACGACCACTTCAAGCACTAGGCACCGCTCTGGGCTTAGCGTACGCTCCGAAGCTAGCACTCAAGTAAACACGCCTGCCGGGGTGCCCCAGGGCCCCCCAGGCAGGCTACCGTCCGCGATTCCCAAAGGGGACGCGGACGAAGGAAAACACGTGCTTACCCGGCGCTGTCCACGGAACAAGAGAGTCGAGAGACGCTCCCTCGGCGCGCGCAGTGGCGCGCGCCGGGCCCGCGCGTGGCGCCATCTATCGCCACGTGATGTTAACAGAGCAGGGAAGCAAAAGGGTGTGGCCGTGTGGCGGAATGCCCGCGAAAATGGTCGCGGGCGCGCCTCAGATCCCCACAAGTGTTCACTAGATGGACGCACGGACAGACAGACAGACAGACAGACAGACAGACTAGAAGACTGACAGACAGATGGACGCACGGATGGTGGCGCGGAAGGATGGAAACAAGAACGAACAGACGCACAGAAGCACTGACGGGCTGAGGGACGCGTCGCCCCACTCATCATCACTCGCTCCGTGGATATGCTGTGATTTTTCTCTTTTTTGTTTCTTTCAGCTCTTTCAGAGCCACCTAAATGATGCATTTGCTAGATTGCAATGAGAACCCTGTACTCCTGTTGCTACCCTCTCTGTTAACGAAAAGTACCTATTAAAAATTGTGTTTTCACGTGCATTCATTTTTTCAGGCTGTGTGAGTTTCTGTATGCTTTTGCCATCCTTTGGGGGTCCGAGAAATCGGACATCGACTGTAGTAAGAAAATATCCAGCTTGTTTGGATGACATGTCCACAGAGACAATATTGTGGCACAATGCTATAAGGCTTTAAGCATCTACAATTGAAATTACTTTTGTTTGTATTTTCAAGCCTGTATTTTCAGCTGCAGTGCATTGTTCCAGTCTGATCCTGATGTTTCTCTAACAAATCCAAGACAGAAGCTCAGGGCAAGATGAATGCTTGAAGTGATTAGAAAAGGTTGAACAGGTAATGTTGCTGAGGCCACTGCATTGACAAGGAGGCCTTCTCTGATAAGAGACCCTGATAAAGGCTTTTGTTGGAATGGCTCCAGCTTCTTTCTTTGTTCGTTTTCTTCCCAGCATGTGACATATACAGGAGTGCCTTGACTGCACTGATGGATGAATGAAAAAACTTTATTAAGATTCAATAGGTCGTTCCAGTGCCCTAGCGTGAAGCAGGCCGCTTCCACATTGAGTCCAAAAGACCTAGCCTTTCAGCCGCTTCGCGGGCCCATTGGCCTGTCCATAATTGTCCCTCTAATGTAGTACTGCGCAAAGCTGCGCCCCGTCGTCCTTCAGTATTTTCCTTGTCGCTGCGTAATGCGAAGCTACGCCAGAGGATCTGAGCAAGATCTACGGTGTCGTGGCATTTACCACATGTTGTAGGAACACACAACTCCGTATAAATTCTGCTAATTAACAGCAGGTTCGGATACGTTCTTGTTAGTAATCGCCTGAGTGCAATGGCCTGAGCTCTGTTTACTTTATTGTGTGGAGGGGGGAAGACTCTGCGTCATAGATAGAAATGTTTTGTTAGCTCGTTGAACGAAATGAGGTGATCCTTGCATTTTGAAACCTCAGCATCTTGTGCTATTGTGACACAGTTAGTATACATATCAACACCATAGTTCCTGACCATTGTGTCTCTCTTGCAGCACCACGATGGATACCTCCTCCAGCACGTACAATGCTGAGGTGAGTGCCACTACTTTTCATTCCTTCAAGAAAATTTTTCTTTTGAAGAAGAATTTCTAACTAAAAAATATTGGCAAAGAGGAAATATCAGTGCAAAGATTTTTAAGAATTACGGTATGAAGTTAATCAATGCAAGCTCTGAGTTCCTGTTCTTCTGAATGCAACTACTAATTCGGTTTGTGTCTAACTATTGCTTGGTTAGACAGCAATGTCACTGAAAAAATTGAGGTGTCTTATAAACTTTTAACACCGTCTTAACAAAGTCACACTGTTCCGATTGCACTGAATACTAATGAAGCACAGGAAACTCGACTATAACAATGTTTCTTGTAAAGTTTTAAGAATTAGATTGTTTAGCAAAGCTATGATAGTTAATTACCAGATGAAGTTACTGTATAGCTCAAATGGCATTGTGTATTTCTTGCACAATGTCACTAAGCATCCCCAGAAATAGAAATTTACAGTTGCATTTTAGTTAAATGGTATCCCTGTAATCACAATATTGCCACGGACATTTCTTATTTTCACATTTTTTTTATTCGGTTTTCACCCACAAAGCCTGGGTCAAGAATGCTCAGTGATAACTGCACCTCATCGTTCGAGAAGGTTCGCGATCATTGTAGATCGTTCTGCTGAGATTGCTCGCAAGAAATGAACACTCGAGATTATTCAAGAGCTTGCGCAAAGACCAGTAATAAGGCTAGAATATTCGACAGCAGATTTATAAATGCCACCATGCTTCGTCACTTGTCAGCTGATCAACGGCCGACGCTCTGTTCGCTGCTATCAGTGCTGTGTGTATGTATCGCTGTATCCTGATGTTCGTTGATGGGCCACAGGTTCGGCCGAATAACCAGTTTCATCTTCGACCTACAGTCTGCTCCCTCCATCGACGTCGCGACCCAGTGGGAATATTGAGTAGCATTTAATATTAGACACATCAAGCTTGGCATTAACAAACTTCATTGAATTATTCCATCATTGAATTGAAATTCAGTGTAGCCTTGCTGTAACTACATTCTCGACGTAACGAAGTATCTCACTCCTCACATGTCCATAGAGTTGTATGTATTTCGTACTTCAATATTACGAAACGTGTTTGTCCATGGTTTCAGCGCTTTTTCAGTGCTGCTGCACAAGACCTAGGCAATCAACGGAAACTTGTACTGGGGCCAGTGATCATAGGATCAAGTTGCACACGGTTTTCACAAACACATTTTTCGAATCTCAAGCCGTGCTACAGAGAGCGGCTGCTAAGGCGGAGCGCTACACTTTCCATCAGAACGTCGAGGAACGACTGCGGCTCAACGCTGTCCTCGCCTTTCTAGGGATGGAAACGGAAGAGTTTGCAGCGGATTTGTTGCATGCAGGAGCCCTGGCAAGCACACTATTTTACCCTTTGTACACAGCGTAGCTCCGTGTTTTGTATCGCACTTGCCGTTAGGTTAACGCGCAAAGCGACAAGCTATGATTAGCCCTAAAGGCAGGAGTACTAAGCTTGATAAGCTGTTATTTTTTTGGCGGTTGTTCAGGAAACGTTCTGTCGCAAGAGGTGTACTGTTCCTGTCAGACTGTTTCTGCTGTGAACATTTCTACGCTTACCAACGGCAATCAGCTACTGTGGCTTTTTCCATGTAACTTCTGTGCTGCCTTTCATACTGCTCCTAAACCTACTGTGCAGTTTTCTCGCAAACACCTATAAGCTGCTTACGGTTCTGTGCCTGACATAACTGTTCAGGTGTCCAGCCAGCAGCAGCAGTGGCGTGTGCGTCAGGGAATGACGGAGACCCGCCACCGCCAGAAGACCACATTTGCTTCCAGGTTGGTGGGCTGCCTTCGCTTAGTTACTGCTACACTCATACTTCAATATAACGAACTCGGATACCACAAAATATTGGTTACAGTGAAGTAAGTGAAGAATCACTTTGTAATGGGCAGTGTTGAGAAATTACCCTTACAACGAATTTTCGGATATAATAAACTTATTTTTGTGTAAAATGCGAGTTCATTACAAGCAGGCTCGAATGTACTTCAATGCACTGCGTGCCGCTCCTGCCCACTGAAAAATAGCTAGTGAATGGGGCTCTTCTATTTTTGAACCTCTGGCAGCTCTCTGGCAGCCAGAGCTAGCGAGAGGGTCGGTCAGCTAGTTCTGGTCTGGACTGGACATAGCGTCGTGGTCACGTGTGTAGGTAACCCGAGACAACCCGAAGCTGCCCGAAGATTGCAAAATCGAACGCTGGGACAGCCAGCGTAAACGTAAATAAACTCTACCCTCGTGGCAGCAAACAAAACAATGTGCCACATGCGTATTTGTTTATTTCTGCATTGTCCGCTTGGAAATAAGTAGCTCAGCTCGTCAAAAAGCTCGAATAATATCCTCGAGCGCACGCATTAGGGTACGACTTGGTATGCTCGCACAATCACTCACCGCGTCCGCGAATGAAACAGCGAGCTGGCGCATGCCTCCGCGAGAATGATGCAAGGTGAGCTGACGAGCCACTGATGGCTTAACAAGCTCACGTCGTTTTAGTACATAGTACACTCACTGCAACACATGACGGGAAATCACGTGAAAGTTATCGTGTTCTCAAAAGAGCTCGAGAACACCTGCTCAGGGAGGATACCTGCTCAGCTATCGCGTAGTATACGTCGCAAACACGCGTTATCCAACTTACGTTTTTGACTAAAGTTTAGACATGCGTAGGTATTGGTACCACGAGTGCGTGTCATATCTAAATTAAACATTTCCATGACACGTTTTCGACCAATTTAGGGACTTGCCTGGGCCTGTTTTCCAGTTCTAAGTGGCACTTATATGTATATCAGCTTTGATTCTACCTACTTGGTCATAAGCGTACATACCACGTGGCATTATTACGAAGAGGTGAAAGAAGACACAGCCAACAATAAAATGGGCAATGAAAGGATGTATACATTTCTGAATCCATCTGTTTTTTTTCCTTGCGTCATAGCGTATATCCTACTACATATGTTGGCCCATAGATCGAAGTGCGCTCCCACGCCATTTGCGACCAGCGAGCATCACACACTTGAAGACAACAGTCGCAATCTAGAGCCTTCTAAGATCACCATTGAAGATCAATGGAGTAGTCAAGTTCTAAGAGGTTCACGCACGCAAACGTACGACGAAGCGAGCTAGTTCGACCACAATCATCTTTGCTAAGTGCACAGAAAGCAGGCACGGCTTCACAAACGACTACTCCGAAAGGAAAAAAAACAACTCCGAAGTCTTCATGCGTGCGTACGAACGTATAGTACATAACTTTTTAGGCATGTGCAGGATCCAGTTAGTAGGCAACAGTTCGCCGAGTTGTTTACAGGAGGAAGCTTCTCGGGAAACATAACAAAAGCGATTAACAGTAGCTTCAAACACTTAGCGCCACTCTGAATTGCCTCATCTCGCAAGATGGAAAAGACTTTGGAGGATAACGCCACGTGTAATGACAAACGAAGGTGCAGTCCCCAAGCACCCACATTGCACTCCATCGAGTCCTCACAAAAATGGCGCCGAGTGCGTATCGTACCTTTTCGGCATCCCCGAAACCTGCCCAAAACCTTCCAGAGAACTTCCACGACTAAATTGTCCTGGAAGCATCTGGCGACCCTCGGGTTCCCCGCGTGTCGCCAGAACCGTCCAACCCAAGAAAAACGAACGCCAACCGCCGGAAGTGCGCCGCGAGGTGTACAGAGCAGTCCCAGTCCGAAAAAAAAAAAAAAAAAAGAGTGCGCTCTGGCTGGCTTTGGCAGCCCGCAAATAGCTAGAAGTTCAAAATCGTAGAGCCCCAATGTTTAGTTTCAATTCGGTTGATAGTGCAGAAAATTGGTGTATGTGCACGCACATGTCCGAGCATTTATGTATTGCCGCAACAATGCATGTTGACAGTGCCGTATCTACTTTATGCACTGAAGAAAAGCCGTTTGCCATTAGCGAATTGTAAGTAGTGCAGGAATGTTTTTCAGGCCTCAATGCATTTTGCTCTTTCTGCCGTTTCCGTAACCGGTGTACAATGAATAAAGCTTTCTACTTTGAATGTAGGTTATCCGTAGACAGGCATACATTATTCACTGAGATAAAAATGTTTTTCACTTACATTGATAATTTTCTATAGTTCCTGTGAAAGGGTTTAATTTACAAGATTTATTTACATAATTTTCAGTATTTTAAGGTCAGCCTTGTGAATCAAGAATGATAGGTGTAACAAAAAAAAATAACATCTGAAGACAGCAGAGTGGCTCAGAATTAGTGGATATTGTAGCTGAATATAGATGAAAGAAGTGGACTAGGGCCAGCCACACAGTGTATAAGACACGACGACCATTGGTCAGTTGGAGCAGCAAGGAAATAGTTACCAACGATTGGAAAATGCTGCTGTAGATGGCAGCGAGTTGGATGGAGTGACACAATCAAGAAGTTTTTAGGCATAAGATGGAACTGGTTCACAAAAGATTGGGGGCTTGGCAATCATACAGAATGGCTTTGTGCTGCAATGGACATAAATTAAGACTGATAATGATGATGATGCAAAACGTACAGTATATACGTTTATTACAGTCTCTCTTCTTTTTTTTTCTTTCTTGTTCTTCTGAGTACGAAAGAGGTGCTAAGTTTGGTGTTACGATATGACTTCCTGTCCCTCCCCACCAGGGGCACCAATGTCTGCCGTGTGGATGATGCCATCCTGGAAGGTCTTGGAGATGGCGAGCGATACCACGTAAGACAATGCTGCCTGTCACCCGCCAGTCGTATTGAAGACAATGCGGTTGTTGAACTTTATTTGAGTTTAAGGGAAGCGTAAAGGGAAGAAGTGTAAATTTTAAGGGCTTATTTTCTTTGCTGAACACTATGTTATTGAGAACTAACAGACAACGATGCCGGGAGAAGTATAGGGGATGTTATTACGAGTAATTGTAATGTAAAGGTAAAGAAATAAAGATGGACAAAAAGATGACCTACCGCCGGCAGGAAGCAATCCTGTGACCTTCTAATAACATGTGATGCTCCACCCCTGAGCTACTGCGACGGTCATCACTCTGTCCGCTTTATAGGGTATATACAGTTGACTCTTACTTAACGGAATGTGAAGAGACCAGGAATTTGTTTATTTAGCAGGAGTACCGTTTTAATGCATAATTACCGTTTTGTACCGTTGTGTACCGTTTTAATGCATTAATAGTGTGGTTACCGAGTAAAACTAGAGGTGTGTTAATTGAAATTGAGCTGTGTAAAGTTCTTTGACAAAGCGGCAAGACCGTGTCTTTTTGCAGCTTAAGCAGCGCCCCGTGTTGTATTACTTTTTTTTTTTTTTTCGTTTGTACTTGTCGAACGTCAAGTGCTTTAGTCCAGACCTTTCTCTACGAAAGCTTCAGAACTCCTCGTCGACCGGCAATGGGGCACTGAAACCGTGAGGCCGCACCCCATCGCCACCGATATTGCCTCGACGAGGCAACCTTTGACGGCGACATTGACGGAAGAAGAGCAGTGTGTCGCTTTGTGGAGAGTGCAGAATATTAGCACGAAACCAATCCTGTCAGAAGCACTCGTTTCATTTAAGCACTAGTTTCATTTGCCGAGAGTATGCTGCATGTGCATTTGGAAAGCATGTAGCATTTGTTAGCTGCTGAAACACAATTACGTTGCCAATAAACATGAACATTTATGGCCTTCTAAATTGTATTTAAAACCAAGAAATGAAAGTTGAGATGAAGCATGGTGCATGCGGAATCATTGCAGAAGGAGTTGGTGGGCCGCTCAGTGTGTGCCGAGACATCGTCGCAGCCTAAGAAGCACGAGGAGGAGGAAGAGAGGACTCTGATGGCCGACTTCTGTGAGGATGTTTATTTATACGCAGTTGTGCCTTTGTCTGTGCAAACAAGTTATGATGATTGTGGTGCAGACTTGAGTGACGAATACACCGCTCAGTAGGCAGTGCTGCCTACCGTTGGTTTCTTTGTTGTTTTTTTTCTCAATATTTATGTTGTGCTACGCAATATCTCTGCAAGGCGTACCGTGCCGGAACTTCCAAATTTCTTGTACACTAAAGCATCAATATAATGAATTATCGGTGACGAATAGATTAGCAGTGACAAATAGCTTTGCCCTGAATGTTCGAAACAATTGTTTATAATGAATTTTCAGATATGGAGAAGTACGTTTGTGGCAGATGAAAGTTTGTTATATTGAGGTTTGATATTCATTTTAAGCCTGACAATACATGGAACAATCTCATTAATGTTATTTTGTGTCTAGCTAACGCTCGCTCTGCCTGTTTTAAGTGTAACCTAGAGAATGCACCGACACAAACCCTCAGACATTACAACGATTCATATCAACAATGAATACCTCTATAATTCGGGATTCTATCACCTATCATGACTAACAAACAATATCCAGTCACTTGAGTAATGTGCCGTCCATTTCATGTTCTCAGATTATTCATGCTATTCTTGTGTAACATATTTAGGAGAAAAACGCTGAAGTTGAACTGGTCACAAAACCATTGCAAAATGGCTTTCCCACTCACTCTTTATGATCACACGTCTCTGTGCAATAGCTTTTTTAAAACCACCTTCGGCTTTCACATTGCCTAGCTATTCATGTAACATCAAAGTGAACATTACAAAATATTCAAAATTGCATCGTGGTGCCAACAGTACTCATGTTTGACCGTTGCTGTGCCCCAATATGTAATTAGTGTGAGCTTAAACTGGCTGTTAGCTTGCTGCCTTTGTTCACGTGACAAGAGCACGGTCTTCTTTCTAGCTTATAGTTTCCGCAAGTTGACAGACATATACTTCTCTGCCTACCGAGTCCATCCTGGGTTCTGTCACTTGCCCTTGGATTTATCGAATTATTGTGTACATTGCATGAGTTGAAAACAGTTCTCTTGAAAACCTTATGCAAACGATAAGCCCTGGTGCATGCTAACATCAAAACGCTTATACTCCGATACACGCTATGTACTCAACGCTGCAGTGCACCTAAGTCATGAAAATGCTGTAGTTCTTGCATAAATCCCAAGTCGAAGTACGCAAAATAGTTGGCCTCTACACAAACAATAAAAAAAAACAACTAAGTAGTACAAGTTTTCACTAGAGGGGCTTGAGCTGCCTGCTGGCTTTGTCTTTGCGAAAACACGAAGTCGAGATGGTAAAAGAGAGGTTTTCAAAAACAGTTGAAATGAAGAATGGGGATTCATCTGCGAGCGTGCATTGTTAAAATTCCAAGATTTGCCACCTTCGTTCTAACACTATATTATAGCATGCAGAGGAAGTGATGTTCCCAATGAAGCTCTGAAAAAAAAAAAAACACATTTTAATAGATACCTATACTTGGGGATAACTCTTCTTGGCAGTATTGTAGGAAGATACAAAACTGAAACGCATGCCTACTGCTGCATTGACAAATAGTACCCGAGTTTACTGAATATTTTCTCATTTGCCTTGCAGACATAGATACTGCTTCAATTATTATGAGAAAGAGACATTCACTGGAAGTCGTAGCTGAACAATAATTAATGTTTGCCTTACAAGAATTGTCTTCTTCTTTCCATTTCTTAAACGGCACCACGTTTTCTGCATGCCGGCTTTCCAGAGCAAACGTGGCGTACATGTGTGGGGTAATGTGTGGCCACAGACGCGCTGTTGAGCTGTCCAGGTACGATGTACTCTTGATATGACAGCGGAATGTATGCTGAATGAGCATTGTACCCCCCCCCCCATTCACGCTTTTCGTGTGCATGCTTTTTTCTAAATGCGTTAAGGGGGGACGTGCCTTTCGGAACAAACTTTCTTGTTTCTCGTTAGATCTTGATGAAAATTGGCACAGAGACTAAGAATGACCTCATAATGCTTCCATAAAACTTTCAAGATGATATCATGACAACTTTCTGAGAAACAAATAATTTCATTACTGGACCTCGTGGAGCGGCTGGAGAGTTTAAAAAATGACATAGAAAGTTCGGTAAACACTGTGTGCAGAGGTGAATGTATGCTGTAGGGGGCTGCGTTTTCAAAATAATTTTTTTGCAACACTAAAATTTGTAGTTCATGTTTTCTCCACTGATACTTCAATGAGCACGTTTGCACTACAAACAAGAAACCCTACCAAAAATTTTCAGAAGACTAAATTTAAAAATAAGAATGCAGCCCCCTGAAGCACAGTTCAAGGAGCATTACAAAAAAAAACCAGAATCAAAATCTGTCAAGTATTTGCGAAGATATCTGCTCCACGAGCTGAGCAACATGCCAAAAAAACAGTATTGAGAAAACGAGGTTCAAAGTCTTGAGTTACGGTTTACATGCATAATAGGCACCAGGGTTGTAGTCCTTAGTGTCCTTTGCAGTGCGGCGTCGCTTTGCCATCTGACCTTTAGCCTGATGAGCTTTCGCAGCCTTTTTTTTTCCGCATGGCATCTTTTTCGGCTGCTCTACGAAGTGCATGGAATCCAGGTTGGATGGAGACCAAGAGATGTGCAAAGTTAGGTGTAGGCAAGGAGGTTCCCAGCATTATACCTAGAGATTGCTTCATTGACAGCAATTTCTGCGGCTATCAACGAAGCATGCTCTTCTTTGGGTAGAATTGACTAAATAATTGAGTGCAGGCTTTCGGCAGCATTTTGAGTTTTTTTGCCCTGGCACTGCGCAAGAAGCTGTGGGTCCGAAAGTCGCTGGTACACAGGCAGCAGGGCAGCGGCAACGTGTCGTCCCAGGTGGTACTTATGGGGTGGCTGCGGTTCACCTTTAGCTTCTGCAGCCCGGTGTCTGCACCAGCTATCAGGACCTGGTAGGCAAAGTTTGTGGTGTTAATCCTGGTCAGTCGAAGTGGTGTGGTAGAATGTAGCCATGACCGCTCGCTGCATATCCTCCACTTCAGCATGCTGCCTAAGGGCTTGGCCATAATAGTCAGTCAGTTGCTTGATCAAATTTTGTGTAAGGCCACCTTTTCCGCCGATAGGTTGGTCTTTCTTGCTCTTTGTGACGATGGCCCGCAGGGCTGTGCCCATCCTTTTTTTAACATGATTGATACAATCTTCTTTCTTCAGGGGTATAAAACCGTAAGTCTGGTCCTGACACAGAGCTAAGAAAGTGCGGCTGTCGCCATCGCAAACGATGGTTGTGTAATGCAGGTCATTTTTTTTTTTTTTTTAGTGAGCGCCGAAACAGTATGAGGGCCGCTTCGACTTCCATTTGGCCCGAGTTTGCCTCTGTATTTTTCTGGCAAACATGTGCTTCCTTCCATTCACTGTAGCCGTCGTCGCTTTCTTTGGGGCCCACAGTACATCCATGACAGTAATTGGACAGGACAACACTGTCAAGCACTAATCCGGTGTAGAATTCAATGACCGTGCCCACGCCGATGTGGGACGCGTGGCCGCGTGTCATCCACGTCCCGTCGTACACCACCGTGACATTCTTGGTAGGTGTTCCCTTCATTTGGCTGTACACATTGCGAACGGCTGCAACAGCGTAGCAAAACACACGTGCCGCGGCTGCTGCACCAGCAGGCCGAAATTCCCCCTTGAGATGCCTTTGAAGTCTTGTGGTGAATTCTCCTATGTAATACATTCATCACAGACCGAAAATCACTGAGTGCAGCTGATCCCTTTCCAATAGTTTTTATAGCTTGCATGGCCCGAATATTTACTTCAAATGACTTGCTGTTTTCCATTCGCGGCGACGACCACGCATTTTTCGCGTCCGCGTCGCAAGCAGTGCAGGTGAGCACCACCTTTACCGCTAACCCGTGCTTAGTTCCGTGCTTCATCTTGAGTCCCGGCTCTTTGCACTGCGGCCACAGGGCACTGCCAAACAGACCATTCAGGGCCGCGCGTTGCACGAGGAAAAAGTCATCTTCGTCTTCCGTTTCGATGTCGCTCTCGTCCCCTTGGTCCATCAGTGACATCTTGCGCTCCGTCGCAGACACTGCTCTTAGGGACTCCTGAACAGCCGCGGCGCGTTCGCGAGATGCCTCCGCTGACACAAAACGAGGCTCTAATCGGGCCCGAATCGTGCTACTGGTGGTGCTGGTAGACGGCCTCGCATCCTCGCATGAAGTACTTGGCTGAGCATCCGCGATGTCTACATCCTCGCGCGAAGTGCTAGGCTTAGCATCCGCGGCGTCACATCTTCGCGCGAAGTGCTTGGCTGGGCATCCTGCGATGAATACATCCTCGCGCGAAGTGCTAGGCTTAGCATCCGCGATGTCTGCAGCCTGCGCGAAACGACGAATGGATGTTTTCTCAGACAGCACAAAGCACTGCTCCACAGGCATATGAACAGTTTCGTCGATGCTCGCGTACGATGCTCCGTGCGTGCTGGTGCTCAGGTGCGAGTCCTCGTCATGCCGCATGCCGTCGTCGCTGCTCGCAGAAGTTGCCGAACTGAATTTCTTTTTCACGATCGGCGGCTTCGGCTTACGAGCACCAAATCGCTGCGCAGTCTTGCGTTTCTTCTTGAACGATCGCCGGTCCATGATCGCATGCGGGAACCGATCTCAAAACTGCAATGCGCCAAACTGGATAACGTTTTTCTCCTTTCACGAGCGCCGGTCTTATCGCAGCGTGCTGCGATCTCGAAACCACGCCGCAACGAGTTGAAAACACATGCAGTAAGCGGCCCGTCAGCGCGTAGAGCAGACGACCTTTGCGCCGATTGCTACAAGCGACCGCACGGGCGACCAATGCGGAGCCATCGTACAGTCACGTGATGCGCGTCGCCAATCGGAAACTGTTGTGATACCTTTACTCTTTGGCTTGCTGTGGGCTTGCTCTTGCCTGGTTCAGCCGGCCGAGGTGGCAAATTATAAACGGAAGAATCGCGCTATCCATAGAGACAAAGATGGCGGCGCTAGGTTACGTGGTTGCGGAGATATCGCGGTTCGAAAAACGCCGTTTTTTCGCAATTTCCGTGAAATTCATCGCCACCCTAGCTTCGATAAAAATTTTTTATGTCATTTCTACACTGTTTGCAGGGACGAAACTTCGAAATTAGATAGAAAAGGGGTCACAGAATGTGAAAATGAGATTTTCAGAAAATCGATTTTTTGGCCTAATTTCGCGATGCCAAAGCCGCGTCCCCACCTTAACAGTGCATGGAAGCAAAACTGAAATTGGCTGCAAGCTGTCATGCTTTTTGCAGAGTAACACGAATGCACAGAAGTCCTTGTCAAAGCCTTCGCTCCACTGCCAAGATAAGTTGTCACCGAGTATAACCTCCACCTTTAGTTGTCTTAGCGCTGGTAGTTCAGAGATCCGAGATATTTTTTTAATATACTGTAATAAGCACTGTGTTAATTTCTCACATCCATTTTATCCTTTTCCTGGTGAACGATAGCTCTACCTTCCGGCCTGGGAATGATGGGCGATGACAATGCCGAGAGCAGTGAGGTGAGTTTCTCGCATTTAATGCAGCTGTACAAACTGCAAGGTTTATTTTTAAAACCATCTTTGGGGCTCAGCTTGTCTAGCTATACGGTCATGTAGTGGTCAATAATACGAGTGCATGCCTGAAACCAGGATAACAATTCTAAAAACCAGCGCGAAATAAACTAATGAGGTATAAAATGATATAAACAGCCGAAATAACTAAGAATCGCTGTCTGTCCGGGCCACAAGAGAGAAGGCGCCACCGCATCGGCAAGTGTGCAATTGCCAAGGGAATCGGTAAATTGCCCATGCTACACACATTATCAGGTTTCATGGCAGGGGGGCTGTATCAGGTGCAGGATTGAGAACTATATCAATACCCACACAAGAACAACATTAGTGACTTAAGCAAGAATTACATCAGCGCTACATTTACTGCAGAATCAGCGTCTTAGCGTGGGGCTTTTTTTAATCCTTCCTTTGTACCATGTCACAAACGATCGTTTGATGCGCAGGTCAAGTCAGTGCAGACGGAGCCCCACCACGCGTACAAGGTGGAGGTGGTCACCATGACGTGCCCGGTGATTCAGCACACTCTCACGGTCACCAGCACCAACCTGCTGACGGGCGAAACCACCGTGACCGAGGAGTCCACCGGGGCTGATGTGGTGCAGGTGCAGTGGAACCCCGACCAGATCAACATCACCACACCCGACACAAGTCTCAACTCGTCCGCCGTGGTGCCCGACGTCTCGCCAGCTGCGGTGCCATCAGCACAGGCGCAAGACTAGATCGCTCTCGCACATCTTTCCTGTGCGTTGTGTTCGAAATTAAAACTGCCATTTCAGTGCCTTCGGAAACAGAAATAAAGTTCCTGTTCTCTTTCAACATATGTTGCATACAGTTCAGTACACTTCGATTGTAACATCAGGCAAAGTTGTCAAGGAAGATGGACGACGTCATTTTTGCCATTTCGAAATCAGGATGTTAGCAGACGCAGACGAAAACTGCGACATCACGGTGATTGGTGCGGGTACTTCAAAGTGTTGTCCCCACCCGCATTTATTCGTTCTTTTTTTTTTTTTTTTGCCAACCAAGCATCTTCTCGCAGTGGGCATGGCGATTTTGGTATAGCGAAAGGGTAATTTCTGCCACGAGAAAAAAATTGTTATTCTTCATAGTGCTGCTTTCATCATCAGTGAAACTGTGTCTTGTATAGCAAGCGTGCACCTCTTGTGTTGAGGCACCAATGCTTATGGGCATTATGCACCCATAATGCACCAATGCATTATGGGCACTTTGGATTAGAACTCCACAAAAACATTGCAGAGGTTGCTACTCTTGGAGCAGCCTATCAGTGAACGATAATCCAGGCTTTGCTTTGAAAGATGTCCAAGATAGACTCCTTCACTAAGTGTTTGTGTTAATAACATGATGGACATCGTGTTCCATCGTGCTATTAACACAAACACTTAGTGAAGGAGTCTATCTTGGACATCTTTCAAAGCAAAGCCTGGATTATCGTTCACTGATAGGCTGCTCCAAGAGTAGCAACCTCTGTAATGTTTTTGTGGTGTTCTAATCCAAAGTGCCCATAATGCATTGGTGCATTATATTGGTGCCTCAACACAAGAGGTGCACGCTGCTATACAAGACACAGTTTCACTGATGATGAAAGGAGCACTATGAAGAATAACAATTTTTTTCTCGTGGCACAAATTACCCTTTCGCTATACTAAAATCGCCACGCCCACTGCGAGAAGATGCTTGGTTGGCGAAAAAAAAAAAAGCACAAATAAATGCGAGTGGGGACAATACTTTGAAGTACCTGCACCAATCGCCGTGATGTCGCAGATTTCAACTGCGTCTGCTAACATCGTGATTTCGAAATGGCAAAAATGAAGTTTCCTCTTAGAGTGCCCGATACTTCGCATACAAAATTTTGTTAGCCAGTGTGGTTGAAGTTCGAATAAAGCATTTTGAAATATGTGGCCTCACATGCAGAGATTTCACCGTGAGGCTGAAAAACAAACTGAGCCCTTGATTCTTAGTGTACAATTTATCCGTCAAGACTGAATATTTCACTTCAGATTCCCTTCACAATGCAGAGGTTGTGCAAAGGTGCTCATCAGTTGGGCCACATCATCCTCGTAGCCCTCTTCACAGTCTGCTCAAAACAATACAGCCTGATTCTAGTTATACTCCACCCTGTTCACTCTTCTATTTGTGATGCTTCATACAACTCGTGCACAAAAGATTACGCCTAACAACCATCCTCATGTGCCATTGTGCTTCTGGTATAAAACTACCAGTTCTGATTTTCAATGCCAGGGCAAGTTTGAGTGCTGTGACACCTTCCGCGCAATGTCATATATAATGTAGGAGTATGAGGCTGAACTCATTCCATTTTATTGTATACTTTTTTTTAAAGAGCAAAATTCTCAGGTGAGCAAGAAGTTCTCACGAACACACCAGCAGTTCTACTTTTATTTTAGCATAAGCTGAACCGACGTACCTTTTTATTTAACTGTTTTCTTTTTCCAATTGGTATCCAGTAACATCTCGTTAACTCGAAGTCGTAAAATTCAGGGAAAATTTCAAGACAAATGGATTTTCGAGATAAGCAAAGTTGTGCTAATTGCCAGGAAAAATCAGCGCTTTTCAGAAAAATCACTACTACTTATCGGATCTTCAGCGGCAGTTTCTAATCTTTCCACCCATGCAGGTTTAGAGGAAAAAAAATAACATATAAGAGACTTTCACTGGCTGAGTTTTGCTGCACAGCCATACCATCAACACCGCTTCGTCTGAAAACTTTGACCCTCGAACCCACTTCTGCTGGCTGGAGAAGCTCTTCTGAAATCCATCCAGCATTTCGTGATTGTTTTTCAGCATTGTCTAAAGCATATACAAAGAGATGGGGAATTCCTGCGCGATGCTCGATTTCGTTCCGGCTTCCTTTCTCCGCTTCCTTAATTAGGGCAACCATTTCTTCTAGCGTTAAGTGACTTGCACTGCTTTGACGCCATGCTTGCCACACTCGAGCTAAGTTGCCGCTCCTCACAGTCGGAGAAAAATCTGTACTGCTCGGTGTGCACAGATGAACGGGAATCACACCTCAGAAAAAATCATGTGCACTGCACAATGCAAACAAAACAAACTACGCCAGGCGTGGGCAGAGGGCCTCCCTGCTCAGCGCATGCCTCACATGGCGAGCCACAGGGTTGCTTAACAAAGTTGATATGTCACTGGGCTGAGGCTTCGTGCACTTCGCGTTCGTTCACCGAAAGCATTGACATAGTGGCAGGCACAACAAAATAAGAAAAAAAAATCGGCAGACTTCAGGCATGGCAGCATCGTGCGAATCTTGTGAAGCAGTCTGGCGGCGAAATTTTCAATCCGCTCCTAGTCAAGATTTCGAGTTATCCCAAACCTGACCCAAAAATACTTCAAGACAAAGGGAAAAGTATACATGGGAGGTATAGGAAAATGTTTGGTGCTGTGGAAAATTTCGACTTAGCCAATTTTTTAAGATAACGAGTTCGAGTTAACGAGGTAAGTCGAACCTCTTTATAAGAAACACTGATGTAAGAGACAAATGGGTGTAACAGACACCAGTGTGCCTACAGTAAAATACGGGTTGATAGGGATTGCACACGTTGTACCCTGCTTGTAAGAGTCATCTCATATGAAAGACAAGAATTGCTGCCCAGAGCAAGCCTCTTATAGAGGGGTTCGACTGTAGTTGCTTCCGCAATGCAGGTTAGGTCAGTTAATCACCTTGAAGGCCCCCTTTTCTTGGAGGGGCCTTTAAAGTTAACAACACGCAGTGAACATAGTTTTCAGTATTGAAGATGATCAATAATATGGTCTTGGAAGACAGATGATGAGGCGATGGTGACGATGTCCCAGGGGAAGGCCATTGTCTGTGGCTGCTCGAAAAAAAGAAAGGATGCAGAAAAAGTAGTGGCACGCGATGATGGGCCGTCGATAAGATATGCGTGGCACAGCTGTTATATAATGTGGTTGATTGAGGAAAAATTGAAATAATTTGTGATAAAGTACGAGAGTTGCAGTGTGATGACTGCCAAAAAAAGTGAAACTTAGCACACATGCGAGCACCAGTGGTTGTGCTGATACCTACTGCAACTCATAGAGTCGACACGATATATCCACAGATCTATTTTCAATGGCCATACTCCCCGCCATCATTGCACAGGGAGTGTTATTTTACTGAGCTGTACTACTACTGCTCATTATATAGTTCAATATTTACCGTTTGGCAGCTTCATTCTTCACCGTAGTGACCACCTGGTATCTCTCAGAGGAGGTTCTGTGTTCGCATTCTAGGACGCTTCATCTAGCCATAAGCCAAGCCCGAACTGTGTAAGAAGCGCCGAAACTGCCTCAGCCCACTAGGCTAGTTTTGTCACTGAAGCAGAGACATTTTCGCAACAAAGAATGTAGAAAATTTGCAGTAAGCTCGTCATTTTATTCGTGAAGCTCACCATAAGCATCATGTTGCGAGATTTCAACAGGAGACGTCGATTACTAAAGTGTACGAGTTTATTGGCCGTTGCACTATCTGTACAAATTGTTTCCGGCAATTTTCACCACTTCGCTAAGCGCTGCTTCAGAAATAAAAAAATAATTCTGCCCTCTGCCTGAGAATGTCATCCTGTTCGGATATCAGTGAAGTCTTTCTCACAGATCTTATAGTAGTATACTTTAAACCACACAGCAATTTGGGTGAGTTGGTGGTATATTCGTCTAGTAATAGTACAACACAAAACCACAAAGATACAGGAAAGAATGTAACGCACGAGCACTTAAGTGTGTGTTCCGAGCATGTGTTCTGTTGTTCCTTAGGTTCTTGTGTCTGCACTGTGTTAGAATGTGTAGGCATATGTGAACAGTGAATTTTAGGTTCGCAGCGAATAGTGACTCTGGTGGAATAACTTTGAAATCGAATTCGAACAGTGTATATATCACATAACACAAAGAAAAAGGAGCATATTTGTATGGACTAACTTCTACAATATCTTTTAAAAACTGAAACAAGGCCTGTGCAAACGCCATATTCTTGTATCAAAGGAACTGGAAACACCTTTGAATAGTAGCAGGATTTGACTTTGAGTAGAATGCAAGTGATAGCCTGTAAAATATGTTACATTCTAAAATTTACCATACTTAAATCATGTAAGCTGGTATAACGGGCTTTTGAACAGAAAAAATGAATTGATGTGAGAGTAATATCACCATTTCACCTTGAAGTGGGGGTTCGCGGCAGTGTGGTCTTCTAGGTACGTGTTTTCACGGCTCAGCACCACTTCACTGCAGTGAAAGAACTGTTACAAAAAAAATTTATCTGCGAATATACACATTGAAAGCTGCTTTCATGGCTTAGCATCCCTCCACTGCAGTGAAACCAACTCCTACAGAGTGAAACCAACTCCTACAGAGTGTTATATGCAAATTAATATGCACCTATTCATTCGTCTCGAATCATTCAAAATTTTCAATAAATTAAATTCGATTTGAAGTAAATTCAAATACTGGAAACATTTGAGTATTCGCACAGGCTTGAGAATATGCACGCTCAGGAGCTTAAACTGCTCCACACAGTTGGCCATGGCCGTTGACTGTGCACTTCAACACCCCTGCAAGAAATGCTCACTTTCAAAAAAATCACTATACCATAGTATTTATTTATAAAACGTCACACGTATTTCATCACGCTAAATTAATTTTTACATGCTAAACTCACAGCCTGCCAATGAGCCATGCATGGAACACTCCAGACAGGCCTAACTGTGCTCGCTTGTTTGTGCAAATGGCTTGCACAGAAATGCAGAAACGCCTTTAAACGACACGAGCACCACGCAGGTGCACTGCTGTTTACGAAACATGACATCTACACTCTTGGATAAACAGGTACGTAAGATAAACAAGGATTCATTACGGTGGGACAATGGTCAAGTTGATACAGCCTTAGAGCGAACACAAACAAAAAGATGTTTACTTCCAAATGATATCGTTGAACACTTGAGATCCCTAGATTAAACAAAATCGATATTACAGACGCTCCTACCAGGCCGTAGAAAAATGAAAGTAAAGGTGACACGTATTATGAAATCATTTCGCTCCGACGCCCACTATCTTCTGGTGGAAGGCTTACAATAGAAAGATATCCACGGCCAGTTTCGGCCATTAGGGGAATTCACGACACTGCTGTGCATCGCTATCGCTAGCTTTCTTGCAGGAGGACGCGACGGCTCTTCAAACGAGACAGTTCACCCGATTCCAAGAACTTGTCCAGTCGGCGTAGGTGCCTACCGATTGAGCTAGGGCACGCGTGCTGGTGATGGGAAGGGCTGGGGAGGTGGAGGAGGCGCTGGAGGCTTCAGCGCAGGTGCCATGCCAGACGGCCCTGCCATCGACGCTGACGGCTTGGCATCGTCATGGCATTTCACCTGTCAGCGACACCTGGACAGAGAAGTAGATTATTGCAAACAGCATCATGAGCAAGTTTGTAATCCACCACTAGAGTACGACTATGCAACAAAGAGGGCATGAGTGCTGTTGCAATGAGTGTGTCCTCTTCTGTTACATCCACAGCTTTTTTTCTTGAGCCAGGTATTATTATATATCCAGGTATTATTTGGCAACAAATTGCTATGGCCCCTACTGCAAGGGGTACAAGAAATAAATGCAGCTGACTCACAATTCAACCCCAGTTCATTTGAAAGTTCCCTTAATTAAGCAGGTCCAAGTTAATACCCACACATTTCTAGAGGCCAAAGCTGTTGCCATGTCCGACATCAAATTGGCCTTTGCCAAATGGAGCAGACCTGAGAAAGAGCCATCATTGGAGGGAGTGTGACGCAGACAGTGAAAGTCTTCAGAGATTCTTGGCCCACGGTGGTCAAACAGGTGGCCAAACAGGTGGCCAAACAGGTGGCTAAACGAGCGCCGGGAGCACGTCACCGAACTGCTCAAGTTTCTATCAACCGCCGCTAGGTTCGCATCGAGCTCATGGGCCGTAAAGCCCCTAATAAGCTGACGGTGGCCGATTCTATCCTGTCGCACCAATGCACCAACGCTAGCGTTCGTGCCACGGTCACATCAGTGCACGGCAGGTGACCGTGCTTGTGTGTGTGCGTGCATCTGTGTGTGTGCCAATAGTAGCTTTGGGAAGCATACGGTTTGAGCATATTTCTTACACACATTACAACGAGGGAGAAAAAAAGAGATGTACTTGAGCATGAACACGTCACAAACGAGATTAATTTCGCACTTCAAACATAATCAATTTGACAGTGAGACGGTAGTCACCATAAGCTTCTCACAAGCAATAAAGAAATGACACAATAAACAAACAAGAAATGAAGATGTGTCTGAAGTCGGATCGTCGCTTTTTGAAGTGACAACTGATCAGTTTTACACAAAGCCTCTTTGGTGTACAGCATTATGCCGTGCAGCTCTTTCAGAAAAGTTAAAGGTGCAAAAAAATGCACTTTAAATGCTCCCAACGCATGCTAACTGCATACATTGAAATGGGCTGGAGCGGAGAAATCAGCCTTGAGTACCTCTGCTGCCACCTTGTGGAAAAACGCCGGCAACGCGCGTTGCATTGGCGAAACGGCGCATTTGGCCGCCTGTCTATTAGATTACCACGAGTTTCAAGGAGTTCTGCGAACATTTTCCCAATAGCCATGAAGTGTTTGTACGTTGAACCATGTTGAAGAGACAATGATGTCAGAGAGAAGTGGCTGACACAAGAGTGCCTGCATTGAAATGGGGGTTGTTCATAATATAGAACATGGTCCACTGCTTGTAAAGGACACCTCATGGAAGAAAAAAGAACTGCTTCCTGGAGTGTGCCATTTATAAAGGGGTTTGACTGTATATGATAACAACCAGGTAATTGGGGCAAAGGCACCATGTTAAGCTGCTATATTGAGCCAAACCCCTTTGAAATTAATTTCAGAGCTCTAAGAAAACTGCACAGCAAGAAAAGGTCTTCACTGCGAAGGCATTCTCCCTCCAAGTGGTATATGCCTGCTGCAGTTGGAAATCAAACCCACAACCATTTTCACAAGCAGCAATTTTTGGAATACCCGCAAGAGGTTTCACCGCCAACCATTGCAGCGACTTTCTCCTCTGCGCCGTGCTCCAGCCACCTCAGCTCGAGAACAGCATTGGTGAGCGGTGCCACGGGAGCAAAAGCAAGGCACTCACCTGAGGACCGGTCTTCCACAGGGTGTGCTGGGCGTCCAGGACGGCCGTGTCGATAGTGACTGTGTGCAGTCCCTGGCCGGTCAGTGCCACCAGGAACTGGGCCTGGAAGTAGTCGTTGTGCGGCTGCACCACCTCGCTCAGCTGGACCGCATCTCCTCCGGGCGGGACCTGCACACGGAGTTCGGTTGAAGCCCGCGTGGTGCTTTTCCTTCACGTGACAGGCGGTTACGTGACGTCAAGAACTGGTGGTTGCGGGACATTGAAAAAGAAATGAGCTTGGAGGGATCATTCAGCCTTGCTGGCAGCCTGAAAAGCCAACGCTTTGCAAAGCTCATCTTTTTTTTCTCTTAGTGCAGGCCTAACATGTGACTACAGAACAATGGCTGACTTTTCAGGGGGTTAAGTGCTAAGAGTCTAGAGAACAAAAAAAGCAACATACACTATGGCACTGCGTGTGCCCGCTTTTTGTTTCGTTATTGAGCTTATTTTGCTCCCAACTTCCTAAAGCGTATGAAATACCAAAAAGCCCACATCACTACCTTTGTATTGTCCGAGTGTGGCCACACTGTCATAGTTTCACCTGCACCACAAGAGTGTTCTAATGCGACAATAACGTCTTTGTCTGACACTCCCTTATTTCTTTTTGGCTGCGATTGTGCTGTGTGACGCATCCTTCTCATTTTCCCTTTGTCCATGTTATGAGCACTTTGCCCTCGCCAGGGAAGGATTACTAGAAGAAGCTAGCAGTCAAAGGTCATACGAGGAAGGTCCACTGCCGACATTCACCTTGGTGTCCGATGTGGCATTCTGGCTCCGGCCAGGTGGTGTGGTGGTGAGGGAGACGAGAACCTTGTGAACGGTGCGGGCAGGTGACCCTGCTGGCGATCGGTGCTGCACCACGCCCTCAACACGCAACGCCAGCTGCGCATGCTGTGCCAGGAACAGGGGTTCGCCCGTGCCCTTCTGCTGGGGCGACACGGCCAGCTGCACGCCATACGCAGCAGTCAAGGCACAATCGTTACAACACAACCGCGCAGATACGTGTGTTAAGCCATGCAAGGAGCTTGCACTAAGTTGGGCATGCAAGTGTAGCAAACCAGCTTTGGCCTTAAAGGGCCCCTGAACAGAACGCAAACATACTAAGTGTGCCACACTTTAGGGGCGCAGCTTGTCGTCCATGCACTGTCTCGTGTCACACGGTCAATACAGCCATAAAATAATGCTAAGAATCCCGTGATGGCCACGGGAATGCCGAGGCAGTGGCAATCTTGTGACCATAGAGGGAATCGCTTGGTTACTCGTGCTGCCCGCTCTCAAGTTGCACAGTAGTGGCTGCACTAAAAAGCTCCCAAACTACCCAGAGATCGAAATTTAGTTGTGGTGCTTCTGTTGTGCACACAGTGTTCAAGTAGTTTTTTAAAAGCCTACTCTGTTATAGTGTTCTTTAAAGACTAATTTTTCTTATTCCTTTGTAAGATATTTAAAGGCAAAAAATTTGGTCTGTCTGTTGGCCCTTCTGTCCAACGATTCAGCCACCCACTGCAAGCTCAACCCCTTGCTTTACACCCACCCATCTTGACCTGGTGGCTGCATTCATACTTGTGAACATTGCCGATCCCCAAAAAGCAAATATTACGCACATTTCAGGTGCTACATCATTACCAAAGTGTCTTTTTATTTAAAAAATGCCAATGGCCCTTATCTTATGCAGCGCCTCCAGACATAAGACTATCGTCTTTCGACATCCTTTGCAAAGAAGCACGGAGATAAGCGAGCAATTTTTTTACACCTCCCTAACAAGCTCACTCGTTCTTTCAGAATGCCGTGGCCATCCCATGGTGCAAATATGAAAGCACTGTGTGCCATGCCGATGCCCGATCATGAACAACAATTCCCGTGCTCCCGACCTCTTGTCACGCAAGCAAGGTAGTAGCATCAGCTTCATATTGCTTCTTTATGCTACGTTGCTGCGCCTTGGCAGTTGTAGTGCCTAGTGCATGTTTACACTGGAGGTAGGTGCTTCGCACAAAGATTTCTCACAGCGACGCCTCTGAGCAACTGGCACGACCAACACGTGGAGGAAGCCTTGCTCCGAGAAAGCCATGCAGCCGCAAACGCTGCGTTACATTGCCAACGTGGGCGTAGTCACAATTACTGGCTACACCTACCCCTATCAGTGATAGAGAAGGGTGGCAAGGCAGAGAGGAAACTGACACCAACCAAAATGACTGTTCTATACCCTGTAGCTTCCTTGTTAATGCCCTTATTCACATAATTCTCGCAGCAGAATGTTCGAATCGAACAAGCGCACAATTATCTCTTCATCACAAATTTTAGACCATAGGGTTGTTCACTGCCCCTTTAAAAACCAGTAGTTATCTTGCCTACACGCTGCATGCCCTGCCCATGTCGATTTCTTCTTCTTGATATCAACTATGCTGTCCCTAACACCCGTTTGTACCGTGACTGACTCTGCTCCCTCGTCTTTTCATGTTACTCCTATCACTTCCCATTCCATGGCTCAAAATCAGACATGCCTTTCAAGATATGCTGCAGTTACCACAAGAGCACCCTATCTCTTGTTGTCAATGCTGTGATCGCTGATTCAAAAAGTCAAATGAGGATTTAATAAATGCAAGAGATCTAAAGCAAACTAGCAGTCCTAGCTCTTGGCACCGACAACAAGACCTCTAGTCACAAAGCGCATACACAGTACCTTGATGGTTGTGGCCTGCAGGGCTTGGAAGAAGTAGCGTGGCAGGCATGGGGCCACCAGCACTAGCTCCTGGCTCAGGCGTTCCACCAGCTGCACCTGCTACTCAAGCAACACAAAATCGAAGTGATCCTCGAATCACTGTGCTTGAGAAGCGTAACAAAGGTATTCAGGCTATGAATACTCCTTCTAAAGCCGATTGTGTTCATTCTTAACCCACAAACATCCACTGACATTCTCACAGAGTCATGCTTTTTTCTGTTCACACTTATAAATCACACTCACAAATACACTTATACATCGCTGTCACCACCCCATCCTCCCTGTAGAGAAAAATTTGCTAGAAAAGCTTACCCTACGGAGTGACATGAAAAGAACACCCCGTTCTGAGCTGTTGCACACAAAGACGCTATAGCCGTATTTGTCGACTCTTCGACGCGGCGCATAGGTGGCACATGAGGCAGGTTGTCAACAAACACTGATTTATTAACCCAAGATACAGCTAAAAGCGACAATCACAGTATGGCGTGCTGACAGGGAAACTTTGCAAAACCGACCAAGTGTACACTTGCCGGCAGGCGCTACGGTTATCACACGAAGGCTAGCAGCCGAGCACATGGATGAAGAGCCACCTGCTAGAGCAGTGCATCCACCTATCGTGCAGGCGCGAGAACATCTTAATGGGAGCCATCGCCAGGTGGAAGCAAGATAATGGGAGAGGGCGTTGTCACTAACGGCCAATGACAATAGGCCAAGCTCAGTGACGTGCGCTAGCGTGACACAAGGAGAAGGGCATTGCCTGGGCATGTTCCGGCCCATGTCTCTGTGTAAGGATGACTAACGGATGGCTTGCACCAGACAAAAAAAGCCTGGCAGCAAAGCTGCGGTAGCCATGTCACCGATTAACCAGTGCCACGAGGCCAGTACTCGCGCTGGCTGGGGAATGAGGCTCCAAAGGGCAGGGTGGGCTCGATTCCCACAACACAAATCCCTACGATGTGGTGATGCTCAGGAAAGACACAGACGCAAGAAAGACGTAGTATGCACGAACACTGCCCTGTGTTAGTGCACACTTCTTTCCTGGAATCGTGTCATTTTCAGACTTTACCATTTCATGATGAATCCTTCACTCGTCCAACAGTCCATTCTTCTGTAAATTTACTTATGCAGACATCCAGGCACAAAGCAGTCGAGAACAAAGAACACTGTAAACGAAACAGCCACCTGTCCTATCTGCAGTGATCTTTGGCCTCGTATGCCTTGTGCGTAATGTTTGCACAAGTATGTATAAGCAACTAGCTCAAACCAGAGCCTTTACTTCTTCTAATTAGTGGCTTTCACTACTGCATACGTACGCACAACACTGTCGCTCACTATGTCTATGAAATCTGTGCAGCCCAAATATGAGTTAAGTATGCAAAACCATGTCCAGAGGACCACAGGACACAGTCACTTAGTTTGCATCGGGCTAGTTCATTTGCACAAGCGCTAAGTTGTGAAGTGCCTATCATCGTTTTTTCCTTGTACTCCTGTCATGCTTCGCAGTGCATCACGTTGTACAACGTCACAGCAATGCAGCTCTCTGCCACACTAGAACCGACAATTGTTCATACACGATCGACATGGGTTTTCCAAAAACATGATTTGAACGATGTGGCTACGAAAGAGCCTCACCTGTGGAGTGAGGGTGTTCTGATGTCGCAGATCGCGCAACCAGAGCAGCCCCCTGTGTGCAGCCTCCAAGAGCCGGTGCTCGCTGAGTGACGAGGAGCCAGAGCTCGGCTGCTGCTCCATCCACACCAGACTGCTGCCTTCCTCGCTAGAGCTTCGAGCACACCACATGATTACACTCAAACCTCAATATAACAAAATGTCATTGTACATAAAAATAAGTTTGTTATACACGAAAATTTGTACTAAAGGTATATTTTAACCTTTGTCTATTGAAAGACTATTCTTCATTTATGCCCTCCGCGGTGGTCCAGTGGCTGAGGTAGCATATTAACTCAAATGTGACGCAAGCTTTTTCAAAATTTCTCGGAAGTGATTTGGGGGTCCGCGCTATAATCAAGCACTTCAAATCGTGCCTTCGCGGTGCCGCCCCACTGGTTCCTTAAAATGGCTATGACAAACCTAGCAATCTCTCAACCTTGTGCTGGCAACATATGCACGCTGGCAAAATCGAATCCCATCTAATCCAATCCTATTGTTTGGGATGTGCACATGGCCAACGTTACTAGATTATTTTCAGTTGTAAAACTGGCCAGCGCTGCCCGGAACCGCCGCCGATCTTTCTCTCTGTGGCGCTGCAGTCGCAACCGGCTCGGTTGCCGGGGCGCTCGCAGGTGGGCTCGATTCGCACAACACAAATCACTACGATGTGGTGATGCTCAGGAAAGACACAGACGCAAGAAAGACGTAGTATGCACGAACACTGCCCTGTGTTAGTGCACACTTCTTTCCTGGAATCGTGTCATTTTCAGACTTTACCATTTCATGATGAATCCTCCACTCGTCCAACAGTCCATTCTTCTGTAAATTTACTTATGCAGACATCCAGGCACAAAGCAGTCGAGAACAAAGAACACTGTAAACGAAACAGCCACCTGTCCTATCTGCAGTGATCTTTGGCCTCGTATGCCTTGTACGTAATGTTTGCACAAGTATGTATAAGCAACTAGCTCAAACCAGAGCCTTTATTTCTTCTAATTAGTGGCTTTCACTACCGCATACGTACGCACAACACTGTCGCTCACTATGTCTATGAAATCTGTGCAGCCCAAATATGAGTTAAGTATGCAAAACCATGTCCAGAGGACCACAGGACACAGTCACTTAGTTTGCATCGGGCTAGTTCATTTGCACAAGCGCTAAGTTGTGAAGTGCCTATCATCGTTTTTTCCTTGTACTCCTGTCATGCTTCGCAGTGCATCACGTTGTACAACGTCACAGCAATGTAGCTCTCTGCCACACTAGAACCGACAATTGTTCATACACGATCGACATGGGTTTTCCAAAAACATGATTTGAACGATGTGGCTACGAAAGAGCCTCACCTGTGGAGTGAGGGTGTTCTGGTGTCGCAGATCACGCAACCAGAGCAGCCCCCTGTGTGCAGCCTCCAAGAGCCGGTGCTCGCTGAGTGACGAGGAGCCAGAGCTCGGCTGCTGCTCCATCCACACCAGACTGCTGCCTTCCTCGCTAGAGCTTCGAGCACACCACATGATTACACTCAAACCTCAATATAACAAAATGTCATTGTACATAAAAATAAGTTTGTTATACACGAAAATTTGTACTAAAGGTATATTTTAACCCTTTGTCTATTGAAAGACTATTCTTCATTTATGCCCCTCCGCGGTGGTCCAGTGGCTGAGGTAGCATATTAACTCAAATGTGACGCAAGCTTTTTCAAAATTTCTCGGAAGTGATTTGGGGGTCCGCGCTATAATCAAAGCACTTCAAATCGTGCCTTCGCGGTGCCGCCCCACTGGTTCCTTAAAATGGCTATGACAAACCTAGCAATCTCTCAACCTTGTGCTGGCAACATATGCACGCTGGCAAAATCGAATCCCATCTAATCCAATCCTATTGTTTGGGATGTGCACATGGCCAACGTTACTAGATTATTTTCAGTTGTAAAACTGGCCAGCGCTGCCCGGAACCGCCGCCGATCTTTCTCTCTGTGGCGCTGCAGTCGCAACCGGCTCGGTTGCCGGGGCGCTCGCAGGTGGTTTCGCTTATGCGCCGCAGTAGCCGGCGCATTCGGTGCCCCGGTCTCCGGCGTTTCTTGTTCGCGCGGTCGTTTTCAGAAGTGCTGAATGAGCGATGCCGTTCGAGTGGCACATTTAGTGATTTTCCAACGACTGTATTTCATTGCTGTGGGACTCTGCATGTGAGGCTGAGGCCGACAATGCCGACTTGCTTCGTTCCCGGGTGTACCAGTGGCTACAGCAGCAACAAGAACAACACGGACAGGCACTTCTTCTCGGCTCCCAAAGATGCGACGCTTCGCTCACTTTGGAATAAGGCCATCCCGCGTGCGGATAAGGAGCTTTCAACGAAGTCCAAAGTGTGCGACTGCCATTTTCACGAGCAGGACATCGACAAATGGTACGTGCACACCATCAATGGCAACACTGTTCAAACGCCACGTGGGAAGTGGAGCCTTGTTGATGGTGCCATTCCCAGTGTTTTCCCAAACCTGCCTGCTTACTGCCTGCTTACAAAAGCTAGCTGCTTTTGCGGAGAGGCAGGCCCGTCAAGACAAGCTGGCAGGAATCGTCAAGAGAATTCAACTGAAGGAACATTCCGAGGGCGACACTCTTCAGCACAGCTACTGCAGGCCTGCTGCCACGTATGCTGTCCTTTATTACCTTGGGGGCTACATTGTGAAAAAGGCTAGTAGGTTCTCAGACTGTGACGACTGTAAAGCGACCGTTAAGGGTAGCGGTAATGTGCCAGCAGCAGCTATCCTCACAGAAATGAGGTCGTTTGTACCAGGCGCCCTTCAGCACCCATCAGATGCTCTAACCTGCTTGCTCTCGGGCATTGAGCAAGTTATTGAAGAGAACACAGAGGCAAAGCAGGTCTTTGGGGATTTGTTTTGGTCTATTTTGGAAGACCTGAGCAAAAAGTCCCTCGTGCGGGTGGGGTGCGATGTTCACTCTGAGGAATTCTCTGCGCGCGTCATCAAATCGTATTTGGTGACGCGCATGCATTTCTATTCTAGATTCCTTCAGCGAGAGCGTGCCTTGAATGTGCAGGTCAAGTCGGCGCGCAAACACGCAAAGCTGCTGTAAGCACGCTGGCAAAGTTGTAGAGTTTGTTGTAAATGAAAAAAAAAACTTGCATACATGTATCTATTCATTACTTTTTTTCTGTCAACATGATTTCGTATTTTGTAGGCATATTCACCGTAAGCAAAAAAGATGTGGAGTTGATTTGTAAATAAAAATGCTTGCATGTATCTATTCATTACTTACTTTGTTTCTCTTAACATGCTTTGGTATATTGTAGCAATATTCACCTCAAGCAAAAAAGGTGTGGAGTTGATTGTAAATTAAAAAAAAAAACGTTGCATATATTTTTCTACTTTGTGTCTGCCGTAAAGTGTGCACTGTGAAAACCAATAAATTGCTGAAAAGAACATTATGCTTATTGACATGTAAGCTGGTTTAACTTCGTCAGTTAATTGACTCAATAATTCTTTCAATTAAAGCTATTTCGCCTTTTGCAGAAATGTCGCTTCTTGGTGGCGTTTGGTAAAGCTAACTGTTGTCAGGGCAAGACATGGAAAAGATACTATTCCAAAAAGGACGTTGGGACAATTGGAAAGTTTCATCTTCGAGTGGCCATAATTACTAGAGCCACTAAATGACGTAGCTCCAATGGTGACCTTGCTTCTTTGGCTGGAAACAAAATTAGCGGTTTCGTGATTTTTTATAAAATTCGGAAGAGACAATCAAAATAAGTTTTAAAGGAGGCTTATTCCATGCTACCAGCTTGCGGCAGACCGTTCACGCTCGTGGTTGACTGCCGGCGAGCAGCCGACGCAAGCGCGCGCAAACTACGATGCGCTTCGGCTGACCTGTTGTAGAAACCAATGCAATGAGCCGTAATGGACGGCTTTTCTGCCCCACATTAAGCGATCCTGAGCAGCTACTGGAAAGTACTCTGGCCTAGATGTAGTCTGGACGCAGACAACTTGACGGGTAACGGGCAATCTTTGATGTTATCGTGCGCTAACGTCATGAGAAGGCCGAAGCGGCGTTGGGAGAAGCGCCGTTGCACGCGATGAGCAGCGGCCGGGTAGAGCAAAATGCGGCGGTCCCGCCCTCTCGCGGTACACCGAGAAACGGAGACGCCGGCGACGCACGGCGCATGGGGAGAGTTTTACAACTGAACCTATCTAGTAACGTTGCACATGGCAACGTGTTTTGTGGGCGGTTCATTTCCTTTGTGCTTCCGCGACTTCAACTCGAGCAAAGGGCAGCGCAACGAGTTCATACGAAGCCCCCCTTATGAGAAGTGCAATACTGATGGCTGAGGAAATCGGGAGCTCAGCCGTGACTTGACGGCTATATGTGGCGGAATCTACTATCCACGGGTGGGGGCTCCAGCGTGAAGCGCTCTTCAAGAGTGAGCCTGGCCGAAAAGGCTTCCGTGGACCTCGTTGTGGCCCTCACACAGGACTCAAAAAAAAAAGTGGGGGAGTTTGTGATTGCCGTGAAATCGCGTATTGGGGGTCAACGTTGAGCTGATTCAGTGAAAAGCCCGAGACGTAGCTCGAGAGATGGGAATCCCACGGGACAACTTCAAGGTTTCACGCGGATGGGCACAAAAGTTCATGCCAAGAAATAGATTTTCCCTCTGGCGAACAATGTCGTTAGGGCAGAAGCTACCAGCAGATTGCGAAGCGAAGCTGGTGGAGTTACAGCGCTATGTGCTCGACCTGTGCCGCTCGTTGCAAATGTCGTTGGGGCACATTGACAACGCGGACCAGGCTCCCACTTTCTTGGACATGCCTATGTCAGGTACTGTCAGCGAAACAAGTGCCCCCCAAGTTCGCATAAGGACAACAGGCAACGAGAAGACGCGGCTAACCGTGATGCTCGCCTGCTTGGCGGATGGGCGCAAGTTGCCGCCATACATCATTTCCCGGCGCAAAACCATCCCGAAGGAGCTGTTCCACAGGGATGTGATTGTCCGCTACCAAGAAAAAGGTTGGATGGACACTCTGCTTATGCTTGACAGGGTCAAGACTGTGTGGTTCCGACAGCCAGGTGCGCTCCTCCACCCCGTCTCCATCATAGTTCTCGACTCATTTCGCGGTCACCTAACGCGCGAAGTGAAGAGGCTGACGCGGGAAACTCAGACGCAGCTCACCCTTATTCCCAGAGGTATGACGTCTGTGCTGCAGCCATTACATGTCTGCCTGAACAAACCGATTAAAGATAGAATGTGGCAGCTGTACGGAGAATGGATGGGAGAAGATCGGGCTTTGACACCTACAGATAGTGTAAAGCGACCTAGCGCCGTGAAGGTTGCCAAGTGGATGTCCGCAGCTTGGTACGGCCTGCTGCACGACATGATAGTTCGCGCGTTTAAAAAGTGCTGCATATCAAACTATATGAATGGGACGAAGGACGACCTCATCTGGGAGGAAGAAAGTGACAAAGAGGGCTCGACCACCGGTGGTGATGGCGATGAAAGCGATGAATAAACAAAACTCACTTCATATTTAGAAACTTGGATATCTTTGCCACTACCATGCGCCGCAAATAAAGGTATTTTTTTCCCCCTGACTTTACTCGGGTTACATTTGTGTTTTTTTTTTTCGGCACTGAAAAGTCACCCCCCGCGTTAAAATTGTGGTCACTAGTCATTACGGTACTTGGCTGCTGACTCGCAGGTCGCGGTCTCGAATCCAGGCTGCGGCGGCTACATTTTCAATAGAGGCAAAAATGCTGGAGGCCTGTGTGGTCAGATTTGGGTGCACATTAAAGAGCCCCAGGTGGTCAAAATTTCCAGAGCCCTCCACTACGACGTCTCTCATAATCACATGGTGATTTTGGAATGTAAAACCCCACATGTCAATTATTCTTCATTTACTTCATTATACCCGATATTTCATTACCTCTGGGTTTCTTATATCAAGGTGAGCTGCCAAAGCGCCTTTTTTCCTTCATTCAAAGCCAGGGTCTCGTTCTGGCAGACTTGGTGCCTTTTAATTGGTGCCTTTAGATTTACTATACAATTCGGTCTAATAACTTCCCCTATACTTTCCTTGGCATTATTGTCTGTTAGATCTTATTAATATTATGTCAAAACACAAAAAAACTAGCCTTTAAGTACAAACTTCTTTCCCTTATTCATTATGAGGGTGTCTCGTACTGGCAGACTTGGTGCCACTAGGTTGTATAAGAGGGACTATTGGTCAGCTGCCAGCTCGTAATAAGTTAACATGCCGCGTGACGCCAAAGAGGAAAATAAAGAGTGTTCCACACTCATCGTCATGGCTACAGGTAGCGCTGACTGACACTCCCACCTTTATTACACATACACTCCATAAAGTGGACTGGGGGATTGCCATCATGGTATCTAAGTTGGTAGAGCATCGGACGCATCATTCGAAGGTCGCAGGTTCAGTCTCTGCCCACACAAGTTATCATTTCGTGCACTTTTCATTCTTCACATTTACATTATGATTATTTCTAATAACATCTGTCATACTTTCCTCGGCATTATTGTCAGTTAGATCTCATTAATATCATATCAGAGGTGCTGCAGCATAGCTAGCTCTAATCAAATTAGTCTACATTTTGATAATGGAGCTGCATTTTTGCATGACAACACATCTGTTACATGCAATCTACACATAATCTGACATATCAAATATTCAGTACGTATTCATTATGAGCATGCACACAGATACTTGTGAAGAAAAAAAAAAGTCTGGACAAGATATGCGAGTGAGGTGCCTCCAACAAGCCAGCAGAGGACCTCCTGGGGATTATGATCGCCTGCTGACACCTTGCTGGGTCAATATGAGGCATGAGAACAACAATAAATTACATGCATGTATTGTGCGCTGCCATAAATAATCATTACTTTCATTATCAAAATATTTTGGGGGATAAACAAAAGTAAAAACGAGTTTGACTCATCAGGAGTTACTTGCAACTTCTGATGAGCCCACAAGTATATTTCTGCGGAAAAGAACACAAGCGGGGCTTGTATATAGTAGAAGTTTTTTAAGTTGAGACATTTACTCATATCCACCAGAAGACTGGCCTCACTTTTTTTTTCTCAACTTTATTTTGGCTAATAATTTTTTCTCCATTGAACTGGTGCCTCGCATGACACCACACAGGAAAGCTTGTTTCATTACATTCGCTTCCAAAGAACATTCAAAATTACCTGTCTCATGACAGCAACATTTGATCATTTAAACCTTTGTGATTAAATCTTTGAATTTTCAGGAAAAAACTTTTCATGATGGTCAAATCACTTGGTGTTTGAATGTACAAAATGTGTAAAGTCGGGAAAAAATTGTGAAAAAAAAAGAAATGAACAGTTTTTTAGGTGTCAGTATTACACAGAACTACAAGACGTCTCATGGAACTCGAGAGCGTGGTATTCCTTGAAACAGTGGTCTACGCACTGTGCCTTATCGGCATCTGCACACCTAACACACATCTCCGTTCTCTTCTTTGAAGTAACCACTTGTGCTGGCCATCACACAGCCTATTTATTCTCTGTGTGCGGCTGCCTTGGGCAGAGTAAACCCAGTTACATCAAGAAACAGAACGCCTCGTGAGTTTCGGGAGATAAAATATTAAAGGGCAGTGTCAATAAAGATGAAAACCAACTTCCACCATCCCTGCGAAAGAGTGCCGATAAAGATAAAAATGAAGTTTCACACGCCTATGTTGCTATCCTAGAGTTTTCTAAAGTTAACTAGTCACTCTGGTGCTGCGATCCTTGAGCGACCATGGGAATGAAGGGTAGTACACGGGTTCGTCTACTCTTCGTACTTGCGGGCCTCTGATCGCGCTTGTGGCTTTGTTTATCACTGTGTTTTTGTTTTGTTTCGAATGAAAGAACGAAGCGTTCTGAACTTTGTGACCCAATTTGAACTGGTGAGCCTTACAGGTTAGGGTGGGGAAATGCAACTGCTGAGCATCTCCTGAATTTTGTTTTGTGACAAAACAGCTCCAAGCCACGCGAACCCAAGCGGAGTCAGAAGTATGAAGACCCGACAAATCTGTGTACTGCGCTTCCTTCCTATGGTGGCTGAAGCGCCGTGCTTTGCAGCTCCCATTCACACTAGTGCCAGAGTTTCTTCGAGGGTATTTGCAGGAAACTCTATGGTTGCGATCGTGCGATGAAACTAAAACCACGAAAGGGTGCAGCCCGACGGCACGGCTGCATGCTACGCAATGCGGTGGCGCTAGAACTCTTATCTTTTCAAGAAGGTAGCACAATCATTTCTAACGCTTCTTGTAAGTCCTAGGAAATGGCAGTACCTCCCAATGAGCATGCGTTGTCATTACGGAGTGAAATTCCCGTGAAGGGTCGAGAAAGGTGCCCGTACGGCAAAGACACAGCTGGGCACAAAACTGCCGCTGCACACGCATGGCAAAAACGTGCAAAAGGTTAAAAGTCTATAGGATTATCAGAACTGTTCATGATAGCTATAATTTTTCTGCTTTCCAAGAGCCATTGTCACGAGGTTTCAAATCGGGGCACTCACTTGATGCCTTGGTTGTATTGGGAGATGCGGTCAATGGCCTGCATGACCAGAAGGGCATTCTGCTGCAATCTGGTTCGAGGGGGTCAAAGGTCAAGGGGAGTAACCACAATTGCAGGGCATTTTACATCCAGCGGTCGCTAACTAATTAGCAAAGACATACTTCCTGGCGGGTGAAGAGAGATCAGTGGGTCGACTGCAATCTCAATTTAGCATGCATCCTGCTCAGCAATTTCATCAGCAGCAACTTCACAGGAGCAATTTACGCGGAATAACAGTGAAGGATATACTGCCTTCATTTTGATACATTATGGTAATAAATCGACTGATTATAAATAAATTCAACCAAATACGTACACCCTGCTGGCTGATCCCCTAAAATCTCCTCTAGAACAGCAAGGAGCTCCACATCATCCTTTTCTTTTCTTTAGCAACCACACTGTTAGTTAAGCAGGGCAACAACCATTTTCTCTATACTACAATATAATGGCATGATCGGATGAGCTCCCGAACTCTGTGATCTCCATTCGAGTATCACTAGGAGGATCGTAAACTGCAATAACTAATGAAGCATCACAGTGAAAAATAGCATTAATGTCCAAACATAATGTTCATCAAAGACAGTAGCCTTGTGTCAAAGATAGTCACTGTTCCGACACTCTAAAAAACATATGTATTTCTCTCTACATCCTTTTGTTTTCTCCCCCTTGCCAATGTTTGTTGTTACAGCATTGGCATTAACAAGGCAAGTCTGCATGTATTATGACATGTAATATGATCATGTATTATGACATGTACAAAGATAGTACAGTTGAGTCTCGATAATTCGAACTCAAAGGAGCCCGAAAATTTGTTCGAATCAAAAGATGTTCGAATTAATGAAAGCTGAATAAACGGAGGGCTCTCCCTGCAGTGGCGCATGTGCATTGAGCTAAGACAGGAGGGGGAAGTTTCAGAAGACTTACATTTATTCACAAATCACAGGACATCTGTTATTAATTGAAGTAATCAGTAATGCGCATCTGCAAACGTTTGCCTTGCAGCAAGTCAATCAATTTCGCACGCAACTTGCACAGCATTTCTACTTCAGCTTCAGCATTCTCCTGGCAAAAGAAGTTGCGTGCAAAAATGTCCAGCACGGACACTTCTTAAAGACGACGACAACAACGACTGCCTCTCCGCTACCCAGCTGCAGCATGGAAGGCACGTGACGAGAAAGGAGGAGCGTCTTCACACGGAGAGAAGCAGATCAGCATTTGAAAAAAGAAAAACCAACACTCCACGGCAGCTTTTTTTTTTTTTTTTTTTTTCACTCTTCGTGCGCATCGTTGAGAGGAGAAGGGTTACGTGGCAGGGACAGAAAAAGTGGATGCATGGCACCGGCGCGCGAGAAGCCCCCCCTCTCAAGGTGCAGAGCCGTGCTATCGCAAGGCAAGGGCTGCAGAAGACAGTGCCTTTTTCCTTTCCTTCAACCACACAGTCATTCAACCCAGCAACAGCTTTCTTTTTTTTTTTCCTCTCTCTTTGCACGCGGTGTTGGAAGGAGAAGGGTCTTTGCGTGGCAGGGATAGAAAAGGGGGAAGCGTGACACGGGCACGTCGCAGATCGGCATTTGAGAGAGAGCAAACATTCCACCATAGCTTTTTCTTTCCTTTTCATTTCCTACGCGCACAGCGTTGAGATGTTGCAGGTGCCGCCGCGGGATTTTGTAGAGTGCTGAGAGCATTTTCGGAGCACGGTATGTTCGAATCAACCGTCGCAAGTACTTGCGCATTCAAATTACCGGGCGTTTTCGCCCATTGGATTACACATAGCTTTTACGGAACCTCATCCTGAGTTCAAATTAACGGGAAGTTCGAATTAATGAGATTCAACTGTATTATGATTTACGACATGTATTATAATCAATCATTCATAATTTACATAATTTGATAGCAAGGTTATGAAGACCAATTTCAAAGCAAGTGGAAGTGTTAGAACAAATTATAGGTATACAGTCGAACTCCGCTACAACGAACGCCTCTTCAACGAAATTTCCGCTACAACGAAAAATTCATAGTTCCCTGCCTGGAAATGCGTCAACGAAGTCTAAAACACGTGTTCGCACCACCAGAAACTGCCGCTAATTAGCAAGCACGAGCGCCACCACTGCTCGATAGCAATGGCATTGAGACAGCGCTGCTTTTGCCACTGGCTTGCTTTAGAGCCGCAGACGATTCGAAGCTGAAGCTCAGTCGCTCAGTTCATGGTTTCCTTCACGCAGCTGCTGGGTGCAAACGCAGAACGATGCCTTTCCGATTCCGATGCTTATCATTATGTTCGGGCTTGGCCAGTGTGGTAAATAATCAGAGTGGGTGTTCATCTGCATTATAAACAAAATCAGCTAGCCACGAGTGACGGATGATAAGAATGGCATAGAATAATGAAAATTTCGCCATTCCACGATACCCTGCCTCCATCTCGGCGTTGTCGGATACACTTTGTGGGAATTGAGGCTGGCCCGCTGCCTTTGCGCGGGCTTTCCCACCTTTTCTGCCATTCTCATGTCCCGACATGTCTGCCCTCCTTTGCCGTCAGCCGCGCTGGGAAGGGCGGAGTGACGTTTAACTCCCTCACCCGGTAGCGGATGTTGACTGTGGCGCCGCGCGCGGGGACCCCCGAGAGGTTTTCGCGCGCTGCGTCGGGAGCGGGGAGTACAGTCCGGGACTTCAAACGGTGAGCCACGCATTCTTTTCCGTCCGTCGAGTCCCGTCGCTCGGGGCTCGTCGGACTTCGCCGACGGCGCCTCGCGCCCGAGGCGAACGCTCACCTTTTGTTGCCCCGCTGCGTACTCACGGCCGAAGGGCAGTACGGTGTCCTAGTGCGTGGCCTAGCTACGCCGACCCGTCTCCCTCCGAAGCCAACGCGAGCGCCTTTGCCCTCGCTCGAGCAACCGGGCCCTTTGTCCCGGTGTCTCCGTGGATCACCTTTACCGCGGAGACGTGCTCGTGGCACCCTGTGTAGTACTTTGTGCCCGTGGCGTGGATAAGCCTATTTGCTTTCTTGCCGCGCCTTTTTGCAACGGGCTGTACTGCGTTTGGTGTTGCCACAATAAAGTGTTGCGACTTGAGCAGTATCGTGTTCTCGCCACGGCGACGGTTAACGCGTGCCCTGCGGCTCGCTAAGACCGGACCCACGCTGGTGGCCGTACTCCTTCGGGATACGTGTACACCACACTGGCGCCCAACGCGGTATCAAAAGCTCTAGCTTTTGACTGCTCTTAGCTAGTCAGTTCGCCTGCGCGATTCGGGCTCGTCGCAACATGGCTGCTTCGCGGGACTTTTGTCCGCTGTCCCTTTTAGCGGATGCCGCGTTGCACACGGAGGCCATTGCCTCTATTGACGGGAACCCTTCCGCACCCGTCTGTGTCGGCACCCCCTATTGCGGTGACGACACGAGGCGCCTAGCCACTCCCCTTGGAGATGGCGCGTCGCTTCGGAATGGGCCTCTTGCCCTACCCGAACGTTATGTCTGCTTCGTGGCATGCCGCGTTGCACCAAGAGGCCACCGCCTCTATCGACGGGCGCCCTTCGGCGCTCGCCTGTGTCGTCACCCCTTTTTGTGGTGAATACACTCCTACGTGGTAGCTGAAGCGCTATCTCGTGCCCCTTGTTGTCTGCCGAGAACCTGGATTTCGGTGCGACGGCCGCTCGCGGTGCCTTAGCACATGCAAGCGTCGGGGGCGAAACAGCAGCTTCGCCGCCATTCGGCGAGAAGGGTGAGTCCCCATGCGGACAAACCTTGGCTGCTAACCAGGTAAGCGGCGCACCGCGAAGCGGCCGAGCGGGGGAGCTTTCCGAAGGCCACGAGGCCGAGAGCGAACCCGTAACGCCGACTCACGCGGCGGTTGCTGCGGTCCTGAGTGGGCGCGATACCAGACTCCCCCATTTGGGAGAATGGGAATTGCTTTCGGCAGCGAAGAGCTACTGAAGGCTCAGCAGAGTGATCCGTTTCGAGTCTCGGAGGGACAGAGCGCCGTTAAACCGTCTTGACGAGGCGCGGAGCGCCATTACGCTGCTTGTTCTGCGGCGGGCGCGATTAGGGGGCTGAAACAGCGTGTGTCGTTGAGTCCCCGGCGGATTCATTTTGCTGGACCATGACGGGCTCCTGCTGAAATATATAGCCACTGACGACGAGTCCATAGACCCGTTTAAGGTGGTTATGCCCAAAAGTCTGAGAGCCGCACTGTTGCGATCCTCTCACGACGAACCCATGGCCGGTCACCTGAGTGGCTCGAAAGTTTTTGCAAACTGAGCAATGTTGTGACCTGGCCCGGCACGAAGCGTGGCTTTTATCGCTATTCCGTGCCTGCCACGTCTGACAAACGGTTGAGCCAAGGGTTGGAAAGCCGCCCGGTCTTATGAACCGATTGTCAGTGAGCGTCCGTGGCGCGTACTAGCTGAAAGATCCCCTTTGGGAAAACTCAGCCGTGCCCACATCGCAGACCTGAAGCCCTTTGTCATGGTCTGACGAGCTTGCGCCAGTGCCCTGCGGCACTTCGCGCAAGCAACGGGCACACCCGGAGCGACGGACTGCATGCGGACCCCGCACCGGTATAATCTGAGGAAGCGGTCACCTTTGTGATTTCGCGCCGGACGGCGGACTTCTCCGCCACCGAAGGCCCTCAGTTTACTGTCTAGCCTTAGTATACGTTAGCTTCTTTACGGCCTTTTCTCGTAAAGAAGTTGACCCCGCTCTGTCTGCTGCCAGTGTTTCTTTTTTTTTTCTGAAGTGTTCATGTGTATTTTGTTTCTTTTGTCTAATATTAAGTGATATTTGTATTTTATGTTTTTGTCAGATGTTGAGTGTCGTTTTGCTCTGTTTTTACTTTTTTTTTCCGTGTTCGTTTCGTCTATCGCGAAGGGAGCTGTGTGTGACCTTGTGTGTCGGTGCTTGCCGGGGCAGAGAGAGACGAAGGACGCTTTGCGCCTACGCTCGCGCAGCTGTCGGCGGTGTGTGTGCGTGCTTCTGTGCGTGTGTGGGTGCGTGACGCTTCGATGCGAGCCCGCGAAGAGTGCGTCATGGCTTCCCCCCATCGATGCGGATGCTGGAGGTACTGGGGGGTCATTGACCCACTGACGTCAGATCGTCTGGCTGTGCTCCGCTCTCGGCCGTCGCCGAAGAAGCCGTGCTGCCTTTCCCACCATGGCTCCTGCGCGAGGCCAGCTGAAAGCAGCTATATGCTGCCGGCCAACGCCAGGGCGCCTTGCAGCCAATTTTGGTTCGGCCTCCCTGACCACCGGAGAGGCCCGGCTTCCCGCAACGTCCAGCTCCGTCATCGAGCCAGAAATGCGGGGCCTCTGAACAACCGAAGCGGCTTTCGTCGGACTCGCGGCTTATCAAGAGCAGCAACGAGCCATCAGTGAGCCCCCTCCCGTACCTCTGACCTCGCACTCGGGCATCGCACCCAGCGAACACTGTCGCGCCCTTTTCTGCCCCTCCGCGCAGTGGACGCTATCTCCCTTAAGCACCACGAACACCAGTGCCACGTTTCTGTCCTCCCTTCCGCAGTTATTTGTATAGTGTCATGTGTTTACTTTGTTATTTATGTTTTGTTTCTCATTTGTGATCTTTTTTTTTAGCAGCAGTAACAGGGCTGAACTGAGGTTAGCTGTAGCTCATAGCAGTGTCATTTTAACTGCATGGGTGACGTCCGGCTGCCTCTTGCAGACCGGTAAAGGGCAAATTTAGGAGGGGGGGATGTGGGAATTGAGGCTGGCCCGCTGCCTTTGCGCGGGCTTTCCCGCCTTTTCTGCCATTCTCATGTCCCGACATGTCTGCCCTCCTTTGCCGTCAGCCGCGCTGGGAAGGGCGGAGTGACGTTTAACTCCCTCACCCGGTAGCGGATGTTGACTGTGGCGCCGCGCGCGGGGACCCCCGAGAGGTTTTCGCGCGCTGTGTCGGGAGCGGGGAGTACAGTCCGGGACTTCAAACGGTGAGCCACGCATTCTTTTCCGTCCGTCGAGTCCCGTCGCTCGGGGCTCGTCGGACTTCGCCGACGGCGCCTCGCGCCCGAGGCGAACGCTCACCTTTTGTTGCCCCGCTGCGTACTCACGGCCGAAGGGCAGTACGGTGTCCTAGTGCGTGGCCTAGCTACGCCGACCCGTCTCCCTACGAAGCCAACGCGAGCGCCTTTGCCCTCGCTCGAGCAACCGGGCCCTTTGTCCCGGTGTCTCCGTGGATCACCTTTACCGCGGAGACGTGCTCGTGGCACCCTGTGTAGTACTTTGTGCCCGTGGCGTGGATAAGCCTATTTGCTTTCCCTCCGCGCCTTTTTGCAACGGGCTGTACTGCGTTTTGTGTTGCCACAATAAAGTGTTGCGACTTGAGCAGTATCGTGTTCTCGCCACGGCGACGGTTAACGCGTGCCCTGCGGCTCGCTAAGACCGAACCCACGCTGGTGGCCGTACTCCTTCGGGATACGTGTACACCACAACTTTGACGGCGAACAGCTTTAACGTGTTAATGCAACTGTTTGGTTCGTTCACGAAAGCGGTGTTAGGCGTTGTTTCAGCGTACTTTTCACCACGGCCTCGCTATGCATGGGTGAGAATCACGTCGTGACACTGCTGGGAAAGAATAGGAAGCAGCGGACGTTTTTTGAATTTTGAGAACAAATGTTCCTTTCTTTTGCTAGCTCAGAGCAGCTATATTTCTTTATTTCAATTCAAAAAAATTTTCACTTCAACGAAAATCTTTCCGCACCCCATCAGTTTCGTTGTAGCAAGGTTCGACTCTATTTTACAATAGCTAATTGTAATTCAAGTGCGAATGTTTATGTTATGATCGAACAGTCTGTGATGCTATATTTCTTCACAAACCAAATTCAGAGACCCTCTCAAATCACATGATACCATTACGTGCTGGCACCAAGCACTCCTAAGAGGCAAAAAAATTTTATATTCCCGCTGAAACGCCTCATATACAACATCTCGTTAAACACGGTACAGCCTTCACTGAAGCAATCATGTTTAGCAAAATATTTCAACCACACAAGATATAAACAGGCTTTGAGCAACAAAGATGCCTGATATACTGTTAATGTAGCATTTGTGATCTATTCCTCACCAATTGCACACAAAAATAGCAAAAGTAAATAATGTCTAAATGAGGATGCCATGATGCAAAGGGATATGCTTACTTAAATGTTAAAATAAATGTAAACGCTGCTAAAAAACACACATGGGAATCAGTCTAGTTTCAGATAAATATAAAACACACGTAATACTTTAGCATTTTTTGTTAATTCAGAGGATGCTGGTTCTTAGATAGCTATTTCAGTTACCCAGGCTTAATCAATTCAGCTGATCCTTATCATTAAAGATAGCCAACACAGCATTGTTAAGATTGCAGGGCCAAATACCATCAAAACTTGATGATCCTTGAAAACAATTTGGGAATGGCAAATGACGACACGAGTATGGAATGGACATAAAATGCCGGTATCCAAGACCTCGGTAGGCCTTTTAGTTCATACGATGCAGATGGCAGATAACTGGTCATCTACAAAACAAGTTTCCTGGAAGGAAAATTTCATCAAGGGCATGGATGGCAGGAATGAGATTTGGAAATTTGCAAACTTGAAATGCTTCTAGCCGCATAAGTTGAGATTGATAAGAGAAATCCTCGTGCTGTACTAAGCCTGTATGGTAACTGGCATATCAGAGAGCATATGAGTATCCTGGTTGAATTTACGATAGATGTGACAGGTAGTAGTATTTTCTTTGGAGTATATGTTTTTTCGTAGTTTATAAACCACTCTTCAGCTCAATAAGCACCAACAAGCTGATCACAATTGCTGATGGTGCACGCACAAAAATTTGGTTCCCAATTACTCTGAGCAGTGGACAAGACGAAAACTGGTCATTCAAGGATACAGTTGGACGTTACGCAGGGTGCCTGGGTCAGCATCGAACAGTGTCTGGTACAGAACGCCGTATTGGTCAGCCAGGGACTTGAAGTCACGGGAACACTTGCGCAGCTGCATGCCATGAGAAAAAGAATGGGATGCCTTGTGAGATGGACAATGACAATGGAAAGTGATTTCGAAATGCAGATGTGTGCCTCTCCTTCAAATATGAAAATGATGTAGGACGAAAGTATTACGTACACATTACAATGTTCACTCCATGAAGCATGACCAACCAGAAGATGGCATGTACAGTATGGTTGAACATATCACATGTTGGAGGCCTGTGAGCCATTATGCTATCTATGCTGTGTTTATAAAGTACATCAATATTCCCCATGTTTTATGATAGGAGGCAACTCAGTAGAGCACAGACACACTTTCAACTAGCAACACTATCCTACTCATGACTCATAATGAAAGTGTGTCACTTACGGTAAAAATACACTATTCTATTCCAATAACAGCACTCTTGTCTCACTTACCTTATGACGGGTTTTGTATTATCGATTTGTAACGACCATATACACTCGACTAAGAGCCGCACTTGTGTAAGAGCCACTCCCTCCCTCTTGGCAGTCTAAGGGCCAAACAACGAAACGTTCCTTTCCTCAGTAAGGAAGCCTTCATTTTTGTGAGGCCGCCTTATGTCACTCTGAAAGCTTTCTTACTGAGGAGCCCTCGGTAAAGGCTTCCTTGGCGCTTCCTCAGCTTAAGGTTGCTTTGGGGCTACCTTCGTGCGCCCTTAGGTCCGCTCCTTGCCCTGAACGAGCGCTTCGCCTCACAGCTAGCCCACGTGATGTTTTCGTTTTCGAGGCAACCCTCCCACCCACTCCCTGCGGGGAGACACGAGCGGCGAGCGTGCGTGCACGGTGCCAGGCACGACGGCGTGCAGTGTTGCTAGAATGGACCACGTTTTGCGCTCGACTACGGTGGCTTTTCACATTCAGTAATCGTAGTTGGAAGAAAGCGTACACGCGTCTCTATATTAACACTTCAATTTGGAAGTGATGTGGTGACCCAACTTTTTTTTACAGAATAAACGCTTGTGAGCAAAGCTTATATTCGATAATCTCGAACGCAGGAGCGCGGCAACCATTCCTCCCGCGAGGACGGGTTAAGGGAGCTTTCAGAGTACGCTTGCTTCCTCCGTCGGTACTTGGTTGTAAGGAAGCCTCACGTAAGGAGAGGACGCGGTCAAAGAAAAGGAACGTTTCGTTGTTTGGGCATAAATTATGAAAGTAAAAAAAAGCTTGCCAGCAAGCAGCAGCGTCGTCGCGTCCTTTGGATTTTAAACACATGTCGTGCAGTGTCCACAGACATGATTGTAAAGAGTTTTTGGGTCACAGGGATTTCCAGTGCCATAGGCGGAGCTAAGAATGATTGGATACATGAATGTGCAGATGACCCGAGCAGCAAGTACGACCCGCACCTGAGCAGCAATACCGATGAAGACATCTAGCGAGGTTGTCCGCAGCTAAGCATTCCATCATTAGGTATACACTCAAACCTCACTATAACAACGTTGCATCTTATACAAAAAAAAGTTCATTATATCCAAAACTTTATTATAAAGGTACATTTCTAACACTGTACTTAATGCAAGACTGATTGATTGATATGTGGGGTTTAACGTCCCAAAACCACTATATGACTATGAGAGACGCCGTAGTGGAGGGCTCCGGAAATTTAGACCACCTGGGGTTCTTTAACGTGCACCTAAATCTGAGCACACGGGCCTACAACATTTCCGCCTCCATCGGAAATGCAGCCGCCGCAGCCGGGATTCGAACCCGCGCCCTGCGAGTCAGCAGCCGAGTACCTTAGCCACTAGACCACCGCGGCGGGGCACTTAATGCAAGACTATTTTTCATTTACTTCATTATAACCAATATTTCATTATAATCAAGTTCGTTGTATTGAGGTTTTGTATATGGCGTGATTAAATAGGTTTTTTCTATACATGGATCGAAAATCGAACAAAATTTCACCCAAGAAAAGGCTACACACCATCAAAATGAGCGAAAAAATTGCAGCCCTTACACGAGCGCATACAGTATTTACATTTTCAGACGGTCCCTTCAAGTTATCTGAATTATTGTACGGTGGTTGTATTACAATTCCATGCAACATGCTCCCGTACCAGATCTTGATGCTAAAAATACTGGTATAGAAGGCTACCTGTGCAACGACGCGTCCACACTTCTGAAGCTCGTCCCGTGTGGCTGACGCAACGGAGGCAGCAATGGCTGGAGGAGGTGCTGTGCGAAGGCAGCTGCACGCCTGCAGCAGCTGTGCGTGTGCCCGCACCCCTTCGCAGCGCAGCCGCACGTACTCTGCCTGAAACTGCAGCGCATGCGCGGGTGTCGTGGCCGCCTGCGAAAGGGCCCAAATAGAAATGCAGCAACCCAGACATTTGAGCATTTCCGTTCTGGTACTACGACGTACCACAAAATCTTGAGCAGGTACATGCCCCCAAGTAATTAGCTCTGGCAATTAGTGGGCAGGTGGAGAGGGTGGTGCTGTCCCGGGACGGCAACAAGACTCAAGATGGCGGCCAGAAAGCTTTTCCACAAGAACGAAAAGCAACAGTGCACGTATACTTTCTCTGTAGCCTTCTTGCTCTCATTCACAGAATGGCGCATAACGACAGCTTACAAACACAAAAAACACAATGGTAATGCAATCAGGCTGCGAGAAGAATGGCATGAAGTGCCTGCAACAATGAGAAAACGCGACTGTGCTAAGCAGCAAACGCCGATCTTGAAGGCTTTACTCTTGCTGGCCTTCTCGTCATAGGCACCATCTTAAAAAGTACAGATCTCAAAGGCCAAGCTTCTGCTAGCAGCACTCTGAAAATCCTCATGGGTGCCTTGCGCTACGTCCAGCATACAATTATTATGTAGCGGAAAGAAGGTGAACATTCACGACAAATATCAGGTGCACGTTGCTCAGATATCAAGCTCTTAGGCCGCATTAAACGAGATTAAAATAGGCTACCGTAGCATGGACACTACTACTACGGAGAAATTTGAAATTAGTGAAATTACAGCAGGTGCTTGCTGAAATTTCAATTTAATGACACAAAAAAAATGGTTCCAAATAATACAGAATTTTAGGAGAAGATGAAGGCTCACAGAGATGATCCAACAACAGTTGTCGCTGAAGCCAACACTAATAAAATTGTCTTGCATCGACAGACATGAGTCCCCCAGTAGAGATGTCGCAACATGGCCTGTTGAACAACTTCTCAACACACAGTCACTGTGTGTTGAGAAGCTCTCCAGCAAGTGTCTATGAATGAAAGATTCTTGCGGAACACAGCCAGATGCATTAGTTGAGCATTGTTAAGGATAAACTTCTTCAGGGACACAGGCAGGAGAATAGACAACAATTACACACATAGCATGTTGCCCAAATCTGAAAACAGTGCATGGATGTATGTCCTATGCTTACAGATACAACACAGCTTGCTCATTGCACTTATGCGGTATCGCTAAATCACAGTTCCTTTACAGGGAAGCCGAAGTGGTTTTAGAATTCGATAAACCTTCGTGGTCAACAAGGACAAACGCCATATTTCAGGATGTTCTTAAATATTTCCATGATTGATGCACAGGTGCTTCAGAAAACATGAAAAGAAAGATTCCACCTCGCATCAACTACGCTCAATGTGTGGAAGAGAATGATGTCATTTTCGGTCCAATTGACAGTACCGCTTCGTACTTCAACAAAGGTACCCGCAACTCAGTGATTCGAACTGACTGGGAGAGCACTGTACATGTACCAAGGGCCCAAGTAAATGCAGATATGCTGGAAGTATTGCAGCCGTATTACAATAACTTCCATAACGACAAAGGTGAACAAGCGTCTATCGTAACTTCAACAACAGCCTGAGTGATCAGCTTGACCATCGCGCCATTGCCATGGTGAATGACACGGCTTGCCATTCTAGAGTCAGACTAGAGCTCTAGTCTATGACCCTGTAGCAACACCGCATTCACTCAGTCTCAAAATTATCAGCTGCCACAGCCAGTGTCTTTTTTTTGCAGATGAATGCAATTCATGTTTGATTTTAAAAACTCTCACATTAGTAGTATTTGAATTCAGCAGTTAACAAATTCTGATTCCACCCTCTAAGCTCTAAAATCTTTGTCTTATCTTTGAAGTTACTTCAGGTTCCCTTCAACCCTCAATTCCAATACCATGAGAAGACCACACTGACAAACCTTCTTTCCCTGTGTCAGGTGAGATTTGATAATAAAATGTTTATATTAACATGGCTGCGTTAGTAAAGTTCGCATGCCCCTTTCTCCAGTGAAAACTGAGAAAGCTGGCCCTCGCATGTCACTGCTGATGTGAGACTGGGTAAATGCAGCACGTTTATTCGTCATGCACACTCGGCACGTTGCGAAATTCAACACTCCCAAACCCCTGCGTGTCTGTTAAGAACACTGCTGCATGGTGTTCTCGAGAGAAGGTCACGTTCACACGATGCAAGCACGCTGCTCAAATACCTCCAGCCATCGAGATCTGCAACGGCATAGTCGTTGGGCCATTTAGCGCAGCAGAGTGGCAATCCGTGGCGAACACTTAAAGTCATCAATTGGAGGCCCAAGCTCGTTGTGTAGACGATCACTTCCGTCGCTGTCAGAGTCATGCGAAATAGCTTGTGCCTACTCAACGGTCGCACGGGGGCCGCTGACGGACATGTTACGGCACACAACGCTATGCATTTCCAAAAGGCGCTTCCAAGAAAACGTCATCGAAGGCAGTCAATATAGGTGCCGACCTCCCGGCATTCGCCCGCAGCTCGTTTTTGTTTATACGAGTTACAGGTGCCGCCTCGCTCTGCTCGCCAGCGTCAAAGTACAGAGCTTGTTTTGCAGAAATTTCAGTGTTGGTGTCACCGTTTGTGAGCAAAAAAATCATCTTGTCCGTGAACAAAAAATCAAGAAAGATGCAAATATATAATAAATAATAAAAATTTTCAGTTTGAGTGAGAATCAAACCAAAGCCGTTTGTGCGACAAGCATGCTCTAACACAGAGCCATGCTACTGCTTGAAACTTCCTTGGAAAAAAAAAAAAAACGCGAATGTCACTTAGCGCAAGGAGTCTCCTTAGCACCAGTAAATGACATGGCAGAAGCGTAGAATCGCAACAGCCATCTAAACTGGTGAATCGCACAATGAGTGAGTGTTTGAAAAGCCCACCCATCGCAAAGCACTGGGACATATTTAATCCTCATCAGTTGCAAAGGTATCAACAAAGCGAACAGCTGTGCAGTGTTGCCTTACAGATGCCTTGTGGGCCCTTCGTCGATTTGCAAGAAGAATTACAGTAGACTCTCAATAAATGGAACCTGAAGAGATCAAGAAAATATGTTCCATTTAAGAGGAGTTCCGCTTACTGAGAGATGAACGTGTGTGCAGAATGCAAGCCCGAAACCAAACATAGCGGAGAGGATTGTTCCGTTTAACACATTTCCATTTTGCACTAAAGAGTCTACCGTATGATGTAGTGAGCACTTAACAATAATACTTGCGGTAGACACCGCAGGACACTTTGAAACGGCCAGTGTTACATAGTTGTTTTTTTCCTGGTGGCACGGCTGAGGCATGCAGCGGGAACCAAAGCCAGACAAGCAATTGAGAAGGTAATGCACACGGAGGCAAATTACACTGCTGCGTTGTACTATTGAAGGCGAAGCTCAAGCGTCCACGAAACTTTTTCTAGCTTTTTTTTATTAGGCGCGAAGCTCCTCGAACCTGCACTCCACCATTGCCGTTGACGGTGCCTGCACTGGGCAAGCCCGCTGAGCAAAACAATAGGTGGGCTCCCGTTGGGCACAAGTGTAACAGCAAATGGCTTGCGCCGTGTGCACCGCACACTCATTCGCTTATCGTTCCCATCATCATGCACAACAGCAAATGCTCTTTCTACGCTACAGCCTTCATGAACGCCAGCCACTAGATAAGGCGCATAGTCGTTTGCGTCTCATTTCTAAGGAGCGCTCATCGGTTTGCTTTGTACATGAAACAGCAGCTCGGTTTTTTTAATTGTGAAGCAGCTCTCTGACTAGCCTGTGTAATGCTGTTCCGTCCGTGTCTCCGCGCAAACGGGCCGCAACACGCCCCCCCCCCCCCCCCCTTCCGCCGCAGTTGTTCGAACGATGCCAAGTAGGTCAAGACACAGCTGCGCATTGACGTCACTCTCTCTCTCACCCGCAGCAGCTGCCAGTTCATCCCAACATACCTAGGAAGTGTTGTTCCTCCGTCCACTTGCAACGCACTTCTTTCTCGCTTCACCCTCTCTACCGCCCACAACGCTCAACCGCACGTCGAGTGGAAAACACTCTTTGGGCTTGTTTATCTGCGATGAAACTTACACGAAACCGGCCTGCCTCCCGTGTCTTTGCGTTTCAAAGAAATGTTCACTCCAGTAAAGACTACACCGAGTTTCACTTAAAACTGTTCTTCCAGCATCCGCGTCGACGCCTGTTTCAGCCAGATCAATTGCGTGCGCACCGCTTCTGCTTCGCATCCCATTATCGTTTCCTTCGAGGAGATGGTCCATAATTTTATTTGGTTTTTTTTTTTTTTTTTGGCAAGCACAAAGTATGTGGCCAGGCTTGCGATACCTTGAGTGCCGAAATGGCCCGCACGTAATGGGTGAGTGCATCCGTCAGCTGCATCTGCCCCTTGCGCACCAGAAGGCTCTCCTCGGCTCGGCACAGCTCGCCAGGCTCACCAGCCAGAAGTGCAGCTGCTCCGAGCTCACCTGGGGGTGCACCAGAAAGGTGTGAGCACACATGCACACTTACATTACAAACATGCACATCACTAAAACTACCTCATTGTTGCTCTTGCAACATCACTACGCAGTCAAACCTCGATTTCATGGCTACGGATATCGCAAATTAACAATTATAAAAAAGAAAATTAAAAACTAAAATTTCAAAAATACATTGTTGCAAATACATCCTTATAACAAACTTTCATGTATAAAAATAGCTGTTTTAGCACCATATGCGACTTTGTCACAACAGAATTTAATTACTTACAATCCCTAAGTATCTGCATTAGTCTTGTCACTGTCACTGCTCACTGTCCTAGACTTTCCTTTTTTTTTAAATGTGCTTTTTCTGTGTGGTCATTGGAGGTGCCAGGGCCAGAACGGGAAGGTTGAACTTTGTGCTGCTGAACGATGGCAGCACTCAGAGGTGATAAAGACAACAGATGCCTCTGTGAGCACTATTGTGAGCACCACTGTATGCAATTCTATGCCCCTGTCTCACTATAGGTGTCAAAAAAATTTTTTTTTCAGAAGCTAATCGTCTGTTTTCGACTAAACCACAGATTTCAAATTGCAGATGTTGAACAAAACAAAAAACCAAAAAAATCAATTTTTTTTTTTTTTTCACCTCTGCAGTTTGCTAACTTCCAAGGCCTGTTCCCTCAGTAAGCAACATCTATGGGCTGTTTTCATTTCTGTAAGCAATGAACGCTAGAACTGCTCTCACTGAAAGAGGTGGTAGGAAACGCTTGTGTACGTTAGCTGGTACATTCGAATCTCATTATTTCCAAAACGTTTAATTCGAACTTCCGGTTAATTCGAACACACGATGAGGTCCCGTCAAAGCTATGTGTATTCCAATGGGCGAAAACGCCCGATAATTTGAATGCCCAAGCACTTCTGACAGTCAATTCGGACATACCGCGCTCTGAAAATGCTCTCAGCACCCCGCCCGATCCCGCCGCGGCACCTCCGACACCTCAACGCTGCCCGTGAAGGAAATGAAAAGGAAAGGAAAGAAAAGGCTGCAGTGGAATGTTTGCTCTCTCTCAAATGCCGATCTGCGACGCAACCGTGTCACGCTTCTCTCTTTTCGGTCCCTGCCGTGGAAAGACCCTCTTCCTTCCAACGCCACGCGTGAAGAGAGAGAGGAAAAGAAAGCCGTCGCTGGGTTGAATGATTGTGTGGTTGAAGGAAAGGAAAAAGGCACTATTTTGTGCAGCCCTTGCCCCTTGCGGGAGCACGGCTCTTTGCCATGAGGGGGGGGGGGGGGTCCTCTGACGCCCCGGTGCCACGCTTCCCCTTTCCCTTCCCTGCCATGTAACCCTTCTCCTTTCAATGACACGTGCAAAGAAAGCAAAAAAAAAAGGCTACCGTGGAGTGTTGGTTTTCTCTGAAATACCGATCTGCTTTTCTCCGCATGGAGACGCTCCTCCTCTCTTGTCACGTGCTGGCCATGCTGTGGCTGCGTAACAGAGAGCAAGAGGTTCTGCTCTGCAGCAGTCGTTGTTGTCGTCGTCTTTCAAAAGTGTCGGCGCTGGAAATTTTCGCGCGCAACTTCTCTTGCCAGGAGAATGCTGAAGCCGAAGTAGAAATGCTTTGCAAGCTGCGTGCGAAATTGATTGACTCGCTGTAAGGCAGATGCGCATCACCAATTACTTCAATTATTAATGGATGTCCTGTGATTTGTGAATAAATGTAAGTCTTAAACTTCCCCCTCGTGTGTAAGCTCAATGCACATGCGCCATTGCATGGAGAGCCCTCTGTTTATTTAGCTTTCATTAATGCGAACTCCTTTTAATCCGAACGAATTTGCGGGCCCCTTCGATTTCGAATTATCGAGATTCGACTGTACGAACACACGGTGGAATAGCACGAAAAAAACACAGAGACACAGGCAAGGGAGATTATACAGACACTGTATTGCCTGTACAATGCCTGTATCGTCCAGAGGTCTAGTCTGTGTCCCTTTGTCTTTTACGCTATTCCACAATGCTTCAGGATAGACAGCCACCGACCTTGTTGGCAAGGTTGGAGAAAAGAGGTGCAGCAGCCGCAAAGTGTCCGTAGCGAGTGGCCTGCCGCGCAATTCTGTAGACGCTCCAGGCATCCATGCCTGCCAAACCTTCTTCCAGGATACGGGAACGGAACCCCTCTCCACTCCTGCCTGCAGAACCAGCGTCCACAGCAACACCTGTGCAAAACAACATTCGAGTTGGATGCTTGTGCGGAACGCATTCTTTCTGCTTCAGTGCCAGCAGAGTCCAAAACAACAAGCTACTCAATGAGCAAATGCATATTCACACACAGCACTCCCACCAATTTCAAGATTCACAAGGCTGGTGTATGAAGCTTGGCTATAAAAGTCAGCACAGCATCATCGAACAGGACAGGTTAGCGGAGCAGCTAAAATTAGCAAATGATGGATAAAACAAATAATAAAATTTCAGCAGCACTGCGAATCACATCCTGATACAACAGATTGCTCGGAGAGGCACATAATCAGTTCTTATAGGTTTTTGGAAAGAACTGGTGGTGCTTCATTGCAACCGAGGAATTGTATCCACAAAAGTGATCAACAAAGTATGCCACACAAAGCGAGTGCTGTCATTGCAATGCCACTGCAGACGACTTGAGAAACAACTGCCTGCAATTCAATCACTTGGCGACCACTTCCTGCAGTAGATTGAATTTACTGCACTGCTCTATCAATTTATTTACAGCTTCAAGTTATTGCAAGAGCAACGAAAATTTGCTACAATCAAATCACGTACAAATGCACTTCATTATTTCAAGTTTGCATTGCTATATGCATGGTGCTATAAGAACGCGAAGTTAGAATAAGGTCAATAAACTTCGTTATATTGATTAAGGTACATCATACCGAGGCTTCACTGTAAAGGTCATTTTGACAAAAGACCCTAGTCATGCTTTGTTTTCTTGACATTCAAGGGTGCTGCAACAATCATGGTACACCCCTCTCAGCGGCAAAGAAGCTGGCTCACCATCTACACCTGTCGCTCTCGCACTCGCGGACCAACTCTGCCATCACGCAACACATTTGCTCGAGACAAGCCATGCAACGCGAATGTGAGGTCTAGCTCATTCCTTTGCTAACTCCCTTTTTTTCTCTTCACACCTTTGCACATGCCCTCTCCTTCCCCTGCACGGGCAGCCCCAACCACTCACTTCGCATGGTGCCACCTGTCAAGACGTGTGAAAGTCACTCAACGTGCTCACACGTGTGCACTGTCGACGTCGGGGGAAGCTGACAGCGACGACGCAGAGCAGACGACAAAAACGAATGGGAAAGCAGATGCAGGAGCAAGGCAAAGGACAACATTGCACCACTGCTAGAAAAAAGGCAAAAATATTCAAGCTTGACTCGTCAACAGCTATGCAGATTCAGAGTACCAGCATCTCTCCTCAACAGCTTCACCCACAGGGACCTTAGCATATACTCATTCGTTGTCCCATCTGGTGGACATGTTGTGAAGTAGAAACAGGCCCTGCAAATGTGTCCCTTTCTGACAAGCGAAGTTTGCGCTCCTTTTTTATTTTACTCCGCGCTCCTGACGGAGGGAGTATGGTGAGTAGGCAAACTTGGAATTGACTGCGTGCTCACCAATGCCTTGGGAGGAATGGCTGGCATGGCACCCCTGCTGGCCGTGCTGAGAAGCTGCCGGATGCGGGGCTCGATGCGGCTCAGCACCCCACACCGCCGGCTTCCCTAGGGCACACAGGCCTTCGCACACAGACAGCATGGCAGCCCCTGCAAAACAATCAAGGACAGTCTAGAACAACTTCACAAATATTATCACAAAACCATTCAATGGCCTATCTAGCGCCAAAAGTGACTGTCAGCATAGCTGGCATCAACACGAGTGACGCAAAATATCATCACATCATCACAAGTTGGTGAAATTGGGGACGTTATTGTGCAATCTCCTCCACCATGTACAGAGGGGAAAATGCAAAGAGAGTGGGGAGAAAAAAAAAGCTGAATGAAAGGGACAACGAGAACAAAAATTTATGCAAGTGTGGGTTCGTTGAGCTAGTTGGTCCCACATTTTATAAATGGAAAAAGCACTGCGAAAGGAGATATACGCTCAAACCTCATGGCAACGAAATTGCATCTACCATTAAATTCGTTATAAAGGTATATTCCTAACTCTTTATGCATTGCAAGACTATATTCATTTACTTCGTTATAATCTATGTTTTATTATATTCGGGTTCGTTACATTGAGCTCTGAGTGAAGTCCAAGCAAACATATACAGAGAGCTCCGCTCATTTTTGCGTCTCTTGGCTTGCATTACATGTCCTCTCGCGCCTTTTTTCCCATTTACAAAAAATCTGTGTTAGAATAATGGACAAAATAGAAACCTCATTTGACAAACTGACACTCCCATCAGAAGGGTTACATGTATTGTCTTTGGCGTCCCACTATGGCGGCTCAGCTTATGTTGTGATCGGCGCATGTTGTTTCACATAGGACCTGCACCATGGTCGCATCTGTTCCCAGTGAAGTGAAAACTGTGATGGGCCATTTTCCAAAGAAAAGCAAATGACAAAAAATTATTTCACACACCGATCTCGCAATTTTGAGGCTTGTCACTGTGAGCAGCGCGAACGGAGATCTTCGGCTGCACGTCAATTGGAAAAAGTTACTATATGCTTAAAACGGCGAAATATTCGGACCTCGAAGAATAGCTTGCAAACATTCTGAAGCAACTCGGTGCAAATAGGCTTTGTCAACAGCACGTGATAGAAATATCTCCAGAAGTGATATCAGAGCCAGTAAAATGAGCTCAGAAGAAAATTAACTACGAAAAGAATAGGTTTTCTATCCTTTGGAGGAAAATTGTACTTGTCTCTCCTTCCCCCCTCCACCTTTCCTTTTTTTAAATAGTCAACATAGAGACCAGCTACAGTTTGAAAAGTAGTAGCAATATATCAAGCGCGTATTTTTACGAACCCGCGAAATTGAGCGCTCATTAGATTCATATATATGCTCTTTGAAGACACCATTTTCATTAAGGTTTGCGAAATAAATGCTCTTTTTTTGTCATTTCTTCTTTGCTGTAAGTCTACTTCATTTAGTGTTTTCCCGTGACATATTATTAGGATGCACCTGGCTTGTTAGAATGTCTCTTTAGGAGCACTTCTGATGAGCGTCTTATAAAACTAACAGCGGTATTTTCGAAATTGCCTGGAGAGGAAGCTACTATACTTACTCGAGACTTGATAAAGATAAAGCAGGCATCAAGAAGCAGCGCAGTGAGTTACTGTATCATGACAGCAACTCCATCGGTAGCCATGCAATGTAGAGCACAGTGCACCGGCGTGTGCCACAAAAAGTCGCGGTGAAATTCACCGCTAAGCAGCCGAGAAAGTTACCAAAGTTGTGGACAGGCAAGTAAGAAACTTAGAAGCTGTGAGCTGTAGCTTATAACAGTATTCCATTCGAATATATCTGACCAATGTCAAAAATGTCACGGGCACTACATCTACAAAAACACAATATCGTAGTCATTTCAATACATGCCACTTAAGGAAACACATACAGTCAGACCCCGCTACAACGAAACTGACGGGGCACAGAAAAAATTTCGTTGAAGCAAAAATTTTTTTGTATTGAAATCGAAAAAATATAGCTGATCTGAGCTAGCAAAACAGAGAAACGTTTATTTCTTAAAATTCAAAAAGTGTCAGATGCTTCCAATTTTTTCCCAGCAGCGTCACGACGTAATTTTCACCCATGCATAGCGAGGCCATGGTGAAAAGCATGCTGAAATAACGCCTAAAACAACCTTCGTGAACGAACCAAACAGTTGCATTAACACGCTAACACCAGCAGCTGTCCGCCGTCAAAGTGTATCCGACAACGCCGAGATGGAGGCAGGGTATCGTGAATGGCGACTTTTGCATTATTCTGTGCCATTCTTATCATTCATCACTCCGTGGCTAGCTGATTTTGTTGATAATGCGGATGAACAGCCGCTCTGATTATTTACCACACTGGCCAAGCCCGAACACAATGATAAGCATCGGAATCGGAAAGGCATCGTTCTGCGTTGCACCCAGCAGCTGCGTGAAGGAAACCATGAACTGAGCGACTGAGCTTCAGCTTCGAATTGTCTGCGACTGAAAAGCAAGCCAGTGGAAAAAGCGGTGCAGTCTCATTACCATCGCTATCGAGCAATGGTGGCGCCCATGCTTGTTAAACAGCGGCGGTTTCTATTGGTGCAAACATGTGTTTTAGACTTCGTTGATGCATTTTCAGGCTCTGAAAATGCATCGAAATGTTAAAGATTAGGTTTACTACATAGCAATAAGTGTCTGATCCTGGAATTACATTGTATAATTGTCGTTCAACCGAGATGACCAAAGAAAAAGTGTTCGTTGTGGCAACAATATTTATGCATTGACTCCTATGAACTGCTGACGGGGAATCGTGAATTTTTCGTTGTAGCGGAAATTTCGTTGAAGCGGTGTTCGCTGAAGCGGAGTTCGACTGTACACAGAGAGCAAAGAATGGGGATGGGCACTTTTAGTGGCGTCTCTTGACTCAACATAAAGTAAGATGGGAGATCATGGAATGCACAAGGATAGGAACCGTGTACTAATGTCTGCCAAGATAGTACGTGCCAGTGCACGCAAAACTACAGTCGAATCTCGATAACTCAAAACTGAAGGGGCCTGAAAATTTGTTCAAATTAAAATAGGTTCAAATTAATGAAAGCTGAATGAATAGAGGCTCGCCATGCAGTGGCGCATGTGCATTGAGCTACCACATCATGCGAGGGAAGTTTAGAAGACTTACATTTATTCACAAATCACCGGACACCCGTCATTAATTGAAATAATCGAGGATGCACATCTGCATATGTTTGCCTTGCAGCGAGTCAATCAATTTCACACGCAACTTGCAAAGCATTGCTACTTCGGCTTCAGCAATCTCCTCGCAAGAGAAGTTGCGCGCGGCTATGACCAGCGCCGTTACTCTAAGGACGACAACGACTGCGTCTCTGCTGCTACCCTCTGTGCCACAGCCGCAGCGTGGCCAGAACATGACGAGAAAGGAGGAGCGTCTTAACGCGGAGAGAAGCACACTGGCATTTGAGAGAGAATCAACACTTCACAGCAGCTTTTTTTTTTTTTCTCTTATTCGCGCACGGCGTTGAAAGAAGAAGGGTCTCTATGTGGCAGGGACGGAAAAGGGAGAAGCATGGCACAGGCACGTCACAGATCGGCATTTGAGAGAGAGCAAACATTCCGTCTCAGCAATTTCTTTCCTTTTCCTGTTTTCCTTCTTCGCACGCAGCGTTGAGGTGTCCGAGGTGCCGCCGCAGAAATGGCCGTGGTGCTGAGAGCATTTTCAGAGCAGGGTATGTTCGAATTAACCGACGCAAGTGCTTGCATGTTTGAAGTACAGGGCGTTTTCGCCCATTGAAATACACATAGCTTTGACGGTATTACATCATCAGTCCTAATTAACTGGAAGTTTGAATTAAGTGTGTTCGAATTAATGAGATTCAACTGTACATACTTTTTATCAAAGTTAACAGTTCCAGCCTGAGCAACGCATTCCCCTTCTATTGCTGCCCCTCATGCTCCTTCGCCCAACGGGGATAGCCAGCACATTTCATTCCCGCTTGAACTGTACCCGTCTGCAGCCTCCACAAGCTTTCACCACATAGAACATACATGCAAAGTGATGCCATCGATTTGGACTTCATACAACACACTATGCCAACAGCAAAAATGTGCACAAGTGTACGATTACTACCGCAACTAAATTGCAACCTAACAACCAGCTGTCTGCACTTTAGCTGTGCAGACGCCTCTTTTACAGAGAGACCAGGCCGACATATGTCCCAGCAGTGTAATGTAAATTGGCAGCGAACAAAAGGGATAACTGACCTGACCAGAAGGAGAGAAAGGAGCCCAACACATCCACGAATTGGCTGCAGAGGTCAGAGTCTGCATCGCACAGCAGTACAATGCACCGCAAGCAACCCTGCGTTGAAAATTTGGTTGCACAGTTCCAACACTGTCACGTCTACCAGGCCACAGTAGCGAAACAAAATGAGCACAACAGTCCCACTTGATTTCTTGCTCCTCGTCTCAAGATAATGCTGCACCCACAGTGGTAGCTTAGTACCCAAGATGCTTGACAATGCGCGTGGTTTGAGTCCAGTGAACAGGGGCCACATTTTGACAAGGGTGAAATGCAACAGCACCCGCCTACGTAAAGTGACATGCAACTTAAATAACCCCACGTAGTTTAAATTATTAAACGGCATGCCTCATAACTATGTTGTAGTCTTGGGTCATAAAACACTTGATTGTCATTTCTTCAGTTCAGGCACATTCATTATGCCAGTTCACCAGCTTGCCCTCCACTAGCAAACCACAGTGGTCACAGGAGAAAGCAAGTGTAATTTGCATCCAGTAGTCTAATTACCACGTAGATAGAAACATGAGATAACCCATGGGTTCTTGGACATTCCAGCAATGGGGAATCCATGCAGCTTCTTTAAGAGTGCTGCGGAAATAGTCTTTGTTCTTTTTTTCACACTCTTTTAGCATACACAAGATAAGAATGATGACTAGATCCACACAACCAAAGTATTGATGCTGCCGCTTTGGCCTTTTAACCTCAAGGGCCGTTTCTATCAATGTGAAACTCGGGATAATGCACAGATAGAGAATGAGAGTTATTGCACTCTTCTCCGTCTCTATTTTCCTGCTGCTTGATAAGAAAATGTAGGTAACAGTCTGTTAGGGTATAAATAGTTGAAAGCGAAACAAAAAACCATGAACAAAGGTCGTAGACGCACACGAGTGTTCAGTGAACACTAGTCACCAACATAACTGCACTCACCCTCAGAGCATGGCTGGCGTCATCGCTTTCTGACTCCTGGGTGCACAGAATCATCAGCAGGGTCTCGATGGCGCTTGACACCTCCGGCATGAGATCCAGTAAGTCCTCTGCACCAATCACCCAGAGCATCACTTGTAGCTCTCGTGCATGTGACTACGATCACTACATGAACACAGCAGATTAAATGCTGTAAATGTGGTCTTCAGTGCACTGAATGAACCTGCTGACATCGTAAAAGTGTAATTTATGTAGGCTCCCGTTAAACAAAACCTGAAGGGACCAGGAAAATGTGTTTTGTTGAACAGTAGTTTCGTTCAGTGAGAGATAAACAGGGGAGCATAAGGCAAGTAAACAAAACCTATCATATTAGAGGCAGTTGTTCTATTTAAGCAGAAATTTCGTTTTAAAGAGTTTCATAAATATATGAGCATTATAGCTACTGTATGAGCAAGAATCCAACGAAATCGTGCGGATCTAAGTACTATCATGCATTGTTTCTTTTATGTAACTGGCAGAATGAAAGGCAGGAAATTTTTTCAAGGGGCTCGTTTCATTGTTTGACACAACCGTGTCCAACCAAAAGAATGCAATGGACAGTTAGGTCAGGGAAAGCATACAAGTTATCAATTGTCTTCAAGCGCGGTGTGGTAATATGTAATTAGATAAATCGAAATCAATTTAAATATACAAAAAATCGCAATTTCTGTCAGTGGGAGCTGAACCCACAGTCTTGAGATTATGTATTGGGTGCTCTACCAACAGATACCAATGATAGCACTAAGGCATGTTACACATGTAACCCTTTGCGCTGGCCCTAGTCGAATGTCTGCAAAACTTCCCAATTGTTTCAGACACTTCTAATAAGATTGCAAAGGCAATGCAAACACTGGAGTTTATTCTGGAACCAAAGCGGCCACCAATAATGAGACTGGATTCATTTTCAATGCCTCGCGTATAAATGCCGACACGCCTTACCACCAATCAGCTTTTTCTTAGCAATCAACAGTCTTCATCACCGCTATCTTCGCATCTCGAGTGACACTTCTTTTGCAGGGTAGAAGTTCACACAATAAACAGTGACAGAAAAGTGTACAGAGCTCAAGCTGAAAGTGGTTCAACCACTTTCAGCTTGAGCTCTGTACACTTTTCTGTCACGACCACCTGACCACTTAACGCACACAAAGGACACAAAAGAAAAGTTCCACTTGAGCTGTATACATAAGAACCCCCTGTGTTAGTACTCACCCCGGGCGGCGTGAATGGCCAGATGAGTGAGCAGACGAATGGAAGCCGATGCCAGCCGCACCTGGTGGTGAAAGATGCCTTCGCGGCACAGCTGCAGCACAGGACCGTCTGCAAGTAGCATATTAGAGTTTAATATGAGTTGCCATTGGCTCTATTAAAAGCTTGTGCACTTCACTTTTTTTGGCACAAGGTGAGTTCAATCTGAATGCCTATTAACACTAAACAATTTTAAGTTGAATTCAAAGAGTTGCAGGATTTGAATAATCATAAGGTACAAATAATCAGCAGTAAAACATTTGACATTTCAAATTTGCCATAATTAGCCCATACCTGTCTGTGTAATGTTTTTTTTACACTACAAGAGGACTGAAAATCAGAATAACTGTCAGGGTTTACCATTCCGAAACCTTCCTTAAAATTACGAGGAATGTGGTAATAGAGGACTCGACAAATTTTGACCCCCTGGCGTTCTTTAACGTGCACCTAATTTTCAGCACATGGGCCTCAAGCATTCTTGTCTCGGTCGGAAATGCGAGGTGGTAAAAAAAGGACTAATCAACGTGCAAGTGATGCGTACACTTCTGTGCGGCTTTATGGAAGCGCGGATTTCACCCGAGTACACATTCCCACAAAACCGTGGTCTCCCACTGCAGTGAAATCATTTTTTCAAGTGATTTTGCAAGCAGTAAAGTACGCCTATATGTTCCTATATGTTCATTTAGAGTGCTTTGAAATTTCAGAAATCTTAAATTCATGTCGAAGCTAAATAAATTGGAATATTAGTTAAAATATTTGAAGTGCTTAAACGTTCACACATGCCACGGCTCCTTGCATCAGCATTTGGACACCAAATAGCCGAAGTTGTGAAGGTCGGCTGATTGCGGCACCACATGTCACTGGAGAAACAAGCTACAAAGCGGAATGCAGTAAAAGCTTGTTACTTCAGCTTTTATGGGATCGAGATGAATGTTCAAATCAGTCGAATTTCGGGCTATTAAAAGTATAAAAAAACAATGACCAGTGGCCTATTACACTTTCATTTTCTTGATGAATATGCCAATCCTGTACTTCGCATAAGAGCAGCATACAAGCCGCAATTTTAACGATTCACGACATTGCTTACTATGTGACCACAAATCAAGACTTCAGTGAGCTAACTTGACCTGAAATGTAATAACCAGAAAACAACTAAGAACATTGTTACTATCATTACTTTACGGTTCGCTCTGACGACAATGGCAATGCAATGCAGACCACACCGCCTCATTTTGGCTGTTCAAAAATGCCATTTTCACCGTTTTGCGTCACAAGTTTGAGGCGCTTCATGCTCAACGCACTCCGAGCATTGTCCAAATAAACTGAGTTGTGGCCAATTGTGAGCAAATTAACAAGAGCTTGATGCCATTAAATCATGCATATGCTGGCCAGGACCGGGTAGCACATTCGAATAAGCCGATTTTCCAAATTAATGAGGATTGTATTCAAGAGCTTTTACTGTATTTTGTTCTCTTCTTTTCCTGCAACCACAGGTGTCACCACATTCATAACGGGAGCAATCTGTAATGCCAGTGTCGATTTTGCACAATGTGAAGTGTCGCACTGGGAATAACAATATGTGCAATCACCTGGCTGCACAAGTTTCTCGTCTACCCACTCATTCACTACGTTGTTTTAGTTTCAGATTTTATCGCAGTAAATTTAGGGCTTCTGTTCCCTACGAAAACAAATTGAAGTTAATCAATAAACCTTGTTACTGTCAGCTTGTCTCTTTTCACAAAATCACAGAAGTGACATTGTGAGACCCCTTATGTACTAGTTTTGTACCAACTGGTAAATTAATACCGCATACAGTTCATTGCACTGGAGCAACATCTAATGATATGGACAAGGCATGTGAGACAGGTTGGCGTCTCATCAAGGCGAATGACAATTACTATTAAGGCAACGTCGCTGAGCGTCCTTGTGATAACGTTCAGACCACCGATTTCGACTTTCCGGCATTCGTTTGGCAAACTAGTGCTGTCAACGGCACTCCAAATGAGGTTCCTAGTTGAGGCAGAAAAGAATGCAGTAGAGGAGTAGATATCAAGAGATTGATTGATAGATATGTGGGGTTTAACGTCCCAAAACCACCATTTGATTATGAGGGACGCCGTAGTGGAGGGCTCTGGAAATTTTGACCACCTGGGGTACTTTAACATGCACCCAAATCTGAATACACGGGCCTACAACATTTCCGCCTCCATCGGAAATGCATAGAGATCAAGAGATCACATACTGAATTTCACTTAACAATATGCGCTCAAACCTCATTATAACAAAGTGCCATCTTACAATGAAAATGAATTTGTTACATTCAAAACTTTGTTATAATGGTACACTCCTAACACTATATCTATCGCAATACTATTTTTTCTTTCCTTCTTTACAGCCGATACTTCGTTATATCGGGGTTTAAGTGTATATGCAAATTGATCATAGTGACAGCCGTACTGATAGTACATTAACTATCACTGATGCAATACCCTTAGGTGGTCTTTAAAAAATAAAGATATAAGAGTGAATAAATAAACTAATTAAATAATTAATCAACGTTTTAAAACACAAACAGAGCAGTGAAAACTGCAGGGTCACAAAGCGAGTACCTGGCATTAGGTCGAACTTGTCGACGGCAACCGACTGGGCCAGCAGCACCAGCACCGACAGGGCCCCACACTTGAGGTTCAGGTACGGGGTGCTCAGTGCATACTGCACCACCGCCTGCACAACAGTCGTTGCAAGAAGGTCAGCGCATTATTTTGCATGAGTGATAGCCCTAGTGAAGGGAGTGGCAACATTCTGCCCACTGGGCAGTTTCATAGGGCCCCCAGAGCGATACGAGAACCCCCGCCCCCCCTCCTGCCCCTTTTTTCGTCAGTTTCTAGGTGAGGGCCAACATGCCAGTTTTCATCTAACGTAAGATTTTTCTCTTGCAACATGTTTGTAAGGTGGAACCTTGTGTGAACATGCATGCAGTAAATAAACATGGGTTTATTCCAGTTTTGTGCGCATCTGCAAACTTCCCCTGCTGGTTTACCATTAGGCGCCCACTGTGTCGGCTTCATCCACATGACCCTCAGTTTCAAAAGGTTACCGACCTCTGCTCTAGTGGATAAGAAAACTTTAAACTATCAGAACTAATAGGCTAAAATGATTTTGTCAGTGAATTTGTACATGGCAGGTTCTGGTGAATCACATACGTGGACAAAATCACACACGCAACAACAATTTTCTGTGCCCTTCACCATTGTTGACGCCTCTAATAATAGTGTTGCGGCACTTGGCAACAGCACCTTCCAACTGGTGTGCCCCTTTGTCTCATGGCGTAGAGACCACACTGGCAATGTCGTTAGCAATTACCGTTAGCGCCATTATCAGCAGTGCTCTGGGTTCTTATCCATCCCCCTCCATTTACCCAGAATGGAGCCAGATCATCCAAGAGTGGAGCCAGTGACCTACAAAAGTCTGTCGAATGTTTATGTTCGAGTGTCGGCCAGCACACTTGCGATTCGATGGGTGGGTCCGTTTTTTGACATGACCGAGACTGCAAAAGGGCCCAAACTTGAGCCTCCTGGCAGAGCCTTACTTGCGAAAACCGTGTAGAAAAACGAGAGAGGGGAAACTGGAGAGTGCATTCAGCCTCTCCTGTTTCATTTTCCCAGGCTGTTATGACACAATTCCCGACGTGTCCCAAGTCCACAGGCCACTCACGTGCACGTTGTCGGTGTCCCAGAGGTGAGGCTGCTCGGTGGCCAGCAGGCAGAGGTCATCCAGCGCTTGGGCCTTGACCCCCTCCCGGGGGTCGTCCCTCAGGTACTCCACCAGTGTCCCGATCTGATTTCCACAACAAATACACACTCAAGATCAGGCTCAGAAATATCTCTCAATCATACTGCTTACCGAGCAGACATGCGTTTAGAGAAACAAGCAACACTCGGATCGCCCACTGTCATGAAATACACTACCAGCGTCTATAAAAAATACAGGACATTTAAGACTGAACTAAAATTGTACATTATACATGCTTACAAATACTGCTCCTTTTGATAGCTTCATTTTGTTTCTACATCCACATTTTATTTATTACAGTTTTTGCTATTTTTGTTCAGTTCTACTGCTTAGCATTGTTCATCGCTTCAATCTGTTTCGACGCATACATTTTATTTTCATTTTGCATGTTTCTTTACTTTTCTTCTGCAAGCGTGTTTAGTTTGCACTTACGATTACTGCTTATGTTGCTACAAACACTATGTTTTACTACAATCTGCCCTTAACAGAAGGTCCCAATACAGTCTTCATCTTTGGGACCTCCTCATGTATACTAAACACATGTAACATTCCTGTATGTGTATGAAGAAAAGACTCAGATTAAAAGATATGATTGATTGATAGCACACCCACACTGTTCACAAGAAATGCCCGCAAGCAAACAAGCACAAGGCAAGTATAAAGGCCTTGCCTGGCTAGGAATGTGAGTTACGGTGGCGGCAGCAAGGCGGGTGAGCACCCGCAGCGTGGCCTGTACCAGGCTCTGAGACGGGTAGCGGGGCAGCAGACGGTGCAGGCACTCGTCCCGCACCAGGGCGGCGGTGGGGGCATCCTGATGCAGCCCCTCGAGCACGCCCAGAAGGCGAAGCTTGGTGTCCACCGGTGTCGCCAGACCCTGGGCAAATGCGAGTCACACCTCTTGACAACATGCGTTGTGACAGAACGTGCATGTATTTGCACTGGCACAACATGAAAAGCCCATTACGTGACCTCACAGACCGAATCTTCAAATACCTCCGTCTCTTCTTTTAATGTGCTTTGCGAGGATTAACTCCACTAATGACTCAATCCTTCCATGCGCAAATGGTACCATAATAGCTTAATTTGCCTTACCATTGTTGCATTTTCACATGCGCTTTGTGTGGGCACACCTATTACCACCTTATGTGGCTTGCCTGCACGCCATCAGACTGTTGCTAGTAGCACGTGTTCCTCGTTATTTTCCTGCCACTCAGCTGCCTATAAATACGAGCTACACTTTTCAATAAACGTCTTTGTTCTCCTTACTGTGTTGACACCTTGCTAGCCCAGTGCGGTTGACGGCATGCCAGGGTTTATGTAGACATCGCAGTGAACAAAACACACAACCCTTTGGCTTTACTGAAGATAAAAAATGACTAAGATAATCTTCTGGCGCAAACATTCTTTTAGGGGCGCCCTATAACACTCCTAAAAAAACATTTCTGGCTGTGCCACTGACGCCATGGTCTGTAGAGCAGGCGTTGAGTAAAAGTAATCTGTTAAACGGAACAACTGACTCTGATACAATTGGTTTTGCACACGAAATCTGCACCTTCATTCATCTCTCAGTAAACAAAGCATTCCTTACATAAAACACATTTTCCTGGTGCCTTCATGTTTAGTTTAATGAGTCTATTTATGAATGCAAGAACCTGCAGCTGATGTGAAAAGCGTGTTTCAGTCACCTGGATCATCTGACCAATACGGGCACACATGTTGGCCGCAAATGCCTTGGACTGGGCAGCGAAGCGTGCAGCTGCGAAGATGGCCGCCTCCTGCTCCACGGCGTCGTGAGACTCGAGGCTGCTGCGGATGCTATGGTGGAGGTCCTTACGCTCAGCCACAATGGCCGCAATGCTTCCTAGCGTCCTGAAAATTTTGGCAAAGGTGAGCTGCTGTCTAGAACCCATGAGGTTTTAACCACAGTAAAGGGACCCTGCACCATTATTGGAAAATATCACTCAATGAACAAGGCAAGAAATTATCGAAGCCTTTTTTCATTCATACAACAAATACAGGTTGCGTTGGCTCACCATTGATCATGTTACTTCAAAAGATTAGTTTTAAAAGGCACTGATAATAATTTAGATATGATCACTCTGCTCTGCAAGTGTCTTTCGTGGATGTTGACATGCTCACCGATGTACAGCTCGTTTTTGTCTTTCAGTGTTCCTATAGTTTTTTTTTTGGGGGGGGGGGGGGGGGTCGTACATACAGAAGTGCGTGGCGCAAAGATAAATGATTGTTAGTACGTGCATTTATGTGTCGTTTTTTCTGTGGATCCTTGGTCTACTTCCTGGCAGCACAAATGAGCCATGCTTACCGATGAACTTCACCCCCTCCCAAATCGCCTGCCACAAAGTGTTAAATGTGTAAGCACTGCTATGCCTACTCAACGAAAAAACCATGAAGACGGTAAGTTGGGCTAGTTGGTTAGGATCCATCGTGAACTTACTTACAGCGCAACACCAGAAAAAATACAGGACAGAGAAGGAGCAAAAGAGAAAGAAAAGACGGCGCCGTCTTTTCTTTCTCTTTTGCTCCTTCCCTGTCCTGTATTTTTTCTGGTGTTGCCCCGTAAGTAAGTTCACGATGGAAAAAACCATGTATTCATCGGTGCATATCTCTGTTATGCAAGGAGGGTCGCTATAGAAAAAAAATCAATGAATAAAGTTAAGTAAGATCCCTTATGCATTCGCGTAAGATGTCTAGAAAGTGAAAGCCACCTTCTTCACGGTGAATGCACTGGTCCTCCCCTGCCCCCTCCCCGGAGTTTTCTGAACCTACCATGGTTTCGCACCGTCATTGCAATCGGCGAGCCTTTTATGACGCAATGACGTCATGTGGTGATGTTGTGCGACTTGACAAATTTTGACAATCTGTGATGTTATCATGACATCATATGGTGACGTCATCATATGATCATGATTTGTGGCATCACTTGTATGATGGCTATGGGCAATTGCTGCATTTGATGAAGCATCCAAGGCTGTCGCTTTGTATTTTCTTGGCTTTGCTGCACTTGGAATCAAAGGCTGATTCCCAAGCTCTAAAGTTGAGCGTCTTAACCACTGGATTTGATGTGTATACACAGATGTGAGAGAGAAAAAAAAACTTATACCATCTTCCCCTAAATAAAACCATGAGTAGCATACGAGGCAGCGCATGGGTCAACTTAAAGGTTCCATTCATCACAGGCACCTTGCCCGAAGTTAACACATTCTTGCAAGTGGAGCGCACCATGAATTCACTGTAGTTTCTGTTGCTGTCACTCATCCCGAACTTTTGTAGCGCTCGAGCTCTTTCTGGCAGCGTTTGGGCCAGCTGTAGCGCATGCACAGTAAAAGTGGCCACGTACACCACATTGAGCTCGACCATAAGCTGCTTTGGATCTAAAATTTTATTTGCACAGAAACAGGAGTCCTTCCTTATAGGATGGAGTCTTTAATTCGTCGCATTTGCTAGCGCCACCCCACATGCCCATTAGATTAACAGGCGCTGCTTTTACGGCTTTGAGGTTGTCTGCACAGTCTCCCAGGAGGAATGTGAGGGTGAAGGAATAGGGGGACAGGCGACGGTTGTGGACATTCCCAAGTGCATTGACACACTGTGGGCTTTGCTTTACAGTAGGTGCACTATGAAGGATACTGTGCGGGGTAAAAGCCTGCCCAGATGAACCAAATGTGACAATTGATTGCCTACACGGCCAAAAAAGCAGTCCCACCCAAGCACAGGTCACCGACCATGTGCTTTATGACGCCAGTCCTAAACAAGCACTCATTGGTACAGGCTTGCATACACCCACCTTTGAGGTGGAAACTTCACGGCCTTCTAAAGTTGTACCCAAGTACATGCAGTCATTCATTTTAACATCGAACATGTCAGGCAGTGATTTATCAGCTGTCGGCACTACGACCGACACATGATGGAACACTTCTTGCATAACGAAGGACACTTTCTGTCCCTTTATAGCTTTTCTTCTTTTCTCATATGCCAGAAACCACAACACAGTCGACTCTTGTTCATTTTCTCATGCTAGGCTAGTGCGCATTGACTAAATGATAGAAATTGTTGAATGGCAACAAAGTTGACAAGTAGATATTGTACCATCAAGTAGCCTATCGGCATGCTAGGCATTATTATTGCTGTACAATCACTTTAATTTTCAATTCCTTTCACCTTTATCGGTTCGCTGATGAGGAGTCACCAAAATACCACATATTCCCCAGTTTATTCAATTACGACAACAAAGGAAGCATGACGTCACCTGGTCAGAGGTAAAGGAAGATGCCAACCAAATACATTTCTTTCTGTATTTGGTCAGTGCCTACCTTTCAGCTTTGACCATGACCATTTCTGACCAGACGAACTTTCGTCGAACTCTTGGTTTCATGATGTCGGCTGATTGATTGATCTCAGCCTTTTTGCATTCTGCATACTCGCTCGATCCTTTCCAAGTTTAGCCGCTATAACATAGGTTTGCACGCCACGACCTTCCATAAGGATTAGACGAACAGATAAACTAGTTTCTACCCCGCAGAAAAAATGGACAATCGTGAATAACAGCAGGTTGCGTGTGCTTGTGCGTACGTGGGTTTTCGCGTACAACAAAACAAACTGGCATTTTGCAGCTACCTTGGACATATGGCTTCGCACAACGTCGCGCACATATAGTAACTCTTACGAAAGCGGTATGGGAGGTTTTCTTCCAAAGAGAACTTGTTAGCCAAGAAACAATTGACAACCTGTTTCGGTACAGATGAGCATGTCGTCTCACCTGAGCGTCAGCGCTCGGGCGACGGGATCGTTGCTGTACATGACAGAGAAGATGCGCCGCACGAACTCATCGATATTGAGCACCTTGTCGAGGTGCCGCTCGCTCTGCTGCACCACCTTGAGCACCAGCATGCGTAGAAAGTTGCTGCCCACCCGGAACACCTCAGCCAGCTTCAAGCAGGCCGAGTTGATCAAGATCGGGAAGGGGTACTTCTCGAAGAGACGCGGGAACCGCACGATGGTCTCGCATTGCTCGCCCAGCCGGCCCGACCGGAGTCCTGCACAAATGCGGTTTGATGATGCCGCCCGCAGATGCCGGCGCCAGCTTGAACGGCGCCATGGACGTTCAGCGCCTTTATGCGTAAGAAATAAGTGTTGCGTATCAATTGTTTCCAAACCTTTGTCGAGTTCTGTCAACGCTGAATTTGCGTCCTGGTCCGTTTCGGTGAACGTAGCGTCTCCGAAACCCAGCAACCGCTGACCGGCGGACGCCATGACGGTGACGATGACGATCGGTGCAGTGTTGCCTCTGGCACGGCCGCTGGATAAATTGTCGGTTTTGTTTGGTGTGTGTGGTGAAGTGTGGTGTGTGGCCATCGTGGTTCGGTTAGGTTCGATAGTTGTTCTAGGGCCGTTATGGCATAGCCGACCTTGTAGAGGAGTTTGAGGGGAGACGTAACGTGTGTTTTTAGTTTTCCGCGCTTATGTTAGGAGCCACCACAGTGGATGCCTGCCTACACGTGTAGCTCAACCCGATCTCTGTCTCTTATGGCAGAATGAACGTAATTTTACCATTTTTTTTAGTTTTGTCCTTTCTATCTACTATTCTGTCAGCTCTGTCACCAATCTAACCGTTTCAGTCATTTCTGTCGCAGGCATACGTACGTGCTCAGTTTTCCATTGGTGTGCCTATAAACCAAGGTATCATGGCTGGTGCATAAATATAAACATGGGTGTAATATATCAACATTCAATCAGAACACGCTCCGTCTATTTTCTTAGCCTCCTTAGCTTGCACATAAATTTTCCTTCTGTGACTTTCGAGTATCGTTTGATATCTAAAACTGACTTCGCTTCAAACAGTAAACAAAGACGGCACAATGATCTATCCAATAAAAACAAAAGAAGCTACTTCACGTTTTAAAAAACAACGGCTTGCTGAAATGTTTATTAGAAGTCCTTGGTCAATACATTTGTAAATGTAGAAGACTATCCTACCATCGTGTAGCCGTGTTAATGTCACCCAAAAAGACGTCTAAAAACGTCCTGAGAAGACCTAGCTAAGACGTTTTGAGACGAGACTTTTCTCAAATTTTGTAGTAATCGATTTAAAAATATAAAACAAGCCATTATAACTGTCTGCTTGGTCGTTAGCATACAGGCTACGGCTAGCTGAAATGTCTAACAGAAGTCATTGGTCGAAACATTCTGTAAATGTAGAAGACTATCCGACCATCGGGTAGCCGTGTTATAGTGTCACCCAAAATGACGTCTAAAAAACGTCTTGACAAGACCTAGCCAAGACGTTTTGAGACGAGAGTTTTCTAAAATTGTGTAGGAATTGATTTAGAAATATACAAGTCATTATAGATGTCTGTTAGGTCGTTAGCATACGGGCTACCGTGAGAAGTCCAGTTTTTCCATTTCCTAGGTCAGTCTTTGTGCTAATTATCCAACAATCAAGCAACACATAACATACCTGATAATCCAACTATGTCTTCACTGCGGCATCCATAAATTTTGGACGTTGAGTTGTTTCACTCCCTCATGCTACAGTACGTGCCTTGTGTCGTGAAAATTAATGGCTGCTTTTTCACGTGGAACCCATTGGTTTAGAATGTTACGGGTAACTTATTTAATAAATTAAATACGATGCACCGTGCTCGGCGAACAAGATGGCGACAGTTGTTGTTGTTGTTTCCCTGTGCAAATGGCTCCTACCCAAAGGAGGGGATTGGCAGATTATAAGGTAAATTTGCCCTATACTTTCAGCATTGCGTCATTCCTACAAAACTTTTGTAACTAAATTTTGATTTGAAATGCCGATATCAAGTTTGCAGAAAAAAATGAAGAAAAATAAAGAGACCGTAATTTAGCAAGAAAATCGTTTAGTCGCTGTGATGTATGCCTGAACGGCGATAGATGATGATGATGATGATCCTTGACACTCTGGCGCACACCCACAAAGGGGGATCGGCCAAGAACCGGGCGGCAGGATCTTAACTAAAAGGCTAATGGTTTTTCAAAGAAAACGTAATTTTGGGCTAAAAAAATATAGAAAGGAAAGCCGAAAATCGAAAAAGGAGTATATCTGAGCAGGGAGCGATGCAGGCCATCAGATGCGATTTGAGACAGAGGTAATGGTGGGTCTATATATATATATATGTATATATATATATATATATATATATATATATATATATATATATATATATATATATATATATATATATATATATATATACACACATATATATATATATATATATATATATATATATATACACACACACATATACATATACATATATAGGCAGATTAACATGGCAATCGCTTTGTTTCAATTATGTAATCAAATACCGCAGAGCAGACGTCCCTGTGGCTATAACCGAATTTAATGCTGCCAAACGACAAAATTACTGCCACACTTAATTCTAATCCCAATTTTTCAAGCGGAGCTACCAGGTATCTTTTCCGCTGATGAGAATACCGGCGACAGAACAAAAAGAAGTGATCTATCGTTTCCATTTTTTGGCAAGTCTGACATAAAGGTGACGCCTTTAGACCAACTTTATGCAAATAATAATTCAGTTGAGGAATTCTGCAACGCAATCTTGTAAAAGTAACTTCCAAGTGCCGTGTTGCACACCACTGTCTATTCCAGCGGCATCTTAGATGTGCGAAATCTCGATATTTATCCAATGAGTAGCAGTCGTATTCACGCAAACAGAGGTTTCTAAACCTTATTGCTGTCGCGTAAGCCGTATCAGGCAAAATCGGGATAATGGGACCGCTAAGAGATACTGTGGCTAGTGCATCCGCCATCTCATTGAGATATATGCCACGATGACCTGGTACCCATAAGAGCTGCAGTTTTTTCAAGTTTGTCGGTATGAGTTGTCGAAACATGTGCATAAGTGTTAAGTTGGCTCCTGAAGACAGAGCAGCACATACTGAAAAAGAATCTGTAATTACGACTGCTTCCGATTCGCCCAAAGGAAGTTTCCGTAGTGCCAGTACAATAGCAAATAATTCTGCCATGAATATTGGTGTGTAATCTGGGAGTCTAACCGAAAAGGACCAGTCAAGGGAACGTGAGAAGATACCTGCCCCAGCCTTTTCATTTGATACGGATGCATCGGTCGCAATTATGTTGTTCAAGTTCAAATGCGCCAAGTAATCCTGCAGCCGATCATTTAAATATTGAAATGGCATTTGCTTTGCGTTAGAGGGATAAATATTCTCAAATTCTATCATAAGATCTAAGTTAACGTCTCTTGTTGTGAAAATATGTTTTATTTTGACGTTCAGTGGTTCTATAGCAGCGCTTGAACGAACAAGATCTGTGGGCAGTGGAATCGTGACCACCAAGTTTCAAAAAATAAACTTGGTTCTTTAATAAAAGCATAAAAGGATGCTCTCTGGGGCACAGTGTATAGTTTTAAAAATGTTTGGATAGTAAGCATTTTGAATCTATTTAACAATGACGGTAGACGCGTTTCCATGTATAGCACGTTGTTAGCAACAAACTTGGGCAGTCCAAGGCACAGTCGTAAGGCCTCCCTTTCTAATAGTATTAGCGGTCTCATTTTATATGTCGCACTGCCCGAAAATAAGACGCAGCCGAATTCCATGATAGGACGAATGTACATTTTATAGACCATTACCAATGTATTTCTTCGCAACCCCCTTTTTATGTTGCTGAGCTTGCGTAACCACCCCATGGCTCGTGTTGCTTTGGACGCAATGTGATCGATGTGGCTTTTCCAATTTAACGAGCTGTTATATATGATGCCTAAGTATTTAAGTGAATCCACCTGGGGAATCTGCTCTGTGCCATACATCAAGGAGATGTTAACAGGATCCCTGAACGAGAACGCTAGAAGCGCGCTTTTGTTTACATTTAGAGATATTCCAATTTTTTGAAGCCATTCCTCTATCATGTTTAGGTAATTCTGTAATGTCTGATAAAGTAATTGCAGATCACTGTTTGTCGCAAAGAAAGCAATGTCATCTGCGTAAAGATATAAATGAATATCGCTATGTGTTGGAATCGAACTGAGGAAGATGTTAAACAACACCGGTGAGAGCACTGCACCTTGTGGTACGCCACGGTATTGTCGATATCTGTTAGAAAAACAACCCCTTTGAAAGCAATAAAACTCTCTCTCCCTTAAAAACTCTGCTACCCATGATGTCATGTATTTTGGTAAATATGACCTTTCCATCTGCTCTATTAGTATTTTATGCTCCACTTTGTCATACGCCTTGGCCAAATCCAGAGTAACTAATGCACAATACTCTCTTCTACGCCTAGCCAACTGTATACGACTCTCCAAATCCGCGTGCGCACACCATATGGAGCATTCCGATTTAAAACCAATTTGACTGGGGTTCAATATTGATTTCTCCTCAATGTATTTTATCACACGTGCATTCAAAACTCTTTCAGTTAGTTTAACCAAATTAGATGTAAGAGAAATTGGCCTCACATTGTCAAGTGTATACCCAAGCCCCTGTTTTTTAAGTATCGGAATTATTTTGGAAAGTTTCCAATCCGCCGGTATCCAAGAAGTTTTCAAAGAGTAATTAACCATATTACAGAGTTCATGTGGGGAAATGTCATATAATAGTTTTATCATTGCTGAAGTTACTCCATCTGGTCCAGGTGCTGTAGGAGGTAAGTGCCTCACTACACCCGCTAGTTCCGCTGATGTCACCTTGTTGAACTCCTCCCCTGCAATTGGCTTTACTATGTGTCTTGGCATTGTTGATCTGAATCTTTCTTCTAATCCTTTAGCAACATTTTCTAAGATTTCAGTGAGTTCGCTGGGCGATAGAATTGAAGAATCAGTATTGTCTGATGGTGGTATCATTTTTCTGGAACGCAAAAATCTAAAAAGCGCCTTTCTGTTGTATGGTTTTGAAAGATAGCTAAATTTGTTAGTGTCATAGTCATCTTTTGCTTTGCGTACTGTGCGTTTAAAATCTGCTGCCACGTATTTATAGTCACACCAGTTTTTTGGGCATTGGTTGTGGATAAGTTGCTTCCACGCCGCTTTTCGTTTTCTATACCCCCTTGTACAATCAGCGTTCCACCATGGGCTAAACGACCCGCCTGTGCCTGAAGTTATTGAAAAAGTTGACTTTTTTATTGCTCTTTTCAGTAACGCACACAGACTCATAGCCCGAATGTCTTCCTGCATGTCCTTGCGAAGAACCAAAGTGGGCTTCAAGTCTTTTTGTAAGCGCTCATAATTTACAAACGAGCCAAT